TGCATAATAATACAGTACGGTTGCCAGCTATAGCTTCATGCGCACGTTAATCTTATTAATATAGCATATCATGCAGAATTCGATCGAAATATTAGTCTGATTGCAGTTGCCGCACATATGAGTGTGGACTGGCCGCGGGCCGATCATTGGCATACGCAGAAAACTTGAACGGGTGGCTGCATGGCCTTCAGTTTCTCTATGGCCGGTTCAAGATGCAGCATCCGACATTGTCAACGCAGGATATCTGTCGTGATAGCATATGAAGACGCGCATGACAATGAATTGTACATGAGCCCAGCGGCGCACCGGTAGGCTCATTCCCTATATATAACTCAGCAAGAATCAGGAATCCTTTTCCACTTGGTACGTGTCTCATGCCTGATCGAAAGAAGCCATGCGCACCCATGTACTGACTCGAGGTTCTGTGCTATAATGGTCACTTGAGACAGAGATACTGCAAGTTTCGTTGATTTACAACAAGCACGTGCCAACGTTAATGTATAATCCTCTTGTCTCTTGGCCGGTGCTCAGCAGTCTCCTCTTCTAACTGCTTAAGGGGAATCTACGTGAAGAACGATGGCCTATGTAATGGCGCAAGGCACTTCTCTTTACAGAAACAATCGTTGACGAAACGCTCTATGACTCTAATCAGCTTCTTCCTGTCTCCTCTCGCTAATCGTCCACTTCCTGCCGATCTTCTCACTATCTGAGTAGTCTCCGCTCACTTCAATCGACTCTCATCAGCTTGGTATTTGGAATGAAAGGTTTTGCCGCTCTGCAAATGTTTCAACCAGCTCGAAGGCGCCTCGTAATTAAAAGGATCTCGCTCTCAAGGATGATCTCGCTACACCGCCCTCACATTTGATCGTCCGTTGCTCAGCCGTAATCAACTTTGTTACATGCCGTCCTCTATTGTTTTAAAGTACAATCAATGGTCTCCCTGTTTCGCCTCGTCCTCGTACAATTTGTTATCAAACACCTTCTTGCCGCGGGCCTCGTTTCCGCTGATGCTGGTGGTAAAGGACAGGAGTTGACCGAGCCCCACCGAATCGCCCGCCAGCTTCCCCGCCCCAGCTTCTTCACCAGTCTGCCGTGCCCCGCTCGCTTGCGTGCGCTCCTTGCCAACTCCACATCTCCCAATGCCACCGCTGCGGAACGGCACAGGCGTTTCCGCACGGACCGCCTTGCCGGTGTTGCCAGCAGTGTCCAGGCCGCGGTCGTTAGCAGGCGGGGGGGTGGGGGAGAGCGTCTTGGGCGGGGATACCTGCCGCAGGGCATGCGGACATTTAGTGTTCTACACGAGAAAAGAGCAATGGCGTTTTGACCCCTGTCGCTGCTTGACATGCCTTCTGCGAATAAAGCCTAAACCTGTGACACGCAAGAAGGAGCTGACTAACGATCAATACGTCCAGTCAGTAAGCCACTTGGCAGCCGGTTCTTAGACGCGTCCAACCAGAAGGTGCATTTACGACGATGCAGCCCTACCCTACGAAGTTTGTCTTAGGACAACGAGTGCAAATTCTGAAGGCTGCTTCCTAAGTGGCCGTAACAACACAGAGATTGTCCGAACAGCACCTACCTAAGTGGATGCAGACAGGATTTGCGACCTTATCTGAGGAATTAAGTCGATGAGCAGTCATGAGAGCAGTAAAATGCACATAACCACACACTGGAAAGGATTGCCAAACCATCACCCAAGCTTGTCAGCTTTTTGACTGGACCGGACAACCGCCTCGCCAACACAAAGCCAACCCAATGTTCAACTCCGATAATCGGAAAGCTTAAACTCACGGGTAAGCCTGACATGCGCGGAGAATGAAAGAGGGATCACGACTTGTTCTTGGTCGATGGATATTGCTCGGCGCTGAACGGAGCTCACCTCAGCATCAGAGCTGTCGCTGTAAGGAACCAATGCCTCCTCGTTGTCCGACCATTGCTCTACTCCCATCGGGCCCCAGGGATCGAAGGGCGTGCCGGGCACGCCGCTTGAAGTAGTGGGGGTGGCCAGGGAACCCGCTTGCTGTTCCTAAGAAGAGGAAAAGAGAAAGGACGTCGGACAGAAACGAGATAAAACGGCTTCGAACTTTGTCAGACTCCCGTCGCGATGGTGCAGCGTGTTCTCTCTTGCGCCTTCCTGAGCTATCTCTTGAGACTGACAATCAGCAGCTGCGTCTGCTACGAATGAAAGCATTGCATGGTACAGGCCTTGTTGCGAAGCTGGTAGGTTACCGACCAATCAGTCGACCGATAGCAACCGGAAAATACCAAGCTCCGAATAATAGAAGTGAGATAGCATGCAAAGACTTCAAGATAGCGTGGCGAATTCCTTAGGATAGTCACGACCTGCCGGTTGCATTCGAAGATGTTTCATACAAGGTCAGCCTACTTTTCTGCATGAGTGGGGAGAAACGCCCCCAGAAAAAAACTTCGAGATGAGATCCGTACCTCCGGAAGCTCTCCGCTCGTAATGGTTTCCATCTTCATCGCCTCAACCGCCTTCTTAGTGTTGCTGCCGCTGACGCTCCCAGCCACTTTCTGCAAAATTCGACAAGACATCCCATGAACCCGACAGCCACGACTGGCTTAAAAGACTGCGATGACTGCTGACAAAATGTCCCCAGAATCTTACAGCAGCGCTTCAAATAGAGCAAATACCAAAAGAAGGCGACTCAGAGTACGAGCTGACAGCTAAGACGAGTTCTAGTCGAGTCCTGGCTCTTCCATTTTGACGCATCGTTGATTACGAATGTAAGAATGAAACAACCCATGAACCGATACACAACTCTCAAAACCTCCGTGAACTCAATCTTCCCTATCTTCCCGTGACTTATTGCAGTCGGTTGTCGTTCGCTTTTCTTAGCTCGATGAAGTCAGACAAGACAGTAGGTAGTCCGAACCAGCTGCCGCATTCAAACCGTAACGTCCTGCATAGGTACACCAAGTCAAGCACCGACTGACAACGCGATGATCTCGTCACTTACCTGTTCCTTGTTCGTCTTGAGAGATTCGTTCTGGATCGTCTCACGTCCGACGGCGCTCTCTCCTGCGGACGTGTGCTGCAGGGTGAGCCCCGCGCCGATCTTCTGCGTCTCCGTCACCACTTCGTTGATGTCCTTCTTGACCACACTGTGTCTGTGCAACAACGAAAGGGAGAAGTTGAACTGCTGGCGCGCTTGTAGAGCAGGACGGCCGGACCGATTGGAATGATCGGAACGGTGAACTAACTCAAGCGGCGCAGCAAAAGGAAGTATCAGACGAGTACAAGAGAACACTTTTTAAAGGAAGACGGCCAGGAACCAAAGAACCATCAGCCCGAGAATCGTGAACGAATTAGAAGTCGTATTTAAAGCGTGAGCAAGCTTTAGCGGCCCGATCCTCTTTGTATGTGTCGAATCTGCAGCGTTGCCTCGCTGAACCAAGCAAGAACCAACGAAAGCCCTCGTTTGGCCTCAACTCTCACTTCAATCCCTTTACATGTGGATGTGGAGAAAACATTAAGAAGTGCTTTCTTATCTTGGAAAAGGACAGCGCTCACAGCAGACGGTAACCCAACGGTGCACTGAAATCCCCTTCAAAATGTTTGCAGGTCAGCCGAATTCCGTCAAGAGACATTCCCGCGGATTTTCCCACTTCTGCTGAGCACATAGCGGGAAAAAGGTGGACCTCGGAATCACAAAAGTCACTTGTTGAACCCTCGTTCATTCTCATCCTCACATGCGTCCCCATTCCAAAGTCTCCCCCGGTTGCGCACGGAAATCTGATACTAGCAGCGGACTTGGATGCTAGTTCATAATCACCTTCTTTCTATCGGACCCATTGGGAAATACAGCAGCGCGCTGTACCAAAAGCTACCCGTTCCTACCAAGGCAGGCGAATCGGATTGCGCAACTTACCTCTGATTTTGCTTGGCGTCCCTCTGGTCGTCCTTCCGCTCTGAATCATGCAACTGAAGGGTTGAATCGTCCGCTTTGCTCGCACCGGCGGGCGACTTCTTTGCATCTCCCAACTGCGTCAACAGAGTTTGTTTTTTTCGATCAGGCGACACGAAGGTCCCATGCCAGAATGTCTTTTCAGAGATAAAGCGCACACCTGCCTTGCGGTTCTGAGCTCTAGAACGCCATTGCACTTGACTTGATGTTTTTCTTTCGGATTTGACATGGACCCGGGTAGGGTCAGCTCAAATTTGTTCAACGCACAAGGGAAAGAGAGCACAGATCGCCAATGTCTGAAGCCAGTCCTTCATCCCATAAAGGGTTCTAAAACTTAAACCTCTAAAAGTCTAGATGAAGATCATCTAACACTGTTCAGTATGATGTGCTAAATTCATTTAGGGACGGGCTCGAACTGGCCCCTAGGCGACTCTTCCTAGCATGCACGTGCATGACGTCAGCACGAATTGCCATCGTCTCAGCATGCAGACCAGGTTTTGACACTTGCCTTGGCTGCCGGCTCGTGGGGCTCGCTGAATGTGACAGGTGGCCGCATCGGCGCCGACGTCATCTCCTGTCCACCGTTGCTCGCTTGCTTTTCTTTCGCGCGAAGTGGCTCCTTGATCGGGTTGGGCACGTTGCGACCAGATGGGGGCCGGCGCGGCGGGCTATGGCTGGCGAAAGAGAAAGTCAAAATTGATGCTTTAGATGCCTTGACAACCTCGCCACTTTGAGACACCAAGTTTAGATGCGTTCTCCGCGATTGTGAAGACGCTCGAACATTTCGTTGGTGTCCTCTTTTTGCGCCGAAGATCGATACAAGGGCGACCGCTCCCTTTCTGATGTAAAATGCACCAATGGCAGAGGAAGTTTCTTCAAGCGTCGTCATTTCTCCATCCACAGTCCTGGAGTTTGAAATTACGAGACGCAACTCTAGCAGCGGTGCCATCCTTCGTTGCACTGACAGAAGGTGTGGTGAAACTCTGAAAAGACCAGCGTCAGAGCCATTAGCAGGTGAGAGCACCAGCCGACTTTGATGCGCCTTACTTACCTCTCCTCCAGGCCGTCCTTGATGTCGTCAAACCCATGCTCCAACTCCTCGATGACGTCAGCAGTAGTCTCTTCTTTCTTGGTCGCGCTCTTCGACTGCACCAATGGACAGGTTGCAGTCAGCCTGCTTACCTTCCGGCGACAATGGAACGGTGGAAAATTGATGCTACTACGACAAAGTTCACCGCGTGCTCGATGCCAATAATCCAAAGAAGGCATAGTCAGACTGTTTAGCGGTCCGCAATCTTAGGGGTGTAGCTTTGTAGAAACTGCTGGCTGCAAGAGACTATATGATGCTTTGCAAGGCGACCAATGGTGCAGAGCAAAGGGTGACCGCAGACCGCCTCTCTCTAGAAGCGACAAGCTGGACTCATAACGAAAGGCAACATGTCGTTCCAACTTGCAAATGCAGTGCGCCCCACACCAACCGGCAGAACCGCAGGCTCGCTTGCCGGACGACAACCTGGCCTGCAGAAGCGTGACGTCAGCATTGGGTAGCCCGCCTCATCAAGCCACGAGCTTTGTGAGACTTGCCTGCTCTGCCGGCACATGGGAATCGGTGATGACTTTGCTGGTCAGCTGCTCCACCGCCGGCGCCGTGCTGAGTCCACCATTGATCTTGTTCTGCGTGTAGTCAGGGCCTTGCTCCTCCTTGCTCGTCGGGGTTGGCAGAGGGCGTCCAGGCGGCGAAGGGCGGGGCGGCGCTTGGCTGGGGAAGCTGGCGAAGGCAGACAATGGAAAACGGTGCGTTTGTGACTTGCACAATTGGATTCGAATTCTAGACGAAGGTGCCTCGTGTCGTATGGGAGCCGATTTGCAAGCGGACTGCTTCAGAGCGCCCTTGGCTTTCATTGGCCGGTCGACTCAGGTCAGACCAAAGTTAAGACTGACGTTTCCGATCTGCTCTTTGCTGGACATCATAATCAAGCGAACGAAGAGGCGCTTGACAAGTCTCACATCACGCTGTCAATCCCTCCACGTCGCACTTCCGAGCCGTTTGCAGCTGCCTAGATGATCTCCTCGGCAAGGTAACAGTTCTAACGCTCCAGAATCGGCGTACTGATGTGAAGAGTTGATGAAATTCACGACTGAAAGCTAAGTCTGCGCTTTCTACAGCATTTACCGTCACGAGTCAGGTTTGAGAGCGCCTCACTTACCTTGTCATAAGGCCTTCCTTGCCGTCGGGGCCCGGCTGCGACCCAGAATTGACGTCCTCCTCTTTGCTGAACGCCCTCGTCTGCACAAAAGGATGTGAGAGCGGTGTGACCTGGCTCCGAGCAACAATAAGAGTGAACGGCAGGAGGCTACTGTAGCAGCGTCCAAACAGCATGATTGGCAAATGCGGAGAACACACAGTATCTGCAGCGGGCTCTTCAAGCAACAAATCTCTGATGTGCGGATCATGTCTGCCTGTCTGTAACAGTTTGCGATACTTACACAAAGTCGCTCAACTTTGAGCGACCAAACTTACGCCGTACTGTCAGCAAACGATGCTTACACCAAACAAGTAACATCAGAACGTCAGCAAGGGGTATGGGACTAAAACCTGCCTTAACAGCTGGCAGCTTGGAGGGGGGTACGGTGGAACTGTTGCCAGGTTTCGCCGGCTCGCTCTGCGCCGGAAGCAGGGCCTTGGGAACGAATGCTGGCGCGTTAGGATTGAGCTTCGCCCTCACTGGGGGCATGGCGGTTGCCAACTTAGGCTTAGGCGCAGTTGTCCTGCGAAAGACGTCGGGAAAGTGCTTCAAATTTGGGGCTGGGCGTTTAGGTAAAAAGTTGTGCCTACATTCACCGTGAGGATCTCGGCAGAACGCAAAACAGTTGACATGCCACAGATCAATAATCTTTGAATCCGTATTGGCTCTAGGACAAGTCTACTCGGATGCTCGAGGACCCCCGTCTGACTGCCTCAATAAAATTATCTGATGCGGTCACAAGGACTCAACTCGCCTAGAAAGGGAAGGCTCGACGCGGTTATCTCCCAGACTGGGATGACCCCTCTAATCGCAGTGCAATCGCCACGTATTATCAACGCTGCAAGTAGAGCCCGCTCGGAGAAGAGGGCATCGCATATCTACCCCGACATCCAATCTGACCGTGCCAGGTCTGCATAGCAGTTGCTAGCTTCCAGGATATGTCTCCACTCACCTCTCAAAGCTTGAATGGTATGGGTAGTGCTGCAGCGCAGCGGTGGTGTCATCTGTCGCCTCACTATCAGTGGCCTTCCCCTGCAGGCATACAAACGGAGATGTCACCCACAACTAACAAAGGCGAAGGAAAGAAGAAGAAGCCTCAAGTTCAGCGTGTTTTGTGAAGGGTTTTAGAACGAAGACAGCGAAGCCTTCAATCACGGATAAGCATATACTTTGTGTTTGGAGCGGCCAATTGCTAGCCAGTAAGTCCATCATGTCGGACGCAGCACTAGAGGGAACACTGCGCAGCGCCAACTATTGAAAAGAGAAGAAGTGCCCACTGCCGATACCAGAAGTCCTTCGACAAGTTGACCGATAAGCAGACCAACGAATCCGACCGCTTCTGCACACAACGCATCAGCGCCTGCCGACTCTGCTTCATGATTGAAAGGGTGCGATGGATGAGACGGTGTCGCTGGCCTTTGCATGCACCTCTTCGCAGGTGTATGCATGACATCAGAATGCATAATGCGGACTCGTTTCTGCCGTAGTTGGCTGCATCGCGGCCACGGTCGCCTACCTGCTGCTTCTGCATCGTCAGCTCCGAGACCCTTCTCATGCACTGACACGTGTCCGGCCGCGCCTTGAATTTCCGCCTTCTCCAGGGCGTGCTTCTTGTTCTCGTCCAGGCTGGCGGGAACACAGCCGAAGGGCGGGTTGGTCGCTTTTCTGACAAAAAACACGACAACGTGTACGTGAGGGAAGCCTGAAGCGACCAATATGAGGATTGCAATCTGTTCGGTAGGCTGGTTCCTCGGAGCAAGCCCTTTAAAAGTGGTCAGAAATCAAGAGGCTCCTTAGTAGGCTCCTCCAACAGCTCAGCTTAGAGTTGAACCAGATGAGAAGAGCTTGAGTGGACAATCGTCGCCAACTTAGTGCAGGACACACTGCGAACGATGCACCGAAGGCGCTGCTAGCGACCAACACCCAGAGGTCCGAGCGCTGTCCGGCATATGTCAGCATTGTAGCGCCTCACCCACCTGATGTCTTTGCCCTCGGTTTGGTCGTGATCGTCCTTGGTGTTAATGACATCATCCTGCTTGTCGAATTTGACGTGCTTGCTCGTCCTCCCGATCTGCACCAAAGGGATGATAATGAAGTATTAGGAGCTTTGTCAAGGAGTCAAAACACGGCAACTAGTGAGAGAAGCTTGGCAGCCCCTGTTTGCGTCAGTGACTGACTTTTAGGAACACCACACTTATCTCTTTATGTACAGGCCTCTATGGTGCCGACAGGCAGATTGCCAAACAGGAGTCAAAGACGTCGAGAGGCGCCGCCAAGGACGAGTAGAAATGACACACTTCGTAAGGACTAGTGAACGCGGATGGATTGATGTTCACTCTCTAATATTTCGGTAATGATTGGAAAGGATTAAGGGCGGAATAGATGGCCCAATCCCGTCTACTTCTGAAATAGGAACGCACGACAATGACGCTCGCAGCACGCAGACTCCCAGGCGGATAGTCAACTTCCTTGGCAAGCAGGTGGCTCGACGTCACCTGATCCGGCGCTGACGTTACCAAGATCTGACTGTGACTTCAGCAAACGAAAGACGTCCACGAGGCCACCTGAAAGTCAATCCAGCCTGGCAATTCCTCGAGACGCGCAACAAGGGAGGACAGGCTGCATGTATTGTGGATTCAATTCTCTCAGCGCAGGTCATACTGTCAGCAGCCTCGGCGCTTACCTGCTGCTGCAGAGCCAGCTCAAACCCCCCCTCGCTCTCCTCTTCCTCCTCGTCCTCGAGGCAAGCACCTCGGCCGCTGCTGCGACTGCCCAGTGAGTGGAACGGTGCAGGCAGCGTGGGCGCCCTGGTGGCCGCGCTGCCAGAAACACACAAAGAGACAACACGTCAGCAACCGTTTTGCACATGGATGCCACATGTTGCCAGTTCGTTTCTCATTTTGAAGAGTATATAAACAGGGTGGTCTCCAATAATGAAAGGTCGAGCAACTGAGGAGATGTGCGGGATACTGTGCAGCTTGCCAATCAAAGGAGGCTTGGGTCGTTATGAACCTAGCTGAGCCGGGTAGCTTCGTCGCAACCGATCTGCTGAAATCGACGCTTGAGACGGGCCACGCAACTAAATTGCAAGTGGCAACTTGTCCAGCATACAAGACTGACCTCTCACTCCTGTTGTTGTCAACCGCTTCGCTGTCGCCGTCCGGCACAATTGCCTTGTCAACCACCTTGCAGAAAGAGAGCGCTTTTGCTTCGAAACTGCAAACATTTTTTCACCAAGCATGTGCTCGTAGTCCAAGCGGGGACTCGAGTTCAAGCATACAAAGCCTGCAGGACTTCTTGCCCCGAAAATTACCTGTCGTGGCTCGAGGTGACACTTTGAGCGGCCAAGATGAAACGAAAGGGTGACTATTTCAAGCATCACAAGATTGAAGAAAGACTTAACGAGCACGACAGTTGCTGTCGCATGAACCACAGCAAAGAAGGACAGAGCCGGCTTCAATAGAGGGGCAGTACCTATGCTTACCGTGGTCGTCTTGCCGCCGCCGCTGTGGCCACGCGCTACCACCTGGGGGTTGCCAGTCTGGCCCTTCGATTCAGAGATTTTCCACCTCTCGCGAATCTACACAAAAAGTAGCGACGGTTTCAATTCGTGGGTTCAGACACGAAATGCAAGGTCTTGAACTTCCTGAAGCGTGCCTTGGGTGTCGATATTCAGCGGATCATGTTTCAATAGCTGAAGCTTAAAACTTGGACAGCAGCGCCATAGCCTATGGTAGTCCTAGCGACTTTGACCAAGTCATTGCTTTATAGCCTGTGTATCAGCAAGCAGAGGCGAACTCTTTGTCCAGACCTGTTTCTCGCCTTCACAAATACTTTGCATGTTTTTGTGCAGCGTGACATACCACCCGCTTGAGACCTGGAAATCTGAAGCACCAGAGGTGAAGCCTTTGTACTAGGCATTTGGCGAGTCGGAATGAGAGGTAATCCGAGCAAAAAGAAGAAAAGATCCTGACACTTTACCTCCTGCTCCTTTTTGACCAACGCCGCCGCTACCTCTGCATCTACATCCTCGTCAGCCTTGTCACAGGCGCGAAGAGCTTTCTCGAGCACTCTCGCCACAGCGTCCCGCTCAGCTCTACTTGCACCGGCTCTGTACAAACTTGCCAGGTCCTTCTTTGTCTGTGCAAGCACTCCTTGTGCAGCAGCCCGCCGAGCGTGGGCCGCACCAAGTGGGGAGGTCTTCGCAATCTTGAGCCCCCTGTCATCCGCTCCCTGGTGTCCATCGCCGTCCGTCAAGGCATTGTGTGGCAGCTCGGTTAGAACAGCATCAGCTTGGGATCCTACGCCTGTTGAAGCGATCCCCACTCTGCTTTTCTCGCGGGGCGGTGGGTTGTACGCTTCCGCGGATTCTCCCTTGTCTGCATCTTGTGAATCCTGCAATGGATGTTTCGAAAGAATCACGAAGGGAAACAACCTTGCATGTTAACGCGAGTTGAACTCTGAAGAGGGAGCATGCAAGCGAATATATAACAAACTTGTATGTTAAAGGCAGTTAGTTGCCAATTTTTAAGATTTCAAACATGCAATCTGCTAATGAAGAGGGGGTTAGTGATGGTCGATGTTGTTCAGGTGACCCTCTGCAACAAGATGTATCTCATAAACGCCGTCACTTTTTGCCGGTCCCCCAAAGCAATCCTGAGCTTGGAGCAATCCAGGCTTGGCAAGCGTCTGCATATAACATGCAAGGCCCAAACCAAGAGGCCCAAACCAAGATGTGATTTGGAACTGGACCATTTTAGGCAATGCAATCCTTTTCAAGCAATGCTAAATCTAACCTCGCTGAAAACACATCCTTGTGCACTAGACACCTCCCTCGGATAGCCACTTAACTTTTGAAGGCATGTAGTGCAGGATGGACAAGCAACCAACATGGATGGACACAAAAATGCTGAAGTATGAAAGAGGACCACCAGAAGAATACAGTCCACTGCCAGAAAGAACAAGATTCTTTTGAGCATACTTTGGACAAAGAAGATACAGAATCAAACCAATCCGGTACTTACCCCCTTTCGCTGGCGCTTGGGCGGGGCTGCTGCTGAATCAACCTCATCAACAGGGGCTCCCTCTGTTGCACCCGTACTATGGTACGAACCAGAGCGATGGCCCCCGCTCTGGCTCCTGCAAATGAAGTTTGGCAGAGAATTTTGACTGCCGTAATCAAGTGTAATGGATCCAGAGTGAGTACACAAAGGAGCAACACTTTCTGTCAGCTGCCAGGCACCTGAGAGGCAGCAGAGGTACTGGAGATTGCCATCCAGCCAATGCTACAGACATCCCCATTCGATGCATCCATTTGGCAAAAAGTATGCACTCTTGGAGAGCTGGGGAGGTGCATCTGCAGTACTTGCAAGGAACTTCTGAGAGTGTTTTGAGTCCCCACTTTTGAAAGACAGGCTTGGACACCATCACTGATGCGAATGTATCTAGTATGGAGCACGCACTTGACACTAGACTTTCGGCCTCTGATTGGATTGTGGTGCTCTTGCACTCTCCCCTCTCCCCTTCCGCCGCTACCTCCAGCATGAAAATCGGGCCCGCCCACCCTGCACATTCAGCGTACTTTTTCTGATTTCTTGCTTGAGATACGAGACTGCAAGAATCCGAGATCAAGTCCTGCACAGAAGTGTGCCACGCTATTGTGATTGAGTGCTGGGCAATGCCTGAAAGGTACTTTTGACATCCAGTCACACTGAAACATGTTGAATCTGCTCCAGAGATGAACAAGCAACTAACCTGGAATGTGGACCAAAAAAGTTCTGAGTGAATTGTCCGCTGAATCCTGATTGAGACACCGTCTGCTGCGCCATCTCCTCCTCCCGTTTCCTCTTCAGCTTGCGTTCCTTCTCCCGCTGCCGTTGAGATATAAAGCTGACATCAATCATAGCACAGCCGGACTTGCAGAATCTTTAGAAAGCACAACTTCTTTTGTAGATGTTGAATGCATCTTCCAACTCCTTGCACTTAACTGTTAAGCTTGGACACTGTAGCTGCAAGGATCGCTCATTTTAAGTGCAACTGCAGACGATTTTGACACATCACTTGCACATCCTGCGGTGATACAAGATCCTGCGGTCCACTGCTGAGAACAATCCGTTCAGTAATCATCTGGAAGACGCAACTTACTTGCTGATTCCCCTTGGATTGGTGTTTGATTTCGTTCACAATCTTCCAAGCCTTCCGTGCTCCTCCGCCGATCAGATTTTCAAGCCCCTTCTGCAAATAATTCTTCGTATTTGCCCACCTATAATTAACTTTCTGTGGCTTCCGCTGACCGTAAAAGCGCTCAAGTTTCTTTTATGAAAATCTTCCAGTAGACTGACTTAGGAACTCCCTCAAGACGTCAGGCTCATCTATGTAACGTAGGGTGGCACCATCGTCACCTTCACCAGCATCCATTTGAAGTCAGAAGATCTCGCTTCGTTACGCTTGCTCATTGCGCTTGCTTCACCGTGCATGATCAACATGATTGCACACATACCTAGGTCCTAGGATAGGTAGATTCTGTTGGCGGGAAGCTGTTATACTGTATATAGTACTACTTATAGGCAAGGCGGCCGCGCGCGCCCAGGTCGATCACTTTCGAGACGGTCTCCAGGGTTCAGAGGGTTTAGAAGATGGAGGGCCGCGGGTTTCCGGATAGGGCCGGGTTCAGCTACAGCTTTTTTCGACCAGGGTGCAAATGAAACCAAGAAGTTTCTCAAAATATATGTGACAACTTTCAGAAAACCCAAAATGTCTGAAAGCCGGGCGGTCCATGAGGCGGCATCGAAAACTCGATTGGAGGAACTGCGGGTATGCATAGCACGAGCCAGGTTGACAAATTTTCTGACAGGGCCTTTCAACGTCCTTTGAAACCTTCCGCCTGGGGATCCAGATTCAGATAATTGAGGCTCTATATGCAGGCTGTCGTCTTATATGGTCGAAAATGATAGGTCGAAGCTGTGGGTCTTCCACTGTTCACGGGCCGGGCCGCGTCGGACGCGCGCGCCCGAGCTGAGCAGCCGACAACGAGCTGCCACACGCACTGCGCTAAGCCTATACCTATACCTAGAGGCTATATTCTAATAGCTAGCAGCTGGGCGTTCTAGCTGGCCCTAGCGCTGGCCCTGGGCGTTCTTTCCAGCACTTAAATATGGCTAGGGCTGGGACTACGGTAGTCTAGATAGTGCCCATGGCCTCGATCGCACAATTGAAGCGGAAGGATCAGGACAATGCAGTGTCAAGCCGTCTGCCCTTCCCCTCGACCAGGCTCTCAAAGGTTCTTTCAAGGCTGACGCTGCATTCTACACATCTTACAGAAACCTAGTGTCTGTACACTGGCTGCCGGGTGGCTTCGTGCTTAGTAATCCCTTACTGACAAGCAATCCCTTACTCTCAAGCGTAGCAGGCTGATACTGTATTTCAAAACCCCTTCTAAGCTTTGCAACAAATGCACCTTGGTGCACTGATGTCTAGAAAAGACCTTGTTGGAACAGGGGCTGAGGCAACCAAACAAGGTTTGTGATACCTTCATGGACCAGCATTGGATTGCGAGCACCTGCGTGACATGGGAAGTGGCACAGCAAAATGGGCCAAGGACGCGTTCGCAGGGGGCACCGCGGGCCTTGTCGTGCACACCGTGGTGGCCCCCCTGGAAAGAGTGAAGCAGCTGCTGCAGGTGCGTGGTGTGTCTCATCCACCCATCATTCTGTTTTGAAAGCTTCCTCCTCGCATGTCTGTGCCTTCCGTTTATGAGATCGAGTAGCGCACACTCAATTTATTCCCCCTTGTGAGCAAGATTTTGCCCAGCAAAGTAACTTATCGCGGCCGCAAGTTGTATACATGCATAAATCCTGTTGTCGACAGAGTTTGAATGCAAATAAATCTTTGAAGCACCTCAGGTTGGCCACGTTTTGAGAGGTTGAATCTGGCTGTAGTGTCTCTTTATGTATATTTAGTTGTTGTTACAAAGAGGACATCAAGAGCCTAGATTCAAGAGTTTTGATACAAGCAGTAGCTTGGGTCTGTCAGCAATGTTGGTTGCGTTTTTGGAAGACAACTATTGGGTAAACTTAAGAGGGGCTGAATGGAAACAGATCCAGCCACAGAACTTGCAAAGAGCTGTAAGAAAGGCTAGTCTTGGTCTCTGTTGAGTAGTATTTCTAGCAGCCGCTTCGGGGAGCAACATTACAAAAGGCTGAAGCTTCTTGTGTCATGCGATGCAGACCCAAGACTCCAACCGACGGATACGGCTTGGCGAAATTCCACGATACAAAGGCATAGTGGACTGTTTTCAGCGCATTGTCAAAGATGAGGGAGTTGCGGCCCTTTGGCGAGGGAACTTCAGGTGGGCTGTCACTTTCCAATTGCATAACATTCAACAGACATAATATGAGGCGCTTTTCATCGTTGCTCTCCAAAACAGTCGACCGGACTTTTCGATTGCAAGATAAGCTGAATCTAACCACAGATTCTGATTATCATTTTTGGCCAAAGCAGGGTTCAAAGTCAGCCAGAAAGTGTGTCCCCCACATCAGGTTCTGGATGTCGTCAATGTTGCAATTGATGGTGACCCTCCAACATACTTAAATCGTACAAGCCAAGCCAACCATGTAATCTAGGAGAAGTCTGCAAGTTCCCATGAGCCTTAAGCCTCACGGTCGATCTTGAGGCTGACAAAGTCCGAACTTTTCGCCGCAATTTCGAACATGTCATTTCTAAAGATCTTGTGTCGTCAACCTTCAGTTTCCAGTCCCTTTGTATTTGGGGGCTCCTTCCTTCATGTGCTTGCTCTTCTTTGGTCTCTGTTTCCGACCTCGTCACACTTTTCTCGTCATCATGTCCTTCTGCCACTTTGTGTCGCTCCAAAGCTTATGCTGGTTCTTCATAAGTGGTATGATTCGCTGAAAGATGCGTTCTTTTCGGTGCAGTGACCTGTACCGTTACTTCCCGAACCAGGCGCTGAGCTTCGCCTTCAAGGAGCAGTACAAAACGCTCTTCAACCGTTACGACCCCAAGACTGAGTTTGGCAAGTACTTCGCTGCGAATCTGGCGGCAGGAGGAGCCGCAGGGACTTCCGCACTCGTCATTGTAAGCACTCAACTGCGTTTCGACAACTTATCTTGTTTCTGTTGCCCTTCATGTTCCTTTGTTCGTTGCCTTGCTTTTTGTCCTCCTTCCTTTTTAGCATCTCCGTACGGATTGCAGGATTACTGACCCCAGTCAGTTGTGGAAAGGAGGCGATTTTTGTCGCACACACCTGCTGTCACAAAAATCATCCCCAGATTTGTTCCTTGATATCCAACTCCCAGTACTTGTTATACAGGACCAATGTATCGAGTATGCAGTACTCTCACTTTACGCCCCCCTTGTTCACCTTCAGATTCATCCCCTGGACGTGGCGAGCACGCGCATCACCGCTGACATCGGCACCCATGCCACCCGGCAGTTCCGCAACATCTGGGACGTGCTGTACCACGTCTACAGGCAGGAGGGGGCGCGGGTGAGCCAGTTCACATCGTAAATAAGGAGGTGCGAGGTTGAGTGCACTTACACCGAAAGGTTGGTGCCTTTTTTAGCTCGTTCAGAACCAGAAGGCGCCTGCCTGATCGTTGCGCGGAAGGAAGGTCAACAATATCACTTGTCCGACGACTTTTAATGTCCTGAGGGTGCCTGGTCGGCTTTGCCCTCCGTCTACGGACAGAAAATGCTGGTTGAACGAGGGCTACAGGTAGTGAAAGTCGCTACTCGGCGGACCTTTACGATAAACCGTCAGATGGTGCGAAGCAGACCTTCGTTCAGGATCGTCGTACAAGGCACGGATTGGATGTCTGAAATATGTCACCGATCGTGCCAACAAGCATTCGGATCCCGGTTACCACTCTGAACAAGTTTTGACGTCCTGTAGAAGTCAGCAACTACCACTCTGCAGAAATTCAAAAGGATCGAAAGACGAACAGCCAAAGTCTGCACACTTCGTTATGATTCCTCGCATCTCCGACTATTTCCTCCTCTCGACCGCGTCTCGCCAGGGTCTGTACCGCGGTCTCTTGCCAACGGTCGAGGGGATCTTCGTGTACCGCGCCTGCTACTTCGGCACGTTCGACACCGCCAAATGGGTCCTCTTCGAGGATCCGGAACGGCCGCCGTTTTGGAAGAACTTTCTCCTCAGCCAGGTGAGCAGTCAAAATTGTGAACGGGTCAAGTGCCTGAAATCAATAGGAGGACCGCCTGTTCTGAAGATGTAGTTTGGGCAATCAAGCATTTGTGGGATGAGAGATATTGTGCAAACTGGCGGCTGGAGATTGGTCACTTAGGCAGAGCCGAAGCGAGGCTTTCTTGTGACGTTCTGAAGACGGTTGTGTCGGAGGAGTATGGCAGCTGTGAAAAACCAGCGATCCCGAAGAAATGGAAAAGACAGAGTTGTCGACACCGAATTTTCCTAATCAAGACCTAGTCTCCTTTGCTATGAGGCGCAACAAGCAATCCACGAATGCCGACGGACAGTTGCGAGAACGAAAGTCGGCTAGCGAGGCAAGAATCAAGCAGAAATGACCAGATCACAAACGGTTGACCCTTCCTTTGCAGGTGACGTCAGTCGTCTCCGCGTTTGTCGCTTATCCGTTCGACACGGTGCGGCACCGGTTGATGATGCAGTCCGGGGAGCAGTCGCAGGTGTGAACACGCACCGTTTCGAGCCTTCGACTGACTGGACGTTTCCTCGCTATAATAGGGCCCGAAGTGCAGCCTGGTATGTCGCACAGGCCGCGACAGCTCGTGGCAGCACATTCCTGACACGTCACCACAGATCCCGGTTTGTGTTGGCAGAAAGGCTTCAACGCGAGCTTTATTGGATGATGAAAAAGCTTATCGAACGATGCAGACACCAGGAGGCTCATTCACCAGTGTATGCAGGGCTCTCGGGCCTGCTTCTCGCAAAAACGCCTCTGAGAGTGTTGTCTGACTGCAGGAGTTCAGCAGCACGCGCGACTGCTGGGGGACGATCTGGCGCAAGGAGGGCATCCGCGGATTCTACCGCGGGTGGAACGCGAACGTGCTGCGGTCAGCGGCCGCGGGATCGACGCTCGTGTTGTACGACGAGGTCAAAAGCTGATGGCTGACTGGGGGGAGCGGTAATTGAGTCGGAAAGATGCCGCCTTGTGCAGCCGGGAAGGACAGCTGCTTTGTCGGTCGCTTTCACCAGGGGGCTTGCAAACAGCTCCGGTCTGCAACGCCTGAAAAGACCACGTAGCTCGGCTTTGGAAAGGTGATGAGAAAGGAAGGGCAGAAAGGATTGGATGGGAGGAAACAGGACGGTGACAGGAAACGGGAAGATGTAGAATGGGTTAGAGGAGGTCCGGGGAAGTTTACTGGCTCTGCGAAGGCTTCATTTGATAGCGATCGAAGGTCCTCCGCTTTTATTGAAGCATGATTTTGGAAGATTATACTAGTAGCTCGGCGGTTTGGGTTTCCTTTGGGAGGGGCTCAAGTCCGTCGGCACGATTTATTGTGGTCTAAGATTTCGTAGAGTAGCAGAAGATTCCATATTGTAAGCGTACGGGTTCGCACTGATTGCAATAAATGTGGTCAGATCACTTGGTCCATAAATAAATCCCGGTCAGCTTGGGCGCCTTGATATGACAAGATCATCAGGGCGGGCTAGTCTGCGCGGCTTCGATCCCACATTACAATCATGATTGCACCGGTGCGACTAAGCGTGAAGTCGCTCGTCTTCAGCAGCTATCAAAGTCCAGCACGCGTACATCAAATTCTTTTCTGGTCTGCAGAAGAATCTCGATCGGTAGGTCACATGCATTGGCCCGATGCAACGACGGGTAGGCCGTCTATAAAGCTTTGAGCTATACCGTTCTGAGCTAGCTGCCGATTGCGATGCTATAGTCACAAGTACTAAGACATAAAAGAATGCTTTTGCCATAGATCTGGCAAAGTCGAGCAACTAATGCAAAAGTATTTTGTGCACAAAGGTGCAAACAATGATAAGGATGAAAACGGTTCAACCTGCATGGTAATAATGGAATCCAGGCTTGCCCTCGTCGAATCATTGGTCCTGCTATTACTTTGAAAATGTAACCCTTTTACAAGCCGCCAGATCTTCTATCGGACCAACTTTGCCGCTCAGATCTAGTCTAAGCATCCCCAGAAGTGTTCATCCAATCTGGGATCGGACCTCTTCAAACATTTGATTCAACATGACCAGATGCTCTGGCCTGTACCAAACCCTGCCTGATGTTGATTTTTAGAAACCCTCAGCCAAGTCTTCGTGGCCTACAGACTAAGTACAGAACAAATGTCCAGCTCCGGAATATGTTTGAAGTCCGTGCGGAAGTATGCAACGATGCCTGCTAGTTGGTCTGCTCGAGCTCCTTCTACTGTGACCTGCTTCTACTGTGACCTGGAGTCTCTGCAGATTGGGCATCGCTTCGCAAAGGGATCGGAGCGTAAAGTACGACTCAAATCTACTGACCTCCCCAATCTGCAAGTGCCTCAAGCTCGAAAGCACGTGACCTTCCAGGGAATCTGACAATTGAAGAGCAGAAAAGAACGATTCATCTAAGCTCAGCGTCCTGATACCAGAAGGCAGCTGCGACAGAAACCTTCCGACCGGAATGTCCGTACATTCTATAGCACTGTCAAGAGTCACGGTCAGGGTCTCCAAAGAAGGACATTGCCGAAGAATTGGCACCACACGCTCTGTCCAGCTGTCCATGTTTTCCACGCAAAATCTCCTAAGGCGAGCACAAGGCTGAACAAAGATCACTTGGTGCTGCAAGCCTTCCATTTCAAGCTTCAAGATTTGCAAGGCTGGGGTATCCAGCTTGAGACTTTGGCAACCAGCGTCCAGGCTTAGCAAATTGGGTGCCTGAATGTCAAGAGATAAGGGTCCGCGAGAAGTGGCCAATTCTAGAACTTTCAGCGTGTGAGAGTTGACGACTATAGAAGCATCTTCATCTTGGTCCTCATCTGACTCGGACTCAGAGCCCTCATCTTGGATGCTGAACGTTTTTGCCTTCAAAGTCTCAATTTGGATGCACCTGTGTAGCAGATTCTTGAAGGCTGCAAGGGCTATAGTCGCCCGTGAGAGGTCCATGTGCTTCAAGGACCAGTTAGGAGCCTGCATCAGCTTCTTGAAAACAATAAGACCATAGGGCATCGGAGAAACGCGGAAGGTTTCGATGCTTGACCCCGAAAGAAGGCTCTCCACCATATTCTTGCTTGGTTCCGGATCTGCAAAAATGGACTTGACTCATGGGATCCCCCCATTCAAGCCTGTGTTGATGCAGAAGACGCTGACACATTTTGGTAGATGCTTGAGCATCGTGCTTGAAGAGATGAGGTGATGCGGAACTCCTTCGTGGCTTTGGCTGACGAGCAAGTTCAGTGTCTCCACAGAGAAGCACTCATGTTTTAGGAAAGTTATTAGCCCACGCCCCTCCGCTTCGCTTCTCAGGGGCCAGTCCAAGCTCTTGACCTGATGCGTCAAGTTCTCAAAGCGCCGGCACACCAGCTGCGCTCGAATGAGCTCCTTTGCGGTTTCGAAACGGGCTTCAGGACGCAGATTGTCTTGAACGTGAGCGCCAACAAAATCCAGGATGGAAATGACCAACTCGTCTGGCAGCACATCGAATGTAGTTACTGAAGGGGCCATCGTGGCTTCTGTTCCTAGATATCTGAGTAACTAATATCAGCGGTAGTTACTGATATGCCGCTATGCCCACAGCTTGATAGCTTACTTGCGTGGAAGGGAGGGTCACTAGCAGATGAGCAAAATCTTACCCTCTCACTTGACGATCCACAATCTAGTCTAGAATAACCGCGCCCCTTACTCCCTGGCCCCTTTTCCTGGAGATGAAGCATTTTCTGCATGTGCACGCTGCTTCGATGCTGCTAAGAGGATGCGACTGCACTTGAACAACAGCCTGGACAGAAAGCACCTGCTTGCGAGTACTTATGTAGGTCTAAAGACCAGAGCCTTAGGCATAGCTCTTGTGATATGAATTTAATGATACGACTGCATCACAAGTATCTAACGGGCGAGTGTTAGCGAAAAGGTAAGGGTTACAATAAGTTCCGACCATCGAGATTCCAAAACTTCGGTTGTGAACGTCGGTCCAGGCGGAGTCCGCTGCTTCCCGGCGGATTCCGCTGCTTCTCAGCGGGCTCGACAGCTCGACTTGGCCATCATCCACCGCGCGCCCGCGCCTCGGGCGCGTGGCAAAACCCTGGGCAATCTGAAGCATGACGGTGACGTTGCGTCACCCTGGGGAAGATGCTACATAAAGATTGTAGAGCCTCATACCAGCGTCGGTGTAGCATCTCAACCAACTTGAACAGCTGAAACGGGACGTCTGAGCCCGCCTAAGCATAATGATGTCGGTTCAACTCCGGCCGCCGACCTACCCAGTTTGTGATTCTCTTTTTCATTGCTTTCTATTGTCTTGCTTGCGGCAAGCACCGTCCGCTTTCAGGTCCCATATTCGTTCCACTTTTGGTCCCGGACGAACTTTCTCGAAAGAGAGGCTCTCATTGCTTAGAGCCGCGCGCGAGCGCTGTACACCGGTCAAGCCAAATAGTTCGCTCCTTTTTCTTTGTGCTGCCGGCTGTACCCGGCCCATCCTTCTTATCCTTGTACATCTTGTTCAAAATAGTCACTATTAGGACGTCTACATGCTTTTCTCTGCGAAACTCCAGCGCCAGATTCGAAAGCCGAGTCGCTGAACTGTTCCATTGAAAAACGCTGGTATATGTTGTCTGTAAAGATGTAGCTGTGAATTCTGACCCAAGTTGTATCTGATGCTGCGTGGAAAGAGATCATTGCTCAAGTGAGCCAATCAAGGACTCCACCAGTCATCTCCTCTGCTTATCAAAGCTGAAAAAGTTGCACAAGATCATGATTCACCGACTAAGATTTGGGCAGCATTGTTACGGCAAGCCCGTAAAATCAGAGCAATCGCCAGAGCAGAGTAGAAGCAAGCGTATCCACGGCTTCGTTTCTTTCAGTGCTTAGTACAAAGCAAGATAAAAATTCAGGACTTCCTTATAGATATCAACAAATTGTCTGAGGAGGACATTTTCTCATTTACATTTCGGAGTCCTCGATTTCCCGATTGGTGTGATTATACCAAAGGCACGACACACTGAGATTTAAAAGGATTGCACACTCGTCAGCACCTTTCGGTCGTTTTAAGGCACACTTTGAGCCATCCAATGCTTGACTTATACCTCATAATATCCATTTACCCGCAGGATTTATCAAACTCCAATCATGTCCATCTGCGGCTAGCACGGAATCCAATCGCATATCGATATGTGCGACGTCGACTTGAGGCGCGAAACCAATTGCATCCAAGTTTTGTAAAGTATCACGGAACAAGAATGAGAACAAGCATTTGACAGAAGGTTCTCAGCCACCCGTTCGCTATCAGTCGTACGTAAACAACTGGATACATGGCCGTTCGTGCCACGTCTACACACCTCCATGATGCTGCAAATTTCTCAGAACTTCAGAACGTTCTCTATCTGCTGACCTGCTGTTGCCACTTGACAACTCTACATCCCGTTTGGAAATCAATGATTCAAGCTGTTGTATACAAATACTTCAGTCTGCTTTGCTGCTACTCCTTCGCTCGGGGTCTGTGCACGTGCTTAATGCCAGTAGGCGGAGCCTTCTTATTCTCGACTAAAAGCGACGGGAAAATGCTGTCTTAACTGTCTTAAGCTGCGCGGCATGTATCTGGCGTGCACAATCCGTCTTCCTGTTTCGGTCCGTCCTAGTTAATGCAGTCTCCTTTCGGAATCATGCTCGTCAGAGCAACGGCTTCTCCGATCTGGACGAAAGACAACGCTGCGTTAGTGTGAGTGGTCAAACAACTTTAGAACAAGAATTCAGGACCCTTGAACATCCGACTCTGGTCGAGAATTACGTATGCGCGTCCGCTTCGTTGGTTTCACCGAGACTGATTCAGGACGATCCAAAGATTGTACGAAGAAGCGTGATTTGCAATCAGCTTTTAAAGAAAGTTCAAATAAGATTCGTACAAACGACGACATAAGGGGACGCATCAACCCCGCAAGCGCTTTGGAGGGCGTAACTGTGTCTCGTCTGAAGCTGCCAATATCAGAGCCCGGCGCTCCTGTGTAGACCAGAGCGCCCGACGCAAGAAAGTAGAATGCATTACAGGCGGATGTACTTTGTAATATACTATGCCAGCTCAAGTACACGCGCTCTTGAGAAGAGCCCAAAAGGGCAGTGAGCAATAAGTGGGCAAGGCGATTCAGTCCAGCCGCCTCGCAAAGGCTTTCATTCCGTGACCGAAAGCGCATCATCACGAGAACCGTAAAGAAAAGCGAGTTGCAGACTCACCCCCATGTTTGCGGTGAAGAACTGGCAGTCGAGGGGCCGGGGCGCCGGGAGGGGCTGGTAACACCCGGTGGCTGGCTCGAAGTAGCGCCGCTGGTAGTCCCGGCCGGGAGCTAGTGTGAATTGGACCGAGCCCCCGTCGGGGGTGAAGACCAGGTGGCCGGCAAGCGAGCAACAGGGGCCGGGGCTGTGTAGCTGGGACGACGCGCTGGCGTTCTGCAAAGACGGGTTGGAAGGACCTGAAAACTCAGAGTGATAAGTGCTTTGGTTTCAATCAAGCACGTCCGAAGTTGATTACTTCGTGGATCTAGGTGTTGATGATTGTGTAGGGAAGGTAGTGTATGTAAAGACCAGAAATGGAGTCGAGGGCTTGAAATGTAGTCAGCTATCTCTTACGCAGACGGTAAAGATCAAAACCGGCTCCTTGTTCAGCCGGGATCACGGGTTCTGAAAAATAGTTCAGAGTGACTTTAGCGTCAACTTCGACCCTCTACTCAAAAATCTGGAATTGAGACCAGAACCAATGAAGGCAACATATAGGCAATCCAATTTTCTGCTTTGAAATGGGCCCTCCCATCGCTTCTCGGCCCCAAAGACGCCGTTTTTTTAAGCATGAAGGCGATGTAGTCCTCACCTCGAAATTCAAATACACGATTGTCCCAGTCCCCGCAGCTTGCACCAGCGCCTCTTGCGTCATTTCTATCGCCACGGGGGGTGCCTTCGCCTGCGGAATCTGCCCCCCCGGATGGAATGCGGAGAACGCCCGCTGGACCTGAGCCCCAAAACCCGCATGCGCAACAGACGCCCCACCGAACCTCGTTGGGCTCCCCTGACTCGGTGGGAATACGCCCCCCTGATTGAGTGAGAATCCGCTCCCCTGCCCAGGTGCGAGTGCGCCCGCCTGCCCTTGCGTGAATAAGTTCCCCTGTCCTTGTCCAAGGAAGCCTCCCTGACTTTGTGTGAACCCGCCCCCATATGAGCCCCCTTGGCCCATCCCAAACCCAACTCCTTGACCCGATGCAAAAGCGCCCTCCTGACCTGGCGCAAACGCGCTCCCGTGACCGGACAAAAATGCGCTCCCTGGATTTGGCGGGAGGCCGCTTCCCAGCGTGTAACCGCCGGGCCTTTCTCGCAATAACGGGTTACCAAACCCGCTTTGATAACCCGGGGCGAACGCGCTCTGCGCGATGATCCTGGAAGTCGGCGACATTGAAGAAAACCGGTTTGGAGAACCCTCTGGTTGGGAATACTGTGATCCATGTCCTAACCCGCTCATGGGCCCCCCGAACCCGAAGCTTGGGTTACCGTTACCTCCGCCACCAAACCCGCCCGCGACCGAACCGAACGGACCGAAACCCTCGCGCTCAAATGCGCGCGCACTGGGACTGGCGAAGCTTCCGCCGGGCATTCCGGCCGGGGTGGACGGAAGCGCAAAACCGGTTATCGAGGCACCCGGGCTAGGTGCCATGTACGGGTCCGTTCGACTCATAACCGGGCTACTGGGCGCTTTCTCCGCGTCAGAAGCACCGCTAGAGCTTCGGCGCCGCAGTGAGGCGGAGCTCTTCTTGCTGGAACTTCTAGAGGTGCGCGCGTCGTCGTCCGCGTCGGCGGACCCTGAGCGCGCGCGGATGCGCTCGCGCGACGCCGACCGTGGCTTCGCGCCGACGCGGCAGAGCGCGGCGCAGCACTGGAAGCACATGGAGAAGATGCCCAGGCGGTACATGACGACGAGGACGAAGAGGACTGCGGGGAGGGAAAGGCGTGAAGTGATTTTCCAGAGAAGCGAACTCGGATCGCCCAACCTATCCTCGGATAACCTTCATTTAATCTTGCTCCGATCCCTAAGCGCAACTGGGAAAAGACTTGAATGGATGTAGCGAGCGTTCTTTTTAAGTACGTCGGATCGCTGCTGTATAGTAAAAATAGACGAGTCCTGGATTCCAAGGCTGCTGCGTCGATGTTTGTTTTTTAAGAGGGAACCAAAAGAGTTCTGAAAGGTCTTGAAAGCTAGGAAAGCTGGAGAATACGTCACGGTGCGCTCACCTGCGATGATTGTAATCATGAGGCCGATGAAGGACACGATACGGCTCCAGCAGCCGGTTAGGAAGGCGCAGGAGACGCTGAAGATGGAGGGGCACAGCTGCCTGGACATGACAAGGAGGAGCGATTGTGGGTTCGATTTCCTCCATAAGTCACAGACAGTCTTCAAATCACCGCTCAGAGATAGTACTCAGATCACCGGTAGTGTGAGGATAGCCCGGATTCAAATCACCAATTGGTTCTGCGGAGACGGCAGTTGGAAAAGTCCGCCTGGGAATTGGCATAACCAAGGGATCCCCTTGCATAGAAGGGCTGGGGTGAGATGCGCCAGAAGGGAATTTTCTCGTGTACCGTATTGATAAGTTAGGCAGGGAACGAGCAAAAAGTGTAGTCCAAATACACTCCTGCAAATGCTCGGTCACCAGGTTTTTTTGTCACCTTACAAGTAGGACGTTTCTGCAACCTCCAGGACACGGCTAAAGGACTCCCAAGAAACATATAGCAAAGCGGGATTGATCTTCGTGCGTAAAGCTATCAGTTCATCGATGTCTTAGAGACGACAAGATTTTGATACTGCAGAAGAAAGGGAGATTCCGCAAATCGAAGCTTACACGCAGGTTAACGCCGCAGTTGGTGGGCTCTGAGCTTGGACGACTGTGCTATTGGTGGTTTGACCGACAGTTAGGTTACCGCCCTGCGCTCCCTTGTCGTAGAAAGTTGCGTTCGTGTAAAAGAAGACGGTACTGATGTCGGTTATTTCACCCACCGAGTCGTACAGGATGACTGCAAAACGGGTTGAGGGGTGGGTTAGGAGGGGTTACGTAGACTTAGTGTGGATCAAAAGAGAAACTGGTTCTGTTGCTGTAAAGTTACGGGCGTACCTTAAAAGTTCAACTTTACGATCGGGCTTGGACAGCTTGGATTAACAACAGGACTGGGTAAAAGACTGACACGAAAGAGGGGATTCAACGACGAGTGTGAAGCTCTTAGTAATCCACCAAGCGAGTCGGATGCTAATGCCGAGGCGGCTTCAAATTTTTGAGTTCGGCAGATCTGCTCCAAAAGTAGAGGGGAGAGAAAGCCCAGTCAAAGGAAAGCGGATGCTGTTTGAAATCTGATGCTCTGGAAACCATCCTAGGACTGTTCGAGGTCCACCCCCACGTCGAAACTCTTGAAAACAATTCCGCTACGCTTGCCTGTGCAGTTCCGCTGCGTGGCCTGGTCGTCCTGCACGACGACCGGAAACGCGAAGTCCTGCGTCGCGTTGGGAGCGATGCTGTGCATCTGCGCCTGGATGGGCAGAATGTTGTCGCTGCAGTTCTGGACCTGAGAAGCACATCAGAACGAGGTTTGAATGTAAAGGTTTTAGAGGTGAGTTTGAGGTCTTGCCTCTTTATCAAGATCTGCTGCTCTTAATTCTAAATGCTTTTATTACTTCGTGTGTGGCTTTGAAACATGAGGTGGAAAAGAAGAGGAAATTAAGTACGAAATAGCCGCGTAGGGTTGAGTAAGGAAGAGTGTGGTCTGCACGCAGGGCTCGACTTCATTATCCTGATAAAGTTTAATATGTATTGCGCAACAAGATATTTCAGAGTTCTGGGCTCAGATTGGGTCCTGATCACTCTTCCTCTTTCGCTAATCTGTCCACCTCTCATGTTGTTGCTAATAATTTAAGACATAACAAGCAAAGTGGTTTGGTGAAGACAATCGAACCATGGGGTACAGCTTACCGTCAGCGTGTAGTCCGCGACCAGAGTTCCGTTATTTTGTACAGTGATGGCCATGTTTCCGTTCCGCGACACCGCTTCGAAGGTCGGAACTACAGCGGAAACGATCTTCCCGGGGCTTCGATTAACCAGGTAACGGGCCTCGTCAGCGTTCAGCTCCAAGCTGACCACGCTGGACAGAATCTGGTTAACGACGAACTTCAGCTTTAACCCGGAACTCTGCAAGGACGAGCCGTACACTGGTCAAAGTCTGATTGAAGCCTGCGAGGCAAAATGCCATCGTGCAATTGCGCGTTCGACCCGGAAAGGGGCTTTTATAATTAATTGTTATTTTCAAATTCAGCGCGCTCCGCTCTTCAGGGGCTGCCGGCAGAATGACCAGCGCTCAACCGTCGCCCAGCTGTCAACAACGAAGAAGAATCGATCTCTTTCCGCCTAGGGGATTGGAAAATGAGGAGCGCGAAGAATCTAGATGAGGCCCTTTTCAGTTGTCTAACGCCCCATTGATTGTGCTCCCTCATTCGGGGTCGGTGTTTCAATCAAGAAGAGGGCCAATGTTAAACACCGTCAGCCATGCCACGTGTCCGACTCACGTCCGCGGCCCCGGTCGAGATGCCGTAGCCGCTGACGAGGTACTGCGGCACGAGGCCGGCCGCGACGCGCGCCGCGTCGGCCTTCGCGAGGTCCACCAGCTGGTTGGCCAGGCACGTGCCCGCGTATTGTTCGCACCGGTTGGGCTGATTTCGAAAGGCGGTGAAGCTCGTCCCGATCATGTTACACACGGTGCCGTCAAGATTGACCTGCGTCTTGTCGATAAACATCCACGTGGACGTGTTGGCGGTCAGGCGGCCGGCCTGGGGGAAGCGGATGGTGACGTCAGCTTGGAAAGTAGAATTTGAGTCTGCTCGCGGAGAAATTCGGTTCGGCGTCGTGACGACCTTGTAAGGAGATAGGCTGGATGTTATATATGTGCCCTGACAACAGCAAAACGTGGTCGAAGAAAAGTCGCGATGGCGGTAGTCCTGTCCATCATGATGGGCGGGTGCGGATATCATGTGGCAATCACAAAGGTGAAGAGCCCTCGTCGAACCTGGAAGATATTTCCGGCTCTTTGCTGGCACAAAGCTTTCTGAAGATTCCTGTTTTGTCCACATAATATGGTTCCTCGGTGCAATTCCAGCGTTTCAGCGTCAATTTGTGCAGAGTCTGCCTTGCTCGCGCCCATCTTCTATATTGAGTAATCGAAGGACAGATGTTTAAGGAAACGAAATCTTTGGATGAGATTCACTGACCTGCGCCGCAGTCTGAGGAATCATGAGGTACCGGTCGCTGAAGACGGGCAGCTGCGTGTAGCTCGCCAGGTCTCCGGGCAACCGGGCCAGCACATTTCCCTCGGTTGTTTTTGCTACTGGGACGCTCGGACTCAGGATCAGAGTCTGGACGGCGCTGCCGTTGGAGACCCGGCCATTGTCGCTGGGCAGCATCCGGTTGACCGTGATCTGTCGGAGAAATGGGTAAGATTATCGAGGATTTTGACAAGAATTCCAACAGAGCGTTGAAGAGAATTGAGTTGCACACATTTCAGGGCAACGCTTGGCTTGCCCACTGATTTACCAAAAACAATCGGTTACCCGTTTCGTTTGCTTACTTGCGCGGGCGACGCTGATCGACCCGGTTGGGAGCCGGTAAGAGATCCGGGAACGCTTACCGTTCTTGGCAGGGCATATAAAAGCTACGACTACGTATTTGAACCGCGAAAACTCCCTGATTAGGTTTCTTAAGACGTATTGAACCGCTGTACAATCAACGTTTATTCAACCGATCTACAAATGAGCTTTACTTTTCGACCCCCTCACCGAGAACGGAGCAATCGGGGCAGACACACTGATGTACCCCAGTCGATTTCCCATCCACCACTCTTGACCACCACACCCCTTTGAGCCTCTTCACTTTAACGGAGAAACCCACCCCGGTATCGGATTCACGGCTCTTACCCGTTGCACCACTTCGCCACTCTTCATCTCCCGAGGTATTCAGTCTATCGCCACGGCTACGTACTGACCATCAAACCACTTAGCCTTCTGAGGCTTTCCAGCAAGCCTGTCCTGGTGTCAATCGTTTCCCCTGCAGCTGAAAGTCGGGCGATGCGGCCCCAATGACGTACCGGGTCCCACTTCGCTGCCCTAAACGGACCGTGCATTTTTAGCCTCTCCCAATCCACAACCAGCCGTCTAAACTTTCTATTGACTGTTCCAAATGAACGTTTCTGCTGAATTGCCCACCTGCAGCTGAAAGTCGAGTGATGCGGCCCCGATAAGGTACGCGGGGTACCAGTCGGCGGACATGCGCAGGCAGCTGGCGGTGGCGGGGATCCCCGTGAGGAAGAGCGAGTTGGTGAGCACGTTGCAGTTGACCGCGAAGCGCCGCTGCTGCGTGCTGGTGCCGCCCGTCGTGTCGCTCCACGTCTGGTCCACGCCGCACTTGCAGCAAAAGCCCTGTACGGGAACAAATGAGTTGAACAAGAGTAGTGGGAATCATCTACCGAGAAGTCATAATTTGCGGCGCTCTCGTCGATTTTGGCAGTTTTTTACGTGTCTCTCATCCACTTCTACAGTTATAATAGGTGCGGCGTGACCCCTGTGGTGATTATAGCAAGGAGGAGGCCAGTGAATAGGGGTTACGCGACACATCGCCAAGAAGTTAAGGGGAAAGAGGTCAGTGCGAAGTCATCATAGAGTTTTTCATCGGAGCCGAGCTGAGGACATCGACAATTTTTGAGATCACCGGGATCAATGCAAGTCCGCAGCGAATCTGCTTGGATGAAATCAATGGGCAGCTCTGCACGAGAGTGCTTGCTGCTCCTTCGGAGTTCTGGGCGGCTCGAAGAACTTCGCAGCGCGGGGCAAGTGAAAGCCAATGCAGACAACGGGGACTCTCACCTGGCTGTTGGGAACGCGTGACCCGTCCTGTGCATAGTACCAGCCGCAGGTGGCCTGGTCGGCGAGGGCGCCATCTTGACACTGGTTGGTAAGGATGATCTCCTCGTAAGGCTTGGCGTTGAAGGACTGAACACAAGCGTGAATTAGCGTCAATCAAAGCGCCTTCGCTTTAGCTGCTGATTTGATCAATTCTGGACCTTCGATATCAGTGAAGCACTTTTTGAACGGTCCAAGAGGCAAGCTTACGTGCGCGGAGCAAAAGGCGTTCCTCGTCATCATGAAGCACTCCAAAAGGGGCTAGAACTCTTAGCGTCTCCAGAATAGGTGCACAAAAGAGCTAGAGTCCTCGAGACGTCAGTGGCCTGATTGAGCTGCTTAGACGGGTAAAGCTCGACCAGCCCTTGCGAGGTCTTTGCCAAATTTAGTGTTGGTGCCTCATTGGGAGGCTCGAGAGAGCTATGAAACAGAGGGTAGCGCTCTCAGGGTTTTCAACATGGCGAACAGAGAACACGCCCAGATAACTAAGCAGATTCGCTTGGTCTTGGCAGCTCTTCCAAAACTTGCTCCAAGAGCTTCCGCAATCGTATGTTAACTAGGTATAACGCCTCACCCGGAGGAACGAGAGCGGGTACGTGGCGTAGACGGGCGTCTTGACGATGCTGATCTTGTACGCTTCCGCCAGCTGTCGGACAGTTCCGGTGGCGTCCGTCACGGCGGACAGGGTCGCCTCGAGAGAGTCCGTGGCCTGGGTCTGCATGGGAAGCGGATCCGCTCGATGGACTCGAGCGCACACGCTCAATCTTCATAAGAATAAGGTAACAACACCGACCTTGGATCACCGGAATACGTCAACCTCAAATCTCGAAGCCGACTTCAGCGACGTTAGAATTGTTCCAGTTACCTTTCCCGAATTGAGTGAGAGGAAAAGGTGGCCCAAGTTTGAAATCGGCTTAGAAAGTCTGCTGCGGAACTCGATTGCACGAGCACTGATTGCCATGATTCATATTGTCTTTAAATCACCCGCGAACGAGCTCAGCAAAAAGCCATCGGGGCTTTTTGACGGTTGGAAGCACAAGTGAAGCTCAGTCTAGCTTTCAAAGGTACTTCGCGATATAAATATCATACGTGGAAGATATGACGAGTCCTGCAGCAGTGCGACATCTTGGCCTTTTTGCGCGGAGGCCTACCTGCCCGTTTTGAACGATGAACGTCACCAGAATTTTGTTTTTGCACGTGATGTCCGTGCTGGACGCGTCCGCCAGCTTTGCGGACACCGTGACGGACGGCGCCCCGCCGCTGACGTCAGCGGCCGGCTCCTCAACGTCAGCGGGCGCCCCGGAGGGACCGCTTGAGCTTTTACCACCCGGAACCGGCGCCCCGCCTATGCTGCCAGCTGTCAAAACTTTCCCCGCGCCGGGCGCCAGAGCAGGAACCCCCATTGATGGGCCGTTTGCGGCGGCACCGATAGGGCCCGCTGCCGGCCCGCCCCCGCAACTCGAGTTGGCAGAACCCTGCCCGAGTGAACACGTGTTCGAGGATGACGTCATGCCCGGGGCAGGTGCGGGGCGGTGCGTGATTGGCGGGGAGAAAGCCGCGTCGAAAGTGGCGGGCCCGGGAATGGGTGCTGCTTGGCCGTTAGTGACGGCGTCTAGATCCCCAGGAAACATGAAGGTGATTTCTACTGGGCGGGTTGGCTGGTAACTCAGAGTGGTCAGGTCGACAGACTGGAGGGACGCATTCCCACTAGGGGGTGAGCCCGTGACTACACAAGACTCAAGGTTGCTGCTCGACAGGACGAAGGCTTCGGTGTGAACACTCTCGTATGACAAGAGGCTCAGCATTGCAACTAGAAGCGCATGCAAACCCCATTGGATTATGGGAGCTACACCCATCGAGTGGCCCTGCTTTTGGAGGCCTCTTCCTGAGCCGCCCGCCATTTCGGGGGCTGTTAGTCAGAGATTATGGGGAGGGGCAATGCCATACGCGTTCTCACCGGCATAGATCTATGTGCGACTTAAGTCCCTGCGCTTTAACTGAGTCCAAGACCTACTTGGAAATTGAAGTCTCGGATACGGACTCTGCTAAGTATGCTCCAAGGTTTCGCCCTTTGCTTTGACAACGTCTCTCGTCAGCTTGCAGCATTTTTGGCGGATCATCCGGTCTAAACCTTCGCAGTTGGATTGAATCGTCCCCTTCTCTGTGCCCTTCTTTCGCCTGTCAATTGGGGGCAATGAGACATTCTTGTTCTGCCCGCTGGATTTGCCCACTGGATTTACTTGCTCAGAAAGCTGTGGATCGTTCCACTTAACACCATTTAGCTCTTGGACTCCTCACAGGGTTCGCCTGTCCATCACAGTTCTTGCATGACTCGTCGCGATCAAGATGACTTTGTAAAACCGGAGGACCATGGCCTGTCAATGTAGTCCTGCGATCCTGAATGACGCAACCCTATAAATACATCGGATACAGTATCCGATTCACTCAGCTTCTGACATGTCGAACCATAATGTCCGGTATTGTTTACATGACAGTACGTCCTGCGAAAAGGAAGGCAAATGGGGCTGTCAAACCGGACGTTCCCAGCTTGCTACGTACTCGTGAAAACAGGGGTACATTTCATTTCAGATAATCTGCTCCAGACTCCGTTTCTACGACTGAGCCTACAGCCGTAGTCCAATGCAATAAGCGAAGTAGGAAATAAATCAACTCAAGTGCATAGCACCCTCTGCTCTCTTCGACACGTGTACGTACAGGCGTTATCAGAGAATGGACTAGAAACCGCCCAACTCAAGTGTGCCGTATAATTGCAACGGCCGTTAAACCGCGACCTAATCCTGTTCCTAACCCAAATCTCTGTTGGCGCACTTTCCGCTTCTCCTACGCACCTTTCTTTACTAGCAAGTCGGCTATGCGATCTGCTGCAGAATATATAAGGTTAGTGCGGGTGAGCAGTGGTCAATTATCGTGCGAATATTGCAACTTCCGATGGTTCAATGGCCGTGCTTGTAAATGTACAAGTAAACGCGCTCACCCGTCCACAGAGGACATGACTCGATCACGAATTACGAGCAGTCGAGCTGACGGTCTTGGAGAAAAGCACTAGCAGTAGTCAGCGGGTATCTTGGTCAGCCCAGCCGCGGAGTAGGGTGCACATTTCGGGCGAACATTTTCAGCCGGCCACTAAAAAAGCTGATTGAAGACAAGTCGAAATATGCCCGGCCTGTCCCTAATAGGACGAGATTATATCGCTACTCTGCTTGTTCTTTAGCTACCTAATCCTAAGTTGCGAAAGGTTCGAACTTCGGATCCTCGAGCAATGCGCAGCAGCGCGCCCTCGAGGCATGGAGGGCTTCATTGCTCGCGACGCTTCACCTTCCATTCTCAGTCTGAGTCTGGATTCGGACGCCGACCATGACCGAGTCCGACCGATCAGTTCTATGAGTCCGCGATCCAATGATTGGACTCAAGTTTGCCGCGTCCGAAAGCATCGCGCGCGCGCCGCGTAAACTTGAACCGGCTGAAAGTTGCAGCATTGGCCGGTCAGACATATGGTCCACGTGATCATCGATGATTGCAAAGTCGACGTGCCATAGCCTATGCTACTACATAACTTTGAATATCGACCTACTCGTAGTTAGTGGTGCATCTACGTGGCGCGTGATGTGCGCGACACAAGCAGGGACTGCGACGTAGGGCAAGCTGAGCCTCACACCCACCTAGGTGAACCTAGACCGGTAGGAATCTATTATCTAGGATGCTCAAGCCTCAGCATGGCCGGGTATTCCCGTATTATTATGTTGAAGACAGCTAGTGCTCATGGTCAGAAAATGGGAAGAGCTGAGCTGAACAGACTTTTGGAATGCATGCATCTAGCTGCTATGTGATGCACAGAGAGGTGGGTAAGTTCATCGAAGTAGACTCACTTTCTGGGGGCTTCCTTATGCCAGCTCGAGGCAGCACAGGCTTTGCAGTTCAGTCTTCTACTTCTTGCCGGAAGCTCAGCCATTGATGTAGCGACATCAGCTGGAGTCGGACGGCGTTTAGGTTCTTCTCTGAGCTCTAGCTGGGGCTGACTTTGCAGCATTGGCATTGGAAAAGCAGCAAACATCCAGTTAGTTGCTAGTAGGCTAAGTTTCTCTACGCTGCGATTTGGGCGTCATTTCAGCTCGACAAAGCGCGTCCCCCATCTGAGCTTGACAAAAATCAGTGCATTGGGTCGCGCGAGCAAGGCACTACAACGATGGCAGACAGCAAGGCCTTGTTTCTGACTCATGGGTAAGTCATTGTTCCGCTCAATACTCCACCCTGCAAAATTCATTGAATGTCATTGAATCGTTTTGCTAAGCCTTTTTGCATTACTGATCACCACCTTGGGATCTGAAAATGGATAGTTGGCAATGCGAATGAAAAACATACATGCCAGATCTCTACACACTGGTAAAGAATCTAAGCTTTAGAGTAAATCCAAACAACTCGCATCTGTCCCTTCATTCTCTATCTTTTGATCACTCTGTTTGTACCAGGATAAGGAATCCTTTCAATTCAAGCGGTCTCTGCGTGCATTGCTCTGTCATCTTTCTCTATATAGTTTGGATATGCAGTTGGACACAATGTAAGTTGGGCATGTTTTCTGATACCCTTTCAGAACTCTAAGCTTCTGTCGGCAATAAAGCTTCTCATAGTAAGCTTGCATGGCTGCCCCTTAACTTGCACCAGCTTTTCAGAAAAATTAGAGTTAACTGATCCTGGTTGCTTGAAGTTCTGAGCTTGCATTACATCTGTTTACATTCTGAAGTTCCTCGGGGTCCTCAACGTTTTACCACATTTCAAGAACTCAGAGCATGCACAGCTTTGAACTGCCCATCGCCATTCCGGCCCCAATTGTCTCCTTTGCTTCGTGGACTCTTCCACCAAACCTCTGAACTTCCAAGTAGTCTGTTGAAATGCCTATACTTTTTCTGCTTGTCACATCTCACATTGAAACTCGATCATTGAAGAAGTTTTTGTCCATCATCAGTATCTCAGCTCAGCAAAGAGCGGACTCCTTGTCCATTTAAACCCCTTCCCTTACCTTCACAAACAGCGGACATTTCTGGTTCGTCGCCCGCCTGAGGTTCCTTATCTCGTATCGACTTTCATTCGTTTCCTCTCCTACAGGGCCCTCATGTTCCTCGCCTTTGGCGTCTTCTTCCCGCTCGCCATCATCGCCGTCAAAGCCCTCCGAGGCTCCACGCGACGATTTGTGGCCGTTCACATTGCCCTCAACGTCCTCGGCTGGATCCTAGCGACTATCGCCATCATCATAGCTTATGCTAAATTCGACGCCATGGATACCATGCACGCGCGAATCGGCACCACTGTCATTATCCTCGTGTGGCTCCAGCCTTTCGCCGCGCTCCTGAGGCCGAAAGTGGGAACCCCCATCCGGCCGTTCTGGTTCGTGTTGCATTGGCTGTTTGGCACGGGGATCATTGTGCTTGGGTGGGCCAATATATTCTTCGGGATCGACATCTACCGGGACACCGGATTTGCTGGCAAGGCCAGGGTGAGTTGATCTGCTCTGGAGTGTGCTGCAAGTGTGCAAAAGTTTGGGCGCATTCTTTTTCTCTGATGCACATGTTGCAAAAGGTCCAGTACTTGGAGGCGCATGTCTGGAAGTCCTTGCCGGGCCCCTTCAAATTCACACGTGGATTCTCCAAAGCAACATCCGTGAATCTGTAAGAGGGGCGAAATAGGATCGAGTTGGACGGTTCCAAGTTGCTAAGCAAACTACGAATTTCTGCAATACGACACGAGGTTCTAGTAAGGGCGGTTCGATCCAATTCTGAAGTTTCTCGAAGCAAACACAAGGTACAAGCAAATGATTTTGAACTGCATCCTCCTTGGGCAGTGGACAATGTCTTTGGCTTTCATCCTATCAAGGATCTTTTCAGAAAGGCAGGTCAGTGGCCGGGTTACGAGCAACGAACCTCGTCGAAGTGCCGAAGTGCCGGATATTTTGGATAATCCAGTGGAGATGACCCGCACGTGAGTTTTTTTAGTTCATTCAAAATCACTTTACTGGCCTGCATGCCCCGGTATCAATCAACTCGGATCCGTTCTCTGTGCAGAACATCTACATTTTGTACGGGGTCTGGATCGGCATCCTGGGTCTCATCATCCTCTTCCTGGACAAGCTTCCGCAACTCCCAGGGATGGCACGTGGCGACAATGACGTCAAGCCTGGCGTCAACGGTCATCCGACCATCCCCAAAGTGGGCGGCCCTACCAAAGAGTATCACACAGAAGCACCGGCCAACGTTGTATAATTGAAAAGTTGGTGCCATATACTTTTGTGTTGAATGTTCCCGGTCTATATAAAGCTACATAATCGATAGATTGGGAACTTGATTTTTGGTCAACCATCGCCAGATTGGCGTTTGTGTTGCCATAAAAGGCGTATCTAGAAGCGCCCTCCATTGTACAGAATCCATTCGTAGTAAATTATATGGTAGTAAGTTGGTTAAACATGCCTAAGAACTGTCAAATTGTGAGCTCTATCTTGAACTTACTGATATGCCTGCCCGCAAAGACATTCGGCATTCGATTCCAAATTTTTGAAAAGCTGACAAAAGCTAGTGATACATTTTTCCAAGAGGAGACACGTAGAGACACGTTGGTGCGTTGTATCAGTGGAAGAAGTGTCCATATTTAAACATCTGCGAATGTGCTCGACACTTGTAAGCGAGTGCTTGTATGAGTGATCGTGATGTTTCTCAACAGAGGAAGCATTATACATGGCACAAAAATGTCAGTTGACCTGTGGACAACTTCACCACTGACTATACCGCCTATAACATAGATTCTTTAGTTAGTTTTCAGCTACCAAGACGGCTCAGCTTACAGCCATTGTGACGGCTCAGCTTACACGTTGCATGATAAGCTTAAGTGCCAATTGTGTTTTGCTGAGTGCCCAACATCTACACGCGACGGTCGATATTGTCTGCAAGCTGCAATCATGAGATATCGAAACCATCTGCAAGCAGATCATCATGTCGAATGCCTGCAAGCTGATCGCCTACTATGAATTTGAACCGCCGCCACATCAGTTGCCCAAACGTCAGACAGGAATCGTCACGGAGGCCTTGAGAGACGTGACAATAAATCACCAGTGTTCACTGCCTGCCTTCTCCTTTGTGAGCGCTCAACTCGATTGTATCGCCAACACCGCATCACTCTTCTTTGCGGGCCTTGTCAAATCCATTGCCGCCAGCACGTATGCATCAGTCTCCCGTCCCTTCTCCCGACCCCATTCAGGCTCTTCCTGGTGTTGTCACCTGCCTAGCACGCAAGCCCCAGTTCAACGTAAGTAATAGGCCGCATTAAGTTCTATAGCCTACCGTTTTTAGATGATTGCCGCGGGCACCTGATGCACCGGCTCCCCTCTCTCGTTCCGGTCCAGAATCTTCCGGGCAATTGCCACCTGTCGCCCTAGCACCAGCACGTAAACGGTTCCGGTTCCGCCCGCCCCCCGAGCTGTCCGCCCGACCCGCCGCACATACTCGCTCGGTTCCCGGGGGAAGTCGAACAGCACCACCTGCGCAAGTTTGAGAAGCTGATAAATTTGCACAAGTTTGCCCTTTTGGTTATTGCCCGTGTCAGTTGGCAGCCCATACTTGCTCGGTGAAAGCCTGTATGACATCGAATCGAGACGGCGGGACGCAGAAAAGACCGGCACAGAATGACACTTCTTGGTAAACAGACGAAAAGCACCACCTGCGTGCAGAAACGCAAAGCAAAGGGATTGTCTGCTGTCTGTCCCTCTGGTCGAAGAGTTGGCCACTGCCACCTGCCCAGACGTGACCACCAATCATCGTCCAAAGCACTGCCGATCAAAGCTGTATTCACAAAACTCTGTCACAGAGACGATGACATGGCCAGGTACTCCCTTCGCTGAGAAGAGCCGTAAGGAAGCTTTGTTGAACAAGCCACGGTCTCAATGCGCGTAAAAATTTGGTTGTGGGATTGACGGAATGAGTTACTAGTCCAAGTCCGAAATAATGAAAGCAAGCCGAGCCTTCGGGCAGCCCACCTGCTCCACGTCCGCGCTGTCGACCCCCCGGGACGCGCGATCAGTGCACACGAGAACTAGAGGCTTGCTCCCGGGGCCGCCCACCGGGCGCAGGAAGCGCTGCATGTTGGCCTGCCGGACGTCGGCAGAGAGCGCGGCATGGTACGCCAGGACCTGTGCGAGGAAAAGCGGAGGGTAAGATCGGCGAGTCTCTCCGTGGATTGAACGAAAGGGTGCTGATCAAGCGGAGGTTTGATGAGAGCGATACACAGGTGCTACAGCAGTTTTGCCCACTGCAGGACGAGTGATGGTCAATGTGAGCGCTGTGCAAAAATGCAAGGCTGTGCGGTGGACGCGGTGCTGTATTCGGCATGTCCATCGTGTGATGCATGGAGGTGGTATTTTCCTAAAATCCTAGAATTCTAAACCCAAAGAACCCTAGAACCCTGAAACCCTGAAACCATTCCGCCTCTTTTGCAGTGGGCGTCGCCCGACCCAAAAGGATCAGAAGCTGCGCGGAATGGCGCTTGATATTAAGAAACTGCTACGCTTGGTGTGCTCGAATATGAAACTATACAGATTGATTGTTCGGTGTAAAGCTCGGTCCAACGCCTGCGATCCTGTCGAGCTACGCCACCTTCGTAAAATTTAATATTCTGCAGGCGACCAGCGGCAGCCAATTTGCAGAGGCTTGAGAGGGCGACTTCGAAAAGGCGGTCGACGTCTCACCTCAAAATCGTTTTCCCCCCGATCCCGTCGCCTCAGCGCGTTCTCCACCTTCCGGCACGTTTCAATCTTGTTGCAGAACACGAGCGTCTTCTTCGCGGTGCTCGATCCTGGAAGCGAGTCGAACAGTCCTGGTCAGCTCTTATACGAGACGCACTGTATCTTTGGTCTTCGGCCTTCGCTTGACCACCATCCTTTCTCAAAAGCATGCACGTCTTCGACTAGAGCCTTCAAAGGGGTACTCAAGACGTTGTTCTCGACGGAGTGTTCGATAGTTGCAACAAAGGCTCAAGTTCAGTATACTGTCGAAAGCCAACGAGTTCGTACCTAATGTAATACAGACTGGCCGTCCAACAATCTTGGGTGCTCGAGGTTCGGGAGCCCAAGCGAGGGATCCAACCGATCTGGACGTGCGAACACACCAGAATTTGGACCCATTCACACTCACCGCTCTTTCGCCGCGATTCCCTCCGGTCCCGCGCCGACCGCTCCCGCCCGAAGTCCCACTCGTCGTCGTCGCCGCTCGTCGCGCGCTCCCGTGGCCGCGGCCGGCCCCCGACGATCTGCAACAGCGCGTCCTTCTTGCGCTCGAAGCCTGACTCCTCGCTAATCTCGTCACCGCCACTGCAGTCGACCAGAACCTGAAGAGGAGGGAGCGGGTTCAAAGGTTATCAGCTTGACCAAAGGTCTTCTTTTAGCTTGGCAATCGTGATTCAGTCGCTTATTGACCTCCTCCATAATTTACGCACTTTTTCAGAATGTTGCTCAGAAGCGGAATAAGGGTACAATCAGGATCTTTATCTAGATCTGACTTGAGCAGAAACACAAGACCTTCCGTCTTCGGTGATCAGATCAACACTCCCCAGTTTGTCTCGGAGCTATTCTATTACCTTCGAAAGTTCGATTCACACAAGCTTCTGACATCCGGCCGAACCTAACCTAGAATCGCGATCAATTGCGGCCGGTGGTGTGCAGCGGACAACGAATGCGCTCCGTCCCAGTTGGTGACAAGCGCGCAGAATTTGCTCGACAGCATTCTAATTCCTTCGACATCCAACCCAGATATGAGCGCTTGCTGGAGTGATACTCCTCCTACTTGCCCAAAAACGGAACGAGTCCGTTGATTCCCCCGGTCTCGATGCCACACACTCAAATTTGCGACCAATCTGCGACCAATCTGCTCAAAAAACCATTTGAGACTTAAAGACGGCGCTTACCTCCGTAAGCCCAGAAGCGGTGGTATGCAGATTGGGCCCCAGGACGGACGTCGCAAAGGGGAACTCGGCGAGCAGCCGCTCGTGCACATCGAGCGGGAGCGTTGCCGTCACGAACACGTACTGCGCGAGCTGGGGGGCGCGCGCACGCAACGGGCGCAGAAATTCACCAAAGTCGTCGTCGTCGAAGAGAACGTCGACTTCGTCCACCACGATGCTGCACGACGGGCGAAAAGTCAAACGGTGCACGCTTTGCTTTATGTTCCAATAATATGCTCTCTGAAGAAAAAGCGCGAGCTGGCGGGTGCGCGCACGCAACGGGCGCAGGAATTCGCCGAAGTCGTCGTCGTCGAACAGAACGTCGACTTCGTCCACCACGATGCTGCACGACATGCGAAAAAGTCAATAGGTGCCCGTTTTGATATTTCTCAGATAAAATGCTTCTGGAAAAGATTGCACGAGCTGGGGCGCGCCAGCACGCAGCGGCTGCAAAAATTCGCCGAAATCGTCGTCGAACAGAACGTCGACTTCGTCCACCATGATGCTGCGGGGAAACGAAGAAAATCTGCACTGGGGAAGTGGAGAGACGCTATGATGGGAGTTAAGGGAACACCAAAGAATCTTGGAGGGTTGGAGGATTGCAGAGTTGAAGGAAACAGAGAGTAAAAGGAAAACACGAAAGAAAGCAACTTTGAGAATCGGAAGGAAAGTCTCCACGTGGACATAGCACATGCGTGGCAGCTTCCCATTGCTCGACGTTGGGGCTGGTTGGAGACTTACGCTGCATGGATTGGATGGGTCCGTCAAAACTTCACAGAGTGCGCAATTCGTGAGCTTTCGAACCTGACGGCTATGTCATGGTCGCTGAAGCTACCGTTCAACGAAGCCCATTGGCGAACTATGAGAGAAGTTGGCAGAATCTCAACAGGCAGTCAGTGCTCTTATCAGTACTAGTGAAGAAGGGTGCAAGGCAAAGAACGGAGCTCCTTTGAAAGGGCGTCTTCTACGTTGCACAGCTCAACAAGAACACTTTTTCGGCAACTTAGCTTCAGATTTCGCAAGGTTGTTGAGGAACGTCCTCACGAGACCGATCTTCACAGTCACAGCGATGCAGACGCCTTTTGAGTATTTAGCATTTTGATCCCAGGGTGTTAAACAGCTAACACAAATCCTTAGGAGTACCTTGATACATGTCACTGAGTTCATAACACTCTGTCGAAGCTGTAAACAGTCGGCACTCCCGACGTGTTTGACGCCAGGTTTCTAACGTTGTAGTCGCACAAACTTAACGGGAACACCCAAACAGATGGTGCCACACTTTTCAGTGTGGCACTCGCGGATTCCTCGAAAACAACACAAAAAGCCGCTGGTTCTGCCGGTGAGCACTCTCTACAAAGCTGGATCAATATGTTGGTGATTGCCTCCGAGGAAAGGCGTCAGAAATGGGAGACAGTGCTGAAGCGAGGCCTCACATGATGTATCATCGCAACCACTGCTGACGGGTGAAGCAATAAAGTCTGCTAAAACAGGTTCCTTTGATTCAAGCTCCGGGGCACAACGGTCAAGTGCCCTTTGCTTTGGTCAAAACCCCATGCCTTTCGCAACAATCCGGGAATCCCTCGCGTTAGTCTCGTGGTTTCATATCTTGCTAGGCACATCTTTATTCAAGCTCCTTAAGAGCAGCCGCTTACGGGACACCGTGTCTGAGTCCTTGAAACATATTCGCTCATCCGACCAGGACGGCCTTCAGGAGTTTTGGAAAGAGTCTCCCCCTCGCATCGGAATCCTTTAAAACCTCATCTCGTCACTGAAGGTAGCATGGGAACAAAGGGGGTGACCAACGAGTATGCGGACTGTATGAGGGCCATGTTATCGAGCCGTGATTGGTCATTGCCACCCGAGCTAAAATGATATTCTGCTTACGTGCTCCTAAGAGGTCCTCCCATCACACAGAACATATCAGCAATCACGAAAGGGCGTATACCAAAGCCAGTCCACTATGTTCTTTTAATGGCTTCATGACGCCTACGACAACATGGAGTGAGGCCAGGCCTCATGCTGCAAGAAATCATTGCCATTCCATCCAGATGCCGTGCGGCAAACTTACGGCCATCCCAACAATCAAAATCCAATTGCACAATAAAGAGATTTGAAACCGTGTCCAAAAACAAGGCCTGCCTAAGTATGAAAGGAAGGTGGGGCTTCAGTCTGATATGTCTTCAATGTCCTTCACATCCGTCACAGCAATGCCGACAATGGCAGCAGGGTTGGCTTCCACAAGGCTTGAAAGTTGTTATATTCCAGCAGCTCTAGTTGACGAGCAAGTTCCTTGCTTGAGAAGGTGATGACGGCTTTGCCGATCAAGCTTGAGAGATCTACTTCCGACCATCTTTATAGCGCATACAAATCAAAAATTGCCATGCTGGAAAACTTGCGAGAGTGGCTTCAAGGATGATGGGCAACGATGAGCGATGTCCTCATTGATGTTCATCATAACCACTTTCCTCCCACTGGATCCAAAATTCTGCAAAAGTCAGGTGGACGCTTGGGAGTCGTTACGGTGCGCGGGCTTAGAGCAGTATCAAAGCGGGTGGGGGTTACAACAAACCCTTTCCACGATCTCGTGGACAATTGGGAACATGACTCACTTCGTATAAGTGCCAACGCAACAGGTCCAGTCATGAGGAAGTACATAACCTCTTGGTCAACAACGAGTAAGGGCTCAAGAACAAGCATCGCAAGTGCTTCCTTTTGCAATGGGAAGGCACAATCTAGAGCCAAGATTTGACCTTGACCTTGTGAACCCTGTAAGCGTGCTTTGAAAAGCACTCTCAGATCAATGTCGTGCGGCTTCATGACGGGCATCTAGATAATGAGACAAACCCTCACGCTTCTTCGTCCAAAATCACAGCCACCATGGAGAATACGCCGTTCCCAACATAGATATCTATCTGGCACTCGTATGTGAACAGTCCGTTCCTTGCAGCAAACCTAGCTTCGAAGATAGCTACAAAGTGGCGTAGGTTAAGAACCTGAGCGCTTCGCTCGCAATGTAGGATGGGTGACGGCGCTGGACACTCAATGCCTTTTTCAGTACACAGACGTAGGGCTTCGCCAGAAGAAGCAGATTAGCGGGGCACTTCCAAGAAGCTTCCGGTCCAAAATAGGAAGCAGGATCTTCCATCGCGGCTCTCCAAAGAAGGGAGGGCGTACTGAGATGTCAAGATGAAAGCTCAGAATGTATTCCTTTTAAGGACAAGAAATTTGTGAACATCCATCAGTGGCATCAGCAAAGACACGATTACTGAGCTAGAAGCTCAAAGTTCGCTCTTCACAGCCACAAAATGTTGCCCTGTTAGTACATCGTACGCCAAAGTGGCAACGCTGTGATCAGCCCTCTTATTACTTCCTCAAAATACCAGAGCCCTCAGTCCCGACCAAGGGCAAGCAAGAAGGCATGAGCATTCCACTTGGTGCCACGTCAGGTGTGCCCCGAACCCTATCTCACAAACTCAACTGGTCGACGGTACGTCGCGAGGAATTTACAGAGCTCACGTTCAACTCCGTCCAGGCAGAGCGTTGCCTCTTCGATGAGCTGCACCAGCTCGCTATCGATCGGAGGCGCCAAAAAGGACCATCAGCAACCAAAACCATCACATGTCGAACAATCAACGGCCGCGAAATCAATCTTCAGACTGTGAAGAATCACCCGGCATATCAACCGAAAAGGTGTCCTTAGTGCTCAACAGCTCACTTTTTGATGTCAGCTAGTAAGAGCATCCCTCTGTGAATGCGCTGCAACAAGTTTTTGATGTTGTCAATCTTTCATGAAGAAAATCTGTTCCGTAATCACGTACGAACAGTCGGCCTTCGAAATGAACTCCAAACAGTGAGAAATCAAGCAGAAGCTCTCCGGACACATGAATCACTCAACGTTCTTACGTCGTCCAGGGAGAGCGTCCCCTTCTCGAAGTGCTGCACCAGCTTCTTTGATACGCCGATCACTGAAACATATAATCCATCCGCAATCTCGTTGCAATCTTACAGCCTCCACTTAAAACCCCAGGGACTCACGCACAATTCGCCCAGGACGTTTCTGGACGTTGGAAAACCACTCACGTTTTGACGTCATCCAGGCAGAGCGTCTCCTTCTCGAGATGCTGCACGAGCCGGCCCGGTGTGGCAATCACGACCTCCGCTCCGGCCTCTAGCGCGTCAACCTGCGTCTTCCACTTGTAGCCGCCCGTGACCACGATCGACCGGAACGGCACTCCGCTCATGGACAGGCTCCGAGCAACGGTCAGGACCTGGGAAGCAAATCGGTTTGCTTGGTACATCGTCACAAGGAAAGGCGAACGTGTGATCTGGCTTGTATTCTGGTTCGGAGTCCTCTGTGACCACGGTCGGCCAGGGGCCGCTCGTGACAGGAATTTATGCGACAGTCAAGGAGATGCAGAAAGATTGGCAGGTTTTTGAGAAGCGGTGCTTCATGTAGGTGAAGGCGATGCAGCCTGGTGTGCCCACCACTTGAGAAGCGACCGTGGTTCCACAGCACCTGAGTACCATCAGCAACGAAGTATGGAGGTGATATTAGGAGTCCGTTGTTTTCAGGAGATACAGGTGATGGAACCGTCAGTGCTCCCTGCTGAGCGATGCAGCTGTTTTGGGCGTCTCGACTCCGCCGGTTCAGTAGTAGAGGGCCGACAAAGTGAAGGGGACTGAATCCTCGGCAACCTTCGCAAGTGACAACAGCAGTCATAACCAGGAAGAGACGCTGAACTTCAAGGGAACAAATTAAAAGGTCTGCAAGAGCTTCAAGGACTTTAGTGCTAATGCGATGAGCAATCCGCCTGGGAAACGCGCTGGCAAGCTCCAAGGCTGCACACTCTCGAAATGGGCCCAAAATGAAACAAAGTCCAGTCCATGCTAGTTACTTTCTGAACAAATCTCCATATATGAAGCATAGGTACACAGGAGACGCTACTATACATCATGTATCGTCTGAAAATAACGTTTGAAATTGTACTGTTCGTACATAAATCTTACTTCGACTCTCTCAACGCATAACCGAAAAAAGAGGAAAAAATGGAATTAACACAATCAAAATGTTTTTTCGATTCAAAAAGATGCCCCATATGCCTAAAAGGAACAGACTCAAAGAAACGGTTTGATATTTGTGCCCACCTGCGCGGCCAGCTCGCTAGTGGGCGTCAGCACGAGCACTTTGGGTCTAGTGGGCGCGGCCTTGCGCGCGCCCGCTGCCTCCTCCTGCCGCAGCCGCTGCGCAATGGGCGCCAAATATGCGAGCGTCTTGCCGCTGCCCGTCTGGTCGGCGATGATGCAGTCGGTGCCGGTCAACACGGGCTGGAACGCAAGGGCCTGGAAATAGCAACATCAGTTGTTTTGGCCTTTTTTCCCAGCTTATATCTTCGAATCCACAACACGGACTGGAACGTGAGGGCCTGAGGCTTGCTTTTGCACTTCCGTCTCATTCCATGGTACTCTGACTTCTTTTGTCGAAGTCGAAGGCCTACAAACAAAGGCTGGGTTTGCTGTCGCAATTTCAAACGATCCTTTCTGCGTGTCTCTTCGTCAAAATTTTACAACAGCCTGAAGATGCCCGGCAGTCACGTGGGCCATGTTCAATGGACGCCCCTTAATGACTGGACAAACAGGCTGAGGCTGAGGAGGAGGGCCATTTCAACATGCAAATGTGGAACTAAAGACCCAGTCCAGACGTTTAGAACTACAAACGAAACGCCCAATCTCGGAGGGGCGTTTCTGACGAATACATACGTGCCCCGAAATAATTGTGGACAATCTAAGAACGGGGTCAGTCAAGAGCAGGAGCGGGGTGTATTATTGGCGTAACTTCAGCTACTGTCGATCAGAACGGCTTCCAGACGTTCCTCAATAGCTTAAAGGAGACGCCAAAGGCAGGCTTAACGATAGCAAAAGCATAGAAGCTGTACCAAGCACAGGCCAGATTATTGATGGTCCTATACCATACCCTTCTCGCTTGCTGCATTAGCAGGCTGACATCTTCTCAAGTACAGGACTCGAACAATCTCGTCATCAAAGCAGTATGCGGTCTTGCGTCCCCAAGATGAACTGCCTCGAACTCTGAATGTTTTGCAAACAGTTCGGACCCATCCCCAACCCATCCCAGGACCTCAATCTTGCCTCCCTCTCACCTGTATGTGGCTCGGCCTAAGCACTCCCATCGCCGCCAACGCCACCGCGGCGTCCTCGCTCGCGCCCGCCGTTGTGAAGCTCTTCTTGCTGAAGAACTCCTCTGCTAAGTCGCGCTCGTAGTTACTCCGCCCCGACCCCAGATGCGGCACCTGGGCCGCCTCCTTTCGCAGCTCCTTCTTCGACTTTTTGGGAGGGCCCGGCGCCTGCGTTTCCTCCCCCCTTATCACGGCGGGACCCTCTCCCCTGCTGACGTCATCGTCGAAAGGCGAGTCGCTTTCTGACATGTGAGGGGAAGTTGAGGGCCCCTCCCTATCGGAGGCCTTATCTAACCAGACGCTGCTGCTTGACTCTTGCGAGTCCATTCGGAGAGGGGTTTCGGAAGAGTCCTTTAGGCGCGATTCCTCCGCTTTCACTTCGTTCCTGAGGATGGCCTCGCTGATGCTTCCAAGAGCAGACGCAGTACTGTCTAGCGCAACATCTGCAGCGTTCAATCGATCCAACATGCCTGCCAGATTCTCTGCCAGAGCCCCAACTCTTGCGACTGCATCCTCCGCTTCTCTAAATTCTGTCCTTCCCATCCTCATTCCGTTCATAGAAGACTCTTTTGCTCCTCCGTTTCCAACCGAGACCGGGACACCTTCCGCCTCTTGTGATCCCTCCCTTTCACCAACAATCGCCGCCTTCGCAGCTGACCCGTCACTTGTCCCTATCTCCCCATGTCCCAAGTCGTCTCCCACAGGCCCCGACGTCGTGCTGACGTCAGCAGACGGCCCTGACGTGGCACCCACGTCAGCAGGGGCTCCTGGCGATGTACTGACGTCCGCGGGGGCCTTCGCCGCCGGCACCCGCCGCCACTCGTCGTTGAGGCTCCCGATGACCTCTGAGGCCCTCACGGGCTCGGCAGTGGTTTCCGGCAGTGCCCCGAGACGCCTTTTGCGGCCAAACGTCTTTCCGAAGACTCGAAAGGGCGCCTGGCCGCTCCACTCCCCATCCGACTCGCCGTCAGAACCGTCCTCCAAAAAGGAACCCGACTCGGACGTCTCTTCTTCGGCATCGCTGACTGATTCATCTGAAGCTGCTAAAGTTCCTGAACTGGTAGAAAGTTCTTCGCTGACGAGATCTGCCGTCTTCCTGAGCACAGCTTCGACTTCCGGTCTGCCGGAGGCACCCAGGGACTGGTGTGAACGGGCCCCTGCCCCACTCGTCGACTCCTCTCCCACGGAGCTGTTCACACTGGCCTCATTATCGTCTCGCCCAGCCTTCTCACCCCCCGACAAAACTGCTTTTACCCCGCCGTCTTTTGACGGTCCGGCGACAATCTTTTCTTCCATCGCAGGCTCCACTATCGTGTCAATGGCTCCGCTCGGGTCGATCTTGACGCGCCCCACCTCTTTGACTTCGTAAACTTCTACAGTCTCCCCCGTCTCGTCGTCAATTTCCTCTTCGACCTCGAAGTAAATGTCCTCATCGTCCTCTCCTGGAGCAGGAAGAAGGACCACTTTCCATATGACGGTCAAAAGCTGCTGAATTTGAAGAGAGACTCGTGCACAAGTCGTTTTCCCGGCAGAGAGTTGAGCTTGAAATATGGACATTGACCACTCGTTCAACATGAGGGCTGGCGCTACATCATTTATCAGGAAATCGAGGTGTTAGGCATCAGCCAACTTGATTGGAGCAGTTTTGATGCTTATCTATGAGCCATTAGTCTCCTTATGAGATAGCAATTGACACACTCGGAACGAACACTGTTTGGAACGAGGCTTGACATTCAACAAGGCTTCATAAGTCATGAAGAAGAAAGAGCAACACGGAAGCAGTGGGTAAAGTGATGCAGAGAAGGGTTAAGCTGACGTTGTGTGACAGGCTCAGGCTTTCACTCGACCTGCTGCAACCTGGAGAAGACTCCAAGCACCTCACCTGCAAACAGCCTGGCGGCCCCTTCCTTTCCAAACAGCTTGACGGCCGTCTCCTCATCAATCTCCTCTACTGCAACATCGTCCTCATCCTGCAGGAGTCGAGACAGGCTCCTCAGGACTTGCAGGTCTTGAACAAGCATCAGAGCTCTCTCTAGGGATCCGAGGTGGTTGCACGGAAACGGGTGATGTTCAGCATTTACTTTAGAGTTTACGAAAAACTCTGATCAACTCCTCTCCTCTTAACAGTTACAGAGACACCATCTGTTAACCCCCCCGGTCAAGAAGGCAACCCCAAAAAAGCACGTCGTCTGTGCTCAGCCCGCGGTTGAAGGAGTTCTTAGCCCTCCAAACTCTGCTCATGAAGGAGGATTAATAATTGAGAGCTGTCTGGAATCTTACGCAATCCACTCCACAATATCAATCCGCAATGCAAGCACTCACTTCCTCGTCGTCCTCGTCTTCATCCTCGTCGTCCCCTTTCTTCGCCCAGGGCGCCTTCCAATCTCCCACATACCGATCACCTTCCAGCAGCTTCCACCAGTCCTCTTCCTCCATGTTCCCGTCTTTGGTGGTCTCTGTTTCAATCTGCAGAAAAGTTGACACAGATTCTCTAGGTGATGCCCTGATTCCTGCCCCAGATGTTGTTCATAAAAGCATGCCAAAGGCGCACCCCGCTCTACTCGAGACATGGATGCGCTAGAGCTGTTGCACAGGAGTTCAAGGCATCGTATTAATCTGAGCCACTGCATTGTGAATCTATTGGAATAGGAGCCTCACAACTAAGCAAGGTTGACTATGTGTCAGTCCATCTTTCTCTTGACAACTATGCACACTGTGGTGGTTGAGACAAGCCCCCACTTTGCTTGCACCCCTATCTTGCCTAACAAACTGGTCGTCGAACTGCCGGAAGCTGGTTTCAAGAATTGTGGTCGAGCGCCGGCACTCTGCGCAATGCTGGGCTGCTTGATAGCAGGAGAACTTTGCACATGACCTAGGAGATCACTTGCAAGTGAGCGGACTTAATTGCACATTGCTGTGGAATTTAGCCCCCCTGCTTTCACACCAACCACACACTATCTCATGGAGAATCCAAAATCGCGCCAACAAAACCCTAAAAGCAGCTCACCTGGATGGGCGTCCAGGTCAGCATTTCCTGGGTCAGCTGCGACGGGTCCAGCCCCTCGTGCCCAAACACCACCACCTCTTCCCCCTGTGCATCCTTCATCACAAACGTGTCCGGCGGCAGCTCATCATCGTCCTCCTCATAATCAGACTCATCCTCCTCATACTCATCCTCATCCTCACTGAAATCCACCATTGGTCTCGGCTTTTGCAGCGCCAATGCCCCGGTTCTTCCAGCTGCAGGCACCAAACCCCGGCCCCCAAAACTTCCCCTGCCCCCTCTTGAGCTATCCCTCCCTCGCCCTCCGGCGCCATACCCTCCTGATAAGCGGTCCCCTCCTCCATAGCGGCTTTCCTCCCTATAACCACCTTCCCTATCGCTTCCATAACCACTGCCTTGGCCCCGACCAATTGTCCGTTGGCCCACCTGAGAGTAACCCCCACGCCCAAACCTACCGGGTCCTCCTCTTCGGCCGCCATAAGATGCCCGCCCCCGCCCTTCACTGAACCTATCCTCATCCCACCTTGCGCCGTTTCTCCCCCCCCTTCCAGCATAATCAGAGTCGCGGTCTCTTGAAGACCCCTGGCCGCCATACCTTCCACCATTACCGCCCCTCCGTTCCTGCCAACCTCGACCACCGCTCTCATCATAGCGAGAATTGCGGCGCTCTTCCGGGAAGCCTCTCCTCTCCGCAACATCGTCATCATCAAACTCATAGTCTCTGTCTCGCCGGCCCCCCTTAGCAGACTTCTCCTTCAGCAAGTCCTCTCGCAGTCGGTTCAAGTCGGCGGGGCGGGCACTTTTCTTGTCCTCGCCCCCAGTTTGCTTTCTGGCAGAAACCTTAAGTGGAGCCCTGTCCTGATATGTTCTGCTACTCCCAATTCCATAAAATGGAAAAGTGCTGACAGCAGATTGGCCGCAGAGGAGCGGGTTTAGGGGCTCTCCTTGCAACGCAGAGCTAAGGTTCCTTGCGTAGGCGGTGCCGTTGCTTGGTAACACGCAATGCGACTGCCCACCATGCAGAGCACTGCTACAGGCCGCCATTCTAAGCTGCTACCTACATCCAATTCTTGCCTGCTCACCTGCTCATCTGCCTGCGATCTTCTTCCCAGCCTCCTACTTCAGCTGCCACTGTTTCGCTGCGTTCTAGTTCAGAATCGACCCCGTTCACCGTCTGCATTGCTGTGGCGCAAACGCCGCTTTCTTAACGAAGGGAAGTTCTGGTCATCCTGCATGGGAACTCCCTTCGACACTACACTCATACGGGCCACGGCGCAAGCAATTACATACCGTAATTCTGTCTCGGTCGCTGAGCGGTGCGTCCTGCCCGTCATTTTCTCATTTCCTACGCGTTTCCAGATTGAACAATGAGCTTCCTCCAAATCTAGGGCTCTATGGCACGACCCGCAGCAATGATTTCTTACTGTAAGAAAGAAGGCTGCACATGATCAGCTGGTGATCAGCTGGCACAGCCGCGTTAGGACGTGAGCGTCTGAGCCGCCCGCCCTGGCACATCTGTCAGCTACTGACGTAGGCATACAGCTGCATGGCCTCATCATGCTGACGGTGTAGAGTGAACGGCCGGGCCAGCAAGTTCTCGGTCAAAGGCTCACAACGACTTACAAAGAAGTGAAGACTTGAATGTTAGACTTCGTAATTCATGTCCAAGGAACGAAGGCTATGAAATGCTGGACTCATTGTTCCTTATTGGGATGGCAGTCAGATAGTGCCCGCTTGCCGAGATTTGTTCAAGAGCAATGGTGAGCGAAACAATGACGAAGTAATTTCCTTTGCCACGAGCTTTTCAGACATTGTCATTGAATTCGGTACCATTGCTACGGCTTGATCGAAAATTCATTAATTGTTCACAGATCTAGATATGATGACTTGTCTGGACTCTATTGTTGTATCACAGCTCGGAGTATCTGATCAGGGTGTCAGTTTCAAAGGCTCTGCCAAGAAGAACCAGAGCCTCAGGGGACCAACCCAGAGACCTGAGAAATGCTTCGTAGCACCAATCTCTCCACCGTGGTGACTCCTCGACCCAATTTTTCAACAAACCCAAAGCGCAGCAGAGGCACGCGGCATCCTGCGGTCGGACAACTTAGCCGAACAAGTGTTCGATTAATGCCTTGTCAAGGCGCTCCGGGGGCGCTCCATTCCCTTGACGGCCCTGATTCTGGAAGCGCTCGCGTCTTCCGGCCAGCTTACTCTCGTTTGCATCTTACACAGTCTGATGTCAGTTACAGCCGTCAACACCGTCGCCTCATCTTCACCGGCGTTCCCAAGTGTTCAACAGGGTTGCCGTAACGGTCCAGGGGCCAGCACCGAAGGTAAACTCCGCACAAGTGGATCCTATATTTGTATTTTTTATCCTGGCGCCAGCCAGGATTTTTCCGGTAAATCCTGGCTGGTTTTGAATATTTTCCGGTCTAAAAGTGGTTTTCCTGGCTAGAAAATTCAACATTCCGGTAAAAACGTCAAATCCTGGCGGGCTGCTTGCCCGCTTACGGGCCGCTTACGGTCCTCCCTGGCTGGCCGCCAGGAATTTCCGGCGAATTTTTTCCTGGCTGGCGCCAGAGTCAAAACCTTTCTTGCGCAGAGTTGCTGGCTGGCCGTTCGGTGCGGGCCCCTGACGGTCTCATGCTGTGGCCAGAGAGTAAGACTAGCCCCTTTCCCGTTCCATGTTTGGAGGCATCACTGGCCAGGCTGGGCCGGTGAGTAAGACGGCTGAATTACCGCGGACTATTTGTCACTGCCCTGCCAGATCAGGCCTCCTTGAACATGGATTTCGCGACCTTCCTGCCACGATCTGCACTTAAGCATACAGGAACAAGATGTCGACAACGGTCGACAGCGTCAGCTGACAGATCGTATAGCTGGACGTGTTTGCACGTACTGGATGCCTCGAGGCCTCGGCCTTGTCGTTCTTACAGCCAGCGCCGGCGAACGGGCGCGACCGGGGCCGGCGGTCTTACTGCGGCACATCCCGGGTCCATTTGTCGCGAATAGGGGGTGTGATCCCTCCATGCACGTGCCAGCGTACAGAGTATGGCGCATGTTGCAGATTGAAGGCATGGCGTGTCAACGAGCCATGCATGGCCGCCGCACACATGTACATGGCGGCATTGACCGTCCATGCATTTCAGCAGCCTGAGCTAGAGAATGCATGAAAACATGGAAAATAACAAGAGCTAGCTCAGTGTTCCGGACGCATATTGTACGTGCAACTTCGTTGCTTGTTTAAGCGTACAATCGTACGCAGATTTGTATATATCGATCGCTTTATGAAATGCACGGCACCAACTTGGTGCAGCAAAGTTACTAGCTGAACGTCTAGCGTAGTGGTTGAAAGAGTAAGCGCGTGCCGCGGTGAAATATCTGCACCACACTGCATGATCATCGCTTACATCGCACAAGTCGTGAGCATGTCAATGCATAAATGTAGGCAACAACCCGCATGAACCCGGCTTTTATCAGAATCTGCAAGAACTTGGATATAAAGCATGGAGGATCAGGTGCAGATTTGGACTCTACTTATAGCAGGTAGTCTGACCATGAACGGAAAGGTTTAGGTTTATCCGAGTTTATCCGGACAGGACGAGTTCCACAAGCATGACGTTTGACTCCGTAGCTACAATGCTTGCAAGTTTAGCGAGCAGCCTATACTAGGACCTTGATGAATATCCTTAGGATTGCTGTGTACAGGACAGCCAGGGAGGCACCCAAAGGGATTGTGATCGCCCATGAAGCGACAATGCTCTTCACAGTATCCCCTTGTATACTGTTGAGGCCTCTGGCAAAACCCACCTGCGAATGACCGCACAGTTTTTTAAGGAACCAGACGCAAACAACATAGTCTCAAAAACAGGACTTTCCACGGTTTGCAAGCGATGATAGACTTACAGCTTGTTTCCTAGCTGCTGATGCTAATACCAAATTTGCGGACGTCAGAGATCAATTAGACGAGGCCAAAAAAGTTACCCGACTTTATGCAAAAACTGATCACGTTCAGAAAAGAACCAAGCACCCCCCACATGCTGCGAGAGAGGCAGCGTCTGCAATCAGTGGCACATTAAGTGGAGGAGTAACGAGACATATGCATATAACCCCCAAACATACGGCAAAAAAGCCACGCACTTCTTCCTCATCTTGCAGTGGCACTGTCTCAGCAAGACTGTATCGAGGAGGACAGTTGGGATGTTGGACCATCTCTTCTCAAAGAGCAAGATATTAGTACTCACCCCCATGACCGCTCCAACCAAAGTGTGGGTTGCCGAGACTGGGAGCCCGAGCCGAGACGCCAGCACCACTACCGTTGCTGCCGCAAACTCGGCAGCGAAACCTCGCGTCGGCGTCAGCTCTGTGATTTTCTTCCCGATCGTGGCAATGACTCGGTATCTGCAGGGAGACGGAAACCATCGTCAGTGCGCTCTACATCATTCTAATTAAGAAGAGCCCAACGTGTCTCGTTGACTATCTGCATTCTCGCTGGATTGCCTTACCGTGTCCACGAATTTGAGACGGTGAAACGTAAGGCGGCATGTAAGAAACTCATGTTTCTAGCCCTTTGAGGAGGGTTGGAAGACGAACCTCAAAGGAAGACTCGGAGACTCCAAAGATGGAAATAGCGAGCGTTAGCGAGCGTCTTGCAGAAAAAGGTGCATAGGAAGTAACTTTATGAAGCTGAAGTCAAGGTTCATATTTCAAGAGCCTTTCAAAGATTACCAGCTGAGCTTTGCAAAACGCCTGCGGTTAAACTCCTCAGGGTTCCTGAAGTGAACAGCGACGGTCGTATTCAGCGGGATCAACTTCCTTACATGTTGAGGCCCAGGTCAAAAGCAAACGCGAAAGGAGGTGAGATTTGGAAGACACGAGTGCGCAGCTCTTTGACCTGGTCAAAGCAATACTCGCAAAGGAGATGCTTCTCGCGCTCACCCCCATACTAGGAGCCCCGCCACGATGCCGAACCCGCCCCAGGCCAGGACGCCCGTCGAGATGCCAACGTCCGTCGAAAGCACGGTGACAGTGCCGGCAGCGGCGTTGGCGGAGGCTGTGTAGAGGATGGAGAGGGCGGCGGAGATGGGGCCGATCGCGTTCGCCACGTCATTGGCGCCGTGGGCAAACGACATGAAGCACGCGGAGAGGACCTAAAGAAGATGAGGGAATCAGAAATCGCCACGAAAGGTGGAATTTCTCCAAACGGCTTGAGAGCGCAGCCGGTTGTCATGAGCGGCAAAACGAAGGGACGGTAGAAGCATCGCAACGAGATTCTCGGGTTGTTCCTGATTGCCTGCAATCAAGTTGCGAGAGCCCCAAGCCTTTTCTGCGCTTAACTCAGATATGGGAGAACAGCCTTGACTCTCTTTTTGAGTTGGAATAGTTGTCGAGCCGAAAGAGCATATCCGAGCCTGAACGGACTTAACAGAGCATGCGCACGATGCAAGGGGAGAGCGGCGGCACAAGTGCTCGCCAACAGCTTTCACAAGGAATAACAGGTCCTGTTGACGAGTCTAGGACGTACTGTCACATCAACTTCGATACCCGAGACGCACTGACGAGAACATGTACCTTTGCTTTAGTACTTTTCTCTGAAAACGAGGACGAAACCGAGTACGTAACGCTTAAACAAGCCGCTAAACATCTGTATGAAACCAGGGAGCGATTCGCGCCAGAAGCAAAAAGGACAATTGCACGCGACTTACCTGGAGGTAGCCAAAGACCTTGTACACCATCTTCAGCTGCAGGCCCTTGGGGCCGCCCGTCTTTGACTTCCTTTCCACAGGGCGGTCGGCCTTCGGTGATCTTTCTGAGAAAATGAAGACGAACGGGAGTCAGATGAGCGGGCTACAACCGTCCTAAGAGAGACCGGTCTACCATGGGTCGGCTTGGCTTAGAGACTCCACGAAATCACTGAACGTAGTACATTTGCCGATTGAATCAAACGTGATATTTTACAACTTGTTGCAGCGTTTGCTAGCCGAAGGACGGGGACAAGCCTTGATGATTGCCGCCCAAACAGGCACAAGGGCAGAGAACGCCGCAGCGGGTCCTGATGGTCCCAAAGGGAGGCTGCGGGCAGCCTCAACATGTGTCATGGCTGCCCCTGCTTGGCTAAGGAGAGGAAGCGCCACACCAACGATACATCTCCCTCGTAAAGAGTCACCCAGGAAGAAAAGGGCCGAACGGCCTCTTCCCAAATGCAAATTGGAAATGTAGACAGGGTCTGAAACGAACCTGGGTTGAGAACAGATTCAGTGTGCGGGCAGAAACAGTCGCGAGGTAATCTCCGCAAGAACGAGCAGGTCCGAGAATAACTCTCACCCCGAGCTTTCAGCGACTTGAGTACAGGGCCCAGTTGCTGGTTGATGCCAAAGTGCATGGCGACAGCGCCGAGCAGGCCAGAGCCGCACGCCTTGGCAGCAGCGGTTGCAAGATTGCTTCCGTCCATAAGGGATAGGAAGGAGAGGCCGGAGACACCGGTGAACACTGCGATGGGCGCCGCTCGGCATGCGGCTAGGCCGGGGTTTTCTGCCCTGTATACAAACTGCGGGAGAAGGCGGCGGGCCGAATCAAACAACAACACCATGTTGGAGGGGACGGTTTGGTCGTTGAAAATTGAGGGGCTCCTTCTTGGTGGGAGACCGATCGAAGTAAGGGTGTTCGTCGAACGATGGTATGACGGAACGCAAGCAAGGAGGCCGCAGATACGTTACCGTTTGACAAAAAAGTCTGTTTTTTCGAACCAACATGTCGGTCGCAAGACCGGCATATAAGGTCTACGGTATGCTTTTCTAGCTCGAATGAACGACTCGTTTTGCGCGTTCAACTAATCAAGGAGCGTAGAACTAGATTCCAAGATTTACACTCCTACGTCCCAATGACCTAGATCACAGGTATGACTTGATGCCTCCAGCCCCGCTTTGAGTTGGCGCCTTCGAAATCACTTGCATGGCGTAAGAAGAATGTCAACACCTCGAAAGATTGCTACTGCCTCTTTTTCTGTTCCTGTGCCCTGCTGAGCGTACGGTTGACAGCTCACCGTACGGATGCACTTGTAAACGATGAACGACACAACGGCCCCGAGGAGCGGGGAGACGAGCCATGAGCCAACGACCCGGCCGAGCGACCCCCAGTAGACGGCGCCAAAGCCGCCGTACACGAGGCCGAAACCGACAAGGGCGCCGATGATGGAGTGGGTGGTGGAAACGGGCCAGCCGTAATAGGACGCTACCTGAACCAGATACGAGATGGAGCAAACCAGGTTAAGAAATTTTGTTGCAGGGCTGCGAAGGCGGCTCCCCTTGTGTTCGACGGCAAGTACTCTGGGTGTTGATACATGAGGGGAAATGAAGAAGGTGGTGACGACGAGCAAACCGTGGAAAGACGGCAGCTGAGACTGTCAGATACAGCGTTCAATACTTGTCGCGTCCGTTTCTGGATCCGTAAGCAGTGTTGTGATGACTGTCGTTCTCGCTCAATCAGGTGCCAGATCTGGCAGTAATCATGACAGAATTCTTCGTCGGCATATGATGCTCTCGGGGCTTCTTCGAAAGAATACCTCGCAATCTAGACCTTCTTTCTCTACATGATTATCACGTCAAATTACAGAAGTGAAACTCTAAAGAACGTGAGTGCTGGGCAACTGCATTTCAAGATACCAGTACAATTTGCTCCACATCCGCCGGAGAGCAGAGCTTTTACCAACATACGGAATTTACCGAAAACCCCTGTGACACGCTTGCACAGCTATCAACACATGCAATGTCCTAGCAGCTGCGCTTTGATGCAGTCCTTCAAAAGCACAAAATAATTAATGTGTCGAGTTGCCAATCTCAGGATCACGGTGTGGACACCAAAGCTCTCAGGCATTCAAGCGGTCTGAAAAGAGTCACTTGCCTGCAGCCACGTCCCGGACGATGCTAGGGAAGCTAGCATACCACAGAAAAGGAGAGACGGGTTGTGCTGAAAGGCGGCAGAGTCCACAATGCCTTTTTGCATGGTGTGGGTGACATGAGAACCAACCTGCAGCACAAAGGATCGCCACTCTTTGTTTGAGGGTCTTAACAGAGCCAATGAGTCAAAGCCTGAAAACTGGTAATAGATCCTACTTGCGAGGCTCCAAAACTCAATCTACAGCTCCTGAAACAACAGTTTTATGGAGGGACATTTCTTCCAGCGCTCTGTCCAATCATGCTTTCAAAGGGAAATAGGGAATGACTGAAAGCTTGCAATACGGTGCTCATCCACAGAATTTGTGGGGCAATGAACTTGGTTCAGGACTGACTACATATACCCAGCATTCGAGTCTTGTCCCCTTTGCTGATTCAATTCTTGAACACATAGCTGGCACCCTCTTTCCATCGATTGAAATATGTCAAACTTCCTCCGCAGACACAGGAGCAGAGCGCTTTACTTACCAGGAACGCCCCTGCAAACTCAAGAATGGCCGCTACGATGATGGCCTGCTTGAGCGTCAATGCCCCTGAACCTACTGAGGTTCCCATCGCATTTGCAACATCATTTGCGCCTGCGGAGAGGATGATACCAGTTGGCATTCATTACTTGTCAAGTTGCTGTATTGAAAAGGGTAAAATAACAGACCTGATCAGGTATGGTCTAGGCGTAAGTTCTGTACTTGTGCATAGTGGAAGTGGCACCAACACAAGCGAAAAAGTCTGCCGAAGTCTAGATCTTAGTTTTTCAGCCACCTGAGGGGACATTCTGGAAGAATTTTTGGATGGCAATTTGTTCATCATGCTCCCTGACTTACATCCGCATCCTGAATGCTTGCAATCATAAATATCCATGCCCTGACTTTATGTGAAATACGGCTTTCAGTGAGACCACTTGAAGAAGAAACACAATCAGTTAGACCCCAGACTTTCAGCAAAATGCAGGGCCACCAATGGTTGCACTCCCAAGTGGTGAAATTTGACGCAAAAAGTTGACAACCCTTGGCCGCAAGACTTACCAATGTTCCAGGCCATGTAAAAGCCAAATAGCATGGTGACATACGCGAGGACCTTTGCTCTCAGTGTTCCCCCCGCCAGCCCCAACAATTGGCCAATTGCTGGGTTCCTTAATCCCACAGCAGGGACAGCAATCGCAGTTGCAGCGATTGAAAGGATGATGGTATTGCAAGTGGTGTTGGAGACGCCAAATGCTTCTGACATTGACAGCATCTTCTCCTCCACAGCCGCCGCTGGGTCAGACTCATCATCGGAATGCAGGTTGTCTGTAGATTGGAGCACAATTGTGGTGAAAAAGGTGGGCAAGTTGGAAGAACAAACTGTCCACCGATTGATGTGCGACTTTGCAGGAAAACAGCCCTTGCAAAGTTTGACAGGGCATCAGAAGAAAGTAGTGTTGACGACCAGACTCTTTTGATCCGGATACAAGAGCTCTGATATATGCGGCGAAGCAGAAACACTTGGATGAGTGCGACCACTAGAGACGGACCACTTTCTGGCTATTCCACTTGCGAAGTCAGAAGAACATAAATGCTCATTTTCAGAAAGGGTGCACTGCCGATGCTGTGTCAGCATCTTCAGAGATGGTAAAGTTGCAGAGATTGATCGTCTTTTTCAATATAAATTTGCGGATTTGCAATTTGTAGGAGCACACGAGAACATCAACATACCTGTTCCAGAGGCGCTAATATTTGCAGCCCCCTCAACGAGATCTTCAAACTCTTGCACTTTATCATGATCAGGTGAGGCGCCTCCCCCTGCTGCAGCAGCCCTGTACTGTCCTAAGTTTCTTTTGTCTGCCGGCGATCTCAACGGTAGGAAGCTCCCCCAAACTTTCTGCAATCCACCAATTTGGCGCCGCGTCTTCAATGCTGCTCTCGGACTGCTTGTAACAGCACACAACTTGCCAAAAGTTGCAATTTGCGTGCGTGACCTCTTTCCGGTGGTGCTGCCACTTGGGCAAATGCTCAATCGGCTGACACTCAACTCTGCAACTGCCGCCATCGAAGCGCTCAACCAGTGCGAGCTACTTTACAGGATCCTCTTCGTCCATCCAATTGCTGGAGGTGAAATGATAAGTCAATGCTTGCTGCGACCCACAGCAAACCAGAATCTTCTGATGCGCCAGCGCCCTTAGCTTCCACAGAGTTTCTCAAAGAGCAGATTAGCTGCAGATTATGCGAGCAGGGCTTTCTTTGAGAAGATTTTAATTTTTCTTGGGTGTCCACCAAAACCATTGACGCCCGTTGCTGAATGCAGTGCTGTCGCCAGCTCTCTGGGGCGTGCGCCCCTTCCCCACAAAGCTGCACAAAGCTGCCAATGCGAAGATGACCCACATTCTGCATTTTGTCCAGGCTGCCAAGTTGATGCTGCATGTGCCCGCAAAACTGAAGGAATCAGGAATCCCTTGCCACAACGATTGGAGCGGTTTTGCGCCGTCGATGCTCGATCTCAGTGAACATTGACGATTCAGAAGCCCAGAAAAGCACGGGCAGCTTCAGAACCGTCCGATGAAGTTGCTTTTGCCTCTAAGGTGAAGTAGAAGGAACTAGCATGGCGAACGAGCTCGACGAGACGTTCCGACAGATCCAATGTATACTACCTATACCCACCAGATTAGTAGGCAAATACATGCCGTACGATAATATACGCGCGCATTCAACAGATCGTTTTATGTGCAAGCCGTTATAATGTTGACGGCTCGTGGAGGGGCCGCTCAATCGGCCCTGGAACCGGAATCTTGGCATCGGCATTTTCCATTTTTTGGGGCCAGGAATCTGGCATACGGCCTAAATTTTTTGAAGGAATTTGGCATCTCTGAAAATTTCAGAAAATTTCAGAAAATTGGAATCTGGCATCTAGAAATCCTCCAAAACCAAGAGCTTTTTCCAAAAAATCTGAGGCATTTTTAAGGAATCTGGCATTTTTGGATCTCAGGAATCTGGAATATTACGGCTTATTTGACGCTTGGAATCTGGAATTTCCGAACCCAATAAATGCCGGTTCCAGGGCCGAGCTCAACAATACAGACAAAGCGACAACGCGGGAAGAGCCTTGAGGTCCGCCGGGGGTCCGCGTTGAGCAGTAGATACATCAGCATATGTAACAGAGACCGCATGCACTGAGGTACCAACATTTGACAGAAGATAGTGCTCTACACGCAGAACCCAATGCTTAGTAGTACTGCTTTCATTCTACTGGGAGTCCGCTGAGTCCTCTCCGGCTTCTGCTTTCTCCTGTTGGCGCGAATATGTTTTCTGGAGAGTTCATCTGGGAGTGCACTTTACCATCTGCAGTCTTTTTCAAATTGATAGACAAGCACGGAGACGTGTCGGATGAGACCTTCAACGGCACCTAATTATCTAAGTAGACAAATGACTCTATGTCTCACCGACTTTCTGATTGGAGTTTTGAAACGATCTTGTCGCGTTATGAAGTGACAGAGGGGTTAGAACTACAGGAAGCTCACGCCAAAGCCGCATTGGTTGTTCTCAGAACCTCGAGGGAAGTTCCTTCTATGATCGAAGTGAAAGAAGGATCATCGGCTCGTCTACATCTTCTCAGAAGCAGCCATATCGGTTCAGGAATCTATACTGCCTACAAACACCAGATATTGCAGTTCAGCACATGGTTGGGATGACGGAGTTATCAGAAGCTGAGCTGCAAAACCTGTATACTTGGGTGAGGGTCCGCTCAAAAAGTTGTCTGCTGGCACTGCATTCAATGCATTTAGTACATCTAGTACATTCTGAACCAACACGGCTCCACAACGGCTGATTTTTGTGTAGTACAACCAGCTTTGCACCTTGTGCATGCGAGAAAGCTGGCAATGAAAACCACGGGCAGAGAATTTTCCTGGGAGTCTTTCTTAAACTTACCGGTGAAATGAGAATCTCGCAAAAAGCACGTTAAGCAACAATCTAATGTCCATACACACTTTTAAGCTGGAGCTAGACAGCTTTGGACTAATTGACGAGGGCCCTTTATACGATTCCTGCAGGTCGACGAGATACCGCTGTCAAGACCGAAACGAAACATTGCCCGAGACTTTAGTGATGGAGGTAAAACAAAGACGTCCCTACCAACTTGTTTGGGCCAGGCTCAAGAAACGTATAAGTTGAAGAAATCCGGTTCGGGCTACCACACAATACAACGATGGCTGAGTAGCCACAAGAATTTTTGGCTGCGTTTGGAGCTGCTGTTTCGGAAAAGAACACCATTCTACTTTTCCTGCAACTGGCTAAAAGGTGTAGAGGACAGGAGGAACTGTTGATTGCAGCTTAGGCAGTGAGGCAGTCTGCGAGCTCCACTAAAAGTAAACCTTTTACCTGCATTTGCAGTCCTGGCGGCCGAGATCGTGGCTCACTATTTTCCAAAAACGGTGGAGACGCATAATTACAGCCAAGCAAACGGGTTTGCTCAGAAGATGTACAATTGGAATACGCTTAACTGTAAGTGCCCCAAACCCTTGCGACTACCATACAGTTTACATCGGTCGGAGGAAAGGAGTCGCAGCTTCACAAGCAATTGAGAAGAAAACCCAACCTTCTTCCTGAAACAGTAGGGAAGTAGATGACGTTCATGAATAGCTAGGCCGGGTGCCTCGTCGGTTTCCAATCTTTGGAATTCGAGCGTGCGCAAGAATGACGACAGCATCTATTACCACTGCTTATCAATAGCATCAGCGTTGTCCCTTTTTGGGGGACCCTTTGCTTCGATTCTTCTCATTTCCATCCAGGAATATAAAATTGGGATCCGCAGGGTGTCAGCAGGTTGCCTACAAAGTCAGCGAACTCTCTTTCAGCAACCACTTCGATCAGGATAGATTAATCAAGGACTTGAGCCAGGGCTATCTTGACGTCGGACGCCTGGTCTTGCTGCAGTGAAAGTCTTCAAGAAGCTGCAGTTCAGTGTGACTCGAGAGGAGATTGAGGCTATCAGCAACTGCGTACCAGGGGCAATCGAAAAACTGCTGAAGCAGTTGAAAGTAAAGGTGAGGGGCAGGAGCTTTCCTTCGTTGGTCGTCTCAGAAGTGCTCTTCAGGAACTACAGGGCGTTGGTTTCGACATCGAAAAGACTGCTGCTTCGCTTCTGTCAGCGGACTTTATATTGACCGCTGTCAGTCTCCAAATTTGATTTTGGGAAAGCACACAAGGGCCGTCAGCAGAATTTCACAGGACATTCTCGAATCAGAGATAAAGGTCATGACTTCTCCTCATCGTTTCTCAGCAATTCATTTACTCTGAGATGCTACTCGACGAGAAGCTCGATCGATCTTCACCAAAGTGTCTCTAAAATGATAGATCTCCGATATTTCTTTATCAGATTGCGAAGTACAAACCGGGCAGAAGGCCTTCATCTTCCGAGGGACCGGCTCCAGGTGAGAGTCGAATCCTGCTTCGTGCCGCTGCTCTGCCCATCTTGAACCCCTGCAATATGGCCCGTATAAGAGACACCAAGTTGCTACCAATTGGCTGATGAGCCTCTCTTCTGAACCGAAGAACCGCCTTGTGTCCGGTTTCGGTAGTGGCACTGTCCGTGGTCGAAGGTCGAAGAAAGAGCTCTTCATTGGCGATGTCATCATCCAGCCCAAGCGGCAAACCAACGAAGAGCCGGACCGAAACGTGGATCACCGTTCTTTGCCGAGGCACGTGCAATCATGGAGTAATATCCTGATCCAGCTTTTGGTACCCTTGAATCTTGTGACGTATATCGTATCAGGTTGAAATGATCTCGCTAAGACTCTCGTGAATCCAGGTACGGAAGGAATGGCCTCACAGTCTGGTCATCAGCGGAGGGGAGACTCCCTGTCACCAAACAGCAAGGCGCTGAGCTACGGGGGAGCGAACGGGACCGCCACAGATCCCACTAGGTAGCTTCCCTGGCGTTTCGTGACTCCCTTCTGCCTTTTTTGTTCTTCGCTTTCCTTTTTCCCTCCTTCCTTTGTCTTGAATGCACCTGTACTAGGATGCGGGGGACTTACTACAAGGGTACGAGCCAGCTTGTTGCGGAAATCATATTAATATGGTTAAGTACTATCTTTCAGCTTCGATAACAAAAAACCGTCCTGTAAAGTTTCCCTGCTCCTTCTGAACGATCGACCGGGAGCTGCGGTTGTTTGGATCTACTTGAGCGCATCCTTTCCGACAATTATTAAAGAGGCTGCAAAGTCTATCATCGTCCTCTAGATCAATCTCGACATCCGGGGCAAGTAGAAACGCGTCCATATCAAGATCAAAGACATGACTCACCAATCTCCGGGCTCATGATTCTGGGTGGTCCTCGTCATTACCTCTTGACGAGGCGATCGTGAAGTGCCCGCTTCCTCTTAGCACCAGGTATTGCTTCTAGAATCAGGCGCTTCTTAAGAGTAGAGAAGTGTTCAATTTGTTGTAACATCTCATGTTCGAGATCCTCTCAAAGAAGTCTTTTGGGTATCGCAGGAGGTTCCAAGATCTGGAAGCCGTTGCGGAGAAGGACGCCAAGATTTTAGAATTGCGGGAGACAAACGAGCTTCTCGATTCGAAAGTGAAAAAGCTCGAGCAATTGGTTAGGTTAAAGGAGTCAAAGATCCAGGCGTTGACCGCAAAACTGCAGCAAGCAGGCCTTGCGTAGCCATCAGTGCAGTACTACTGAGTCTCGTCTTACATAGCAGCCGGTGGATAGTTGTCGAGCATGGATGATACCATATAAGAAAATGATGCAGGGATGAACAATAAGGAGACGATGCAGGCCTCCTTTTCATATTCTGGGCCTTGCTAGAGTGGCCAGGCCGTGACCACGTCCAAATGCTGGGAGCCTGAAGTCTGCCCATTACCAGACTCTGGAAGTAGGGAGTTTTCATTTCTTAGGCATGTGAAACTGCGCCGAATTGAAACCGCAGCTAGGTGGAAAGGTGCAACCGGGAGTACAACACAGCTGGAAGATAAAAGGCACGGATGGCGCCAGCTGCCGGTTTATATCTGAAGCAATGGACAGTGAGTTTGCGAGCGGGCCTAAGTTGGAGTTGGAATAGAGCCATATCGCGACAGAAGCTCACCGTCATGCCAGGTGCAGCACACTTACTGCGCACGGCAAGTAATTTTGTTGCACAGGCTCTGTGACTCTCTGACTTAGTACGACTGTGGTGAGCTCGCTTGTGCCTGGCAGGCGATCATGTGCAGTACGTCATCTTCTAATCAAAGCAACGTATACATCTCATGCAAAGCTTCACGGCCACGGTCCGTACGCGTGATCGTGACAAGGTAAATCTAGATTGCAAGATGATCATTAACTCTAGCTAGTGACTGCAGATGATCGTATATACCTACTTGCTGGCGCCCCATGGTACTAATCCAGTACGTCTGCATATTGGTATTGATCGAGTGCGCGTTCGTCATACAGGTTATCGTATGTGCATGCGCCCTCATGCAACCTGTGTTATCATATAGCCTTGTGCCTCAAGATGCTTAACTTTAACTGTTTTGTTCGTATATAAAGCTGCATATAGAAGCCGGCGGCGTGATCCCGGACCGGCTGCCAACATGCGATATAGCGAAACGGCAAATTTGTCCATGGAGATCAGATGCACTTTCTGCACTGCATCTGCTTGTCACAATGCCGGGCACCGGTCGAACTGCGTAAGCTGACCCAATGGTCGAAGAAATTGCAACGGACTAGAATTGAAGAACAGGAGATCGTCCTCATAAGCAAGCTGAAATTCTTAAGCTTACAATCACGTGTCATGAAGACTATACTTGGGCCAGCGACTAAGATCCTGCCCTGTAACATGGACGTTCGTCCACCTGAATCGAGGCTGGTACCTTTCTATTCAAACAAGTCGAGCATTATGCTGTAGGCTTTTGCTTCAATCGTCGTACTCGTCAATGCCGTCCTCCTCAGAAGCTTCATCGCCCGATTGTTCCGGCTCATATTCACTGACTTCCTCGTTGCCACTTGATGGAAGAGCGTGCGCTTGCTTCGGGCCATGGCCCTTAACAAGCTTGCCTAATACCTCAAGAGCTTCCAGCTCCTCCCCTACATCAACTCGTGCGCCACCCAGCCGCTCCTCTTCCTCTGCTTCGCTACCGTTCGGATACGCGTCAATCCTACCTCTTTGTGCAGGCCGCAACGAGTTGGTCTCTGCAAGCGACAAGATACCATTCAGATAGGAAACCCTAGCCGTCGCAAAGGGGAAACGCATTCCCAGCACTTCGGCAAAGATTGAAAAGCGGTCCTGCAAGGAACCACAACCCGACACGAGACGAAGACCATAGAAGCAATCGATTAAGAGCAAGGCTTCAAAAGCGAACAAGAGAATACGCCTTGTAGCCTCCGCAAAAACCTGGCCAAAACAACCTGAGCCCGTAGTCTGCTGACGTACCGTGATCTGGCTGTCCATATTGCTTGGGGGTCGGCTCTCCAGCATACAGTTCGGAGTCCTCCCCGGAGCTTTCGCCCGCGGCGTCACGGCCCCCATCCCGGTCCTCTTGAGCTTGGTCAGAACCGCCATTGTGCTCGTAGGGCCCCTCCCTCTCCTCGACAGCCTGCATGTTTCCAACCGAGCCATAAGACTCTAACAAAAGACTGCACCCTTTCCAGTGTTCTTTGCTGGGGTATAGGCCCGCACAAAAGCGACGAACCTCTCAGATTCGAATAGCTTCGTTTGCTATATTAGGATGGCCTGCACCTTAAGCCCTTAAACTTCTCACGGTCCTCGCAGCCCGCCTTTTCTCTTCCTCCAGAGAACAATGGTGCATGCAGCCAAGCATATAAGTAGGCCTCCAAATCCGTGACCATCAAAGCAAGCCTTAACAGAAGCCTGTGATCTCATCTTTGAGAAAACACTGTATTTTCAACTTCCTCACCTGCTGCGCAGCGCCGTTCTCCTCGTCCTCCTCCAACTCCACATCGTCCAGCTTTGCATAGTCCACCTGCTTCTTTTCCCGGGTGGGCCTCCTTGGGCCCCCCAACCCGCCCCCGTCTTCCTCAGACCACTCCTCCCCCCGAGTCTTTCGCCGCCCCACCGGCCGCCGGCCGCTCCCCCCGCTCTTGTGCCGCTTCCGGCCACGGGCCTCGTGGTCCGACTCGTTCAGCAGGGCGTCCAAATCGGCGTCGGAGTCGTCTTCGTTGTCGCCGTCCCGGTAGCGCTTCCGCTCCTTCTGCCGGAGGCCGCCGCGGGCGGGCCGCCGGGCGTCGCCGTCCGACTCGCCGGAGCCGAAGTCCTCGCGGTACCTGCGAATGAAGCTAATCTCACTTTGTTGAGGGAAAGAGAAGACGGAGAGCGCGCAGAGGCACGGCAAAAGGCCCTCAACGGAGGAAGAGTGATCGTAATAGAGCCCGTAAGTTGCCTTTCTATGTATGTTTAAGAGGAGTAGCGAAAGACAAAAGCGGTGCAATTGGTGAGCAGAGACGACAATTCCGATCAGCTGCCAACGACATTGCTTCGTTGCTTGCCTTGCATAACTCCCTGTCGTACAGTCTTAGCACCTTCGTAAACTACTCCCGACTTCACGTGGACGATGAAACGAGCTCGCCTTACCTAGAGCGTGCGCCAGATTGCCGACGGGCTTTCCGGCCTCCCCTTTGCCCGTCCTCGTCCTCTGGGTCAAAGTCTTCCTCGTCCTCATCTTCCTCCTCGTCCTCTTCATTGCTTCCCCTGGAAAACAAATCGCTCGATCTGGTCAAAAGCACCTTCAAACATATTCGAGCGTTACGCCTTTCTATGAGGACTTGTCTTTTGTAAACCGGCACGAGGTAGGAAGTCAATTGGCTGGCTTCTCGGCAGGAGGGGGTTCCAACAAACAGAAGCGAGAAGTCGTGCAAGTCCTTGATCAGAACGCTCCGTGAGATTCTGGAGTCGACCTTCACCTAGACTTCCAGCTGTGTCCATGAAAGCGCAATTGCGAACGAAAGAAGTCGGTAATAACGAACATGGCACAGATGTTATCTTTACAACATACTAACGAAACTTACTGGCAGAAGTGCACCACCCCCTTGAATCAGGTGGAAGGGAGCCACAATCTTTCTCGGCGACCCTAACAAGTATCTTCGCCGTTTTCAGGCTCCAAAACTTGACCTTCCACAACCGACATCCGTGAAATCTTACATCACAAAAGCGCATCTGAGACCGCTCACATGTACTCCTCGTCGTCCTTGTCCTCCTGTGCGCCCGCATCCGGCAGCTCCTCGCTCTCACTCCGCTCCCCCGCCTCCACTTGCCCGCGCTTTTCATCGTCATACACCACCTCCCCCAGCGGCTGCGCATCTTCTTCCTGGTCCGCCACCGCCTGCATCGTCTCCTGCGCCTGCGTCACGCGGTTGCTCGGCCGCCGCTCCCGGTGGCTCCGCCGCTCGGCGGCGTCGCTGTCGAGGCCCGCGTCGCCGCCGCTCTCGGCGCCGCTCGCAGAGATGCCGGGCCGGCGGTGGCGCTCGCTCCTAGGTGGTACGGGAGGAATGTTTGTTTTTCTTTCAAGGCTTCGTTGAAGCAACTAGAATGTTTTGAGACGCGCGGGGTCGGTTGTCTCATGTACCGCAAATGCCATCTTGCACGCAATAATCCCGGCAGATTCGGTAGGACTGGCTTGGGCTGGTGCACCACTTCGCTCCTCGGGGCTGGCATTGCAGACGCTCATTTCGGGCCTCAGGAAGAGACGGTCTGTCGGTATGATCGTCCCGGCCCGAAACAAACATCCGTGCCGAACTCATCTTATTTGGGGTTCTTCCAAGGTTCAAGGACGGGGCGAATTCAGAACGTGACGTTGTCTGACGTCACCATAAATCCGGACTAATGGTATGTGGTCGTACAAGGCGACCAAAAGCGCGGGACGTGTAAAGAAGCCTTCCTCACCTTCTAGCTCCATACGGATCGTGATCCTGGCCGCTGGCATGGCCGTTTTCGCGGCCGAACCTCCGTGGCGGTGAGCTGTGCCGTGCTCCTTTCCTTGTTGCGTCTCGAATGACCTGGTCGTAATCATCTGGAAACGACGAGAAAGAGGACCATTCGCTAAGACCGGTTCTCATGCCAGCTGCAAAGAGCCAACGCTGTCGCCAATCTTGAGCCGCTTTTCACAGCCACCTTCGGGCAATGGTGCTTGCCCTTGGCTTCGCATCCGAGGTTCTTTTGAGCATGAAAGGGCCATCACTGCAAGATCGTCAATCCCCCAGCACACGAGAACGTGGTAATGGAAGCTCAATCAGAACGGCAAGGTGAGGTCTGGCTGGTTGGTCGCTAAACTCACCGTAGCTGTAATCCACTTGCTTCCGCTCCCTCTTCGACCTTCCAAACGCCAGCCCTGGACCGCTCAGGAGAATCTGCAGGTTCTCCGCCTGCCGCTGCTGCCGCCTAAGCCGCTTTTCTCGTTGCTGCACACAAAGGGTATTCGTGAGACCCATGACTGCCGGCAATGCTGCTTCAATAGCTAATTGACGTTTTGACCTCATGACAGCAGATCCAAGGACACTCCTCGAATGTCAGCGTTCCGAGCCTATACCAAATGAAAGAGGTGGCAGACTGAACATCAACATCATTCAAGGCTGTCCTATCATCTGGACTCACGGAACGTCCTTGATATCAACCAACTGGATGTCGAGCCGTTCTCCTCCTGATTCAACCGCTGAGGGCTATCGTACAGCCTGCTTCGCCCCAATCAGATCTCACGCCCAGACCTTGTTCAACAGGTAGCTCCGGCAACGTCATCCTTACGACACTCAGGGGCGACTGTTACACGGGCATATTTCCCGTCGCTGCGCAGTTCGCCGGCTCGAAACTCGGCACTTAACGGTACTCCACTCAAATCTGGCTGACAAGTCTCGCCGCTAACCTGGGCCATACGACAATCAGGCGTAATCCAAACACTCGTTTAATAAAAGCAACCAGCCCCCGGACGAAGACAGCTTTTCCGCAACAGACAACTACACCAGTACGAAAGCGAGGCCCGTTTCACCCACCCGCTCCTTCTCCTCCAGCTCCGCTAGCAGCTCGTCCCGGATGAACTTCCCGAGCCGCTGCTCCTTCCTGTTGCCGCTGCTGGCAAAGCGCTCGGCGACCCGCTTGAAGTCGTCGACCTGCGCGCACACCGTTTCCCACTTGCCGGGCTCCGGCTCCAGCGCATGGATGCCGATGCCGCGCTTGGGCCCCCCGCGGGTGCGCGTCTCGCGGTACAGCCGAGTGCCCGCGTAGTAGTTGTCCTCGTACCTGGAGCAAAATGGGGTATGGTCTTGTGTGTCTGGGAAGCTACAATAGGGGGCGCTTTTAGGCAGAACCACGGAATGGCTGGGGGGACGACCAAGAATCGCAGCGGTGCCGTTCAATATTGGGCGTCAAAAGATGAACGCTCGAGATCTTTAGTTTGCATTCGGTTAGGCATGGTCTGTCTGAACCCCGGTACTGGGACCGGTTCTGCCAAAGTTTGCAACCCTCTGGCTAACTCCGCAGACTGGGGTCCTTACGTTTGTAATCGGACGATAGCGCTGCGATCCCGACCATCGCGAATATCTGCGGTCCGCCCGCGTTCAGTCTCGAGTCCACTATCGAACACGACAAGCTAGTTCGGTTACGAGTGCCCCAGTGTTTGAAACAAATCTCCATTCTTCCAGACCCGTTCCTTCAGGCAAAGCATCTACAAGGAACCCAAATGAGCCCTGCCTGGTCCAAGATTACCAAATCCCCAGTACGTAGAGCGAAACCTGTGCATGACTCACCAGTAGGTTCGATTCTTCGAATCCCACCCGGTCGCTTGGAGCTGTACAGACTCTGGCATGACCCCGATTTTGATGCTCTGTTCCATGGCGTCTCGGCAGTCGTCTTGCTGTATGAGCAATGGAACGCGGCTTCTTTCAAACCACAACCGACCAGATCTTCGTCATTCACCATTTCCTGAACAAGCATTCAGCAGACTGCTTTGAAAACCAAGAGCTGTCCAATGGCAGGCAAAGCGAGTTGTGAAGAGGCAAGGTTCTCACATTGCACATTGCAAGCGGGTTTGTGCTCACATCGTTTCGCATCTCGCAGAGGGCCTTCAGGATTCGCACGCGGTCCCGAGGAGACAACTGGTCATACGCCGCATCTTCTTCCCTGAAGCGGAAAGCATTCAGAGAGTCAGGCTCTGCTCCCGTCACATCCTCGCTAAGAGGTGGCGTACCAGCATGGGAGAGTCTCCGATGCAACATGCCATTTTTGAGGCCCTTCAACAGCAACTTGCAATCTGACCGGTATCAGAGTCCGGTATTGCATTACCGATCGAGGCACAGACCATGCCAACCATCAACACTCCACTTCCTTGCCAAACAGATGGCCAAAATAAGGGAAGGAGAATCTCTTTCTTGGATTGCTAAAACATGAGCAGAACTATCATGCTACAAACTTACCCCTTTGGGATCGCTGGTGTGATTGGAGAACCCCCCCCAGCAAACTGTACAGAACAAGAGATCACATGCTATGTTATCTTTTCGACTTTCTTGCAGGATATTCCAGAGTGGCGCAGCTCAGTGACTGGATCTTGTCTGCCTTCCGTACAAATTTGCGGGGCACACCCAGTCGATTGAAGTACTTGAACAGTCAGCAATGTGAGCGGCTGTAAGTCAACCTGAGGGGCATAGAGGTCCGTTCGCTTACCTGCCACCATTTGTCCTTCAGCTTTCTGAAGAGGTCGTATGCCCAAGTACTTCTATCAAGATTTTTTGGAACTGGAGGCACCCCCTGAAGCAGAGTGAACGGGTGGCAGTTAGCGCGCTCATATCATGACTTTGTCCAGTCTTTGCAGATGGTACCAATAGCTGGTTTCCCTGGACTTACAATAAGAGCAACCAATTGTAAACAGTCAAGCGGAGGTAGCTTCGGCAGCAGAAGAACAGCAATGGCAGCCGTCGCAATCAGTCAGAAAACTTTGTGACCAGCTGCAGCAACAGTAATGGAACCAAGAAAAGGATGCCACGATCACCTTGAGAAGAGCAATGTGGAGATCCTTCAGCAGGGAGGGGGCCAACGGCTCGAGCAATGCGCTCTCCAGTTCGGTGGCATCAAATGCAATGGGAATGTTGAGGATGTCCTTGTAAACCTGCATTGATAGGCCCAGCTCTTAGCAGCCAGGAAGACCCTGAGCTCAGAACGTACTGAGCACACAACATATCACTTTTTCAAGCAGAGTCTACTTGCCGCAGGCAGACTAACGCAGCGCCTAAGAACCAAAGCAGCCGTTCATTCTACTCCAGTGCGGACGGAAAGCCTGATTCAGCAGGCGCCCTCAGTTGTTGATGGAACCCTAATTTTCAAGGGGTGCAAAGTAATGGCTCACATTCAAGAAGTTCAGGATTGATGCAAGCTCCCACATGCACCGCAACTCATAGATTTCTGGATCTAAGCCGGCGCTCAGGTCTTCGTCTTCAACACCAGGACCATCAGGCCCGTCATTCTCCTCGTGCTCCCCTAAGTTTTCCTGCAAGCGATCAGCTGCCGCTACTTTCTTTGCACTGCGAGCTGCCTTCTTGGCAGCCGCCCTATCTTTGGCCTCGCGAGTCGCCCTCAACCTCTCTTCCCGCTCCTCCCTAGCCTCCTCTTCGAGCTTTTGCTTTGCTGCAGCAACACAGGCCCGCGCAGGCCTGCGACGCGGCAGGAACTCCTCAGGCAGATTGTTGATTAGTGCAGCGGTTGCCGCATCCATACTGCCGCCTTCTGAAGACATGTTTACCCCCAGAGATGCACTTGCAGCTTGATTGCAGCTAATTGTCTCCTTGGGTAAGGATCAAGCATCAATGCTCTCCTGCAAACAGATAGACTTGGGTAAACGTGCTGCAAAGGTCTGCTCAGCAACCGGATAGCTGGCAATCGAGAAGAACAAGCACAGCCGCTAAAAGCGGAGAAACTATAGGCAGAGTGCAAGTCTTTGCTTGACATGCATATCCGCAGATGCAGGCGCATATTTCTGCCCCTGTTGATGATGGGAAAAGCATCCTGTACCTTAGATTATCTCATAATTTTCCTGACAAAGCGCCACATAGATCATGTAACAGATCAGAATGCACCGCAGGCATCCAGCACCTAGACAGGCAACGAGACAACTCCCTAACTTCTGTAGAAGTTTACCCACCTGGAAAATGGCCGGTCGGACCATCGGAGCAAAACCTGTGTATCTGCCTTGCAAACCCTGTACAAATCCAATCGAGTGTAGGTGCATTGGTCCTTCCCTCCATGCACCCATGCGTCGCCAGCCTGCTCCGTTCAACCATCTTCCTTTTAAAAGTTTTTGACAGGAACATCATGAGCTGGTTTCGGACTCCCCTGGGGAAGTTCCATTCTTTGGATCATTGACGGCTTCGATGAGCCAGAAGTTATTCAAGATTTTGATTGGGCATCATCAACGGTCAGAAAAGTAGACGGCGCGTTCACATTCACAACGACCCCTCTTCTTGAATGCAAGCTGCCGCCCCGCCGTGCAGCAAATTCAATGCTGGTGGCGTGAAGAGCGTTCAAGTGTTCATTCATGCTTCTTGGCCTCCTTCAGGATAATGTGTACTTTTCGCGGGAATAAATCTAGCAGAACGGGGTTTTCTGCAAGAACTGACGAGGAACTCGCTAATGCTGTGCAGAGGCTTTTGAAGGAATTGAATCTCTTGCTGTTCGAAAATCAGTGGCTGATGCACAGACTCTGGCCACAATCCAGGCGAGAGTAGATTTGCAGATAGCTGCCCGCCGCGGTCCAGTCTGCAATTTGAGAAGTGGGACAACTGTGAGAGTTGCCAATATGTGCATCTACTGAAGTCGCTATGGCGCTCCCTGAGATTGAGGTGTTGGTGCGTCATTCAGGTCCGCAAGAGAGGTAAGCACAGTTGCTAAGCTGAAAGGCCGACCAGGGTCTTTTGCAGGATTGCCCTTCTCTGCGGCAAAGTTGCAGGAAGAAGGTTGTTGTGCTGCCAAAAATGAAGCAGCCATATGTGAGAGTATGGTGTTGATATGTATATGTTTGAAGGATTGTGATGGGTGCCACCTTTAGCGTGCTGCGTGAACCTTATTCAAGTGCTTCGTTTGACTGCTCATGAAGTTGAGGGAACAGAAAGATGATTGAATCATCTTGAAAGAATCAGAAAAGGAAGTACCAATCTTTGCAAGGCGTGTTATAGTTGGTGGTATAAATTGGAACTTTAGTGTGAAAGAAACCATTTTGTGTACGCTGTGCAGTGAGCAATCTGCATCCTTGCAGCGGCTACCCGTGCGCATTGGTGAGACTGTGGCAGGGCTGAAAGCTCTGGGACTATTATCGGAAGGTGTAAAATTGGGGCCAGATGGCGGTGCCACGCTTTTTTCTAATGGAGTGGAGGTAATTCACGAACTTCTCAGTATCGAAGGTCGCGCACTTTTCCTTCTTTTCATACAGGTTAAATAGCTTGTCCTTGTCCTCACGATTTTACATGTGCCCCGCAATTGAGTTGGCAGGACTCCCACTGGGTACAAGAAACTATCTTAATGAACCCACATGAAAAGTGGTAACCTGAAGAAAAGCTAGTCAGAAGCTGGTGTTAGCCTGAGCTTTGTGGCAACTCCCTTTTTGATCAAGGATACAAAGGAGTGCTTGTGGCAGAGGCGTCTAATCTGTTTGTATGCCCTGAAGTTTCACTGATTCTTTGGCAGCTTGCTGACGCATCAACTCTAGACCAATGTGGAGTCCACGCAGCCACTGGGGAAGAGAGGTGAGGTTTCACTGCGTCAGCTTTTGTTCACTGCATCCTTTTCAAACGAAACCTGACGGCTCGTGAATCGCTGAAGGATTCTGATGCAATGGAACGATTCAAGTAAGGGATAAGCGAAACACGGCCCTTGATTTGATCCGTTTTGTTAAGCTATGTGCTAGCGGCAACGTGGGATACAAGAAGCGTCTGCTGGGGTCCGATCCTTGAGGATTCATAAATCTCGAAAACTCCAGCTCATCACAAGACGTACGATATCTTGAACTTTGTGCAGTTGGGCTCCAGACTTCATCTACCCCAACGGTTGGCAGCAGATGTCCCACAGGAAGGCCACTGCAAAGGTGAGTTAAGCTGGTCAAGCTTTGTTACAGGCCAAAGGTACATTTTCCCCGTCCCATTGAGGTTGCTCAGCCCGCCAGGTTGACACGAAAGAAGTTTGGAAGTTTACTCGCAAAGGACTTTCCACTTGGCAATGTTCTCGAAGTTTCAGGTGTAGGCAAGGTGTTCCACGTCTAGGCACTCGAGCAGATCTCATGAGCTTCTACAGAAGCTTTTTGTTGCTTCTTGCTCCGATCGCTGTTCCTGAGGTTGACATCTTTTTGTGCAGGCCAGGGGTGTTCCTGATCAATGGTCGAGGATTTCGGGGTCCAAGTACGGCTGGGGTTCGTTAGGAATGTTGAGGATGCAGAAGTGGACACTTAACCGGCTATTTTCTCCTTGGCTTATGCTTATTGGAATGATACTGCTGGCCAACTTGGCTTGAGGACGTAGTCGACATGCAATGGAAGCGGCCGCTCATTGCATGTACCATACGAGTGTTGCACTAAGTTGTAATCACCATAGTACATTCCAGTTGAATGGTCGCCCATAATCACTAAGTAGGCTCACAAGGTTGAATAATTGTGTAGCACATGCAGGCGACGGTTCCGCCGCAGTGAATCGGAAATCAGTATAGTGCCTGCACTGCACATGAGGGTCATGTCATTCACATAATTCGGGGAGCTGGATATAGCCTGATCCCATGCACATTGCGCGGTCATGGACCCGGCCCCTGCCATGGTACGTGGCGGCGGGCGCGGCCATGGCCCATGACCCCTTTTTCCTATACTGGCCCGGCCCCAGCTCCGCTCAGGTGACGGTTCGAGAAGCTTCAAAACCCGAGGTAGTGGCGTGCCCAGTTGTCAGGTTGCAACAAGCATGTATTCAATCACGTTCTATAGAGGTTTCGTTCTCAGGAAATGTGAGAAAAGAAGACACGTTACATGTTCGAGGACCTAGGTCGGCGTGTGCGTGCGATTGCTCAACAAGTACGGTAGATGTAACGACTCTAGCTCTCAACTTAGATTAGGCTTAATAAAGCTTACAGTCATGCTAAATCCGTGCCGTAACGACAGTACAGTGTCAACGCCGTGCAACGAGACCCTTCCAAGTGTCGTTCGAATATACGGATCTGACTGACATTTCTACCTGCTTTGGCTGACCTTCGAGGCCGGCTAGAGGTTGCGAGCCTAGGTCTGCGCAGAAGATGCGATAGGCCCACCGGGGTTCCTCCCATGTGCTGACTAGGCGGACTGGAACTCTTACCTATCTTCTTCTGAGAAGTGCCATATCCATGAAGGTCTGGAACTAATAGAACACGAAATCGGGCCCAACCTCCTCTTCCCGGGCGTAGATGTCTTGACAGACTTGCTCGGCCCCGTTCATCCGCCTGATGAAGCCGATGTGCAACGTGAAGGTTGACCACAGATTGCCGACGAACAGCCTCCCCTGAGAGCAGACGGCCTGCATCGAACGAAAACGTCCCCGATCAGACTTTCTCAATCGTTCTTCAATGGTTTGCCCCCTGCATGAATGCGCCAAAGCCCCCTCGACAGCAAACGAAGACCGTTACAGCTCGTCATTACGCCCCTGAGGTAATAAAGCTGACCGTTGAGGACACGATGTCAATACTTCGTCGGTTCAGGAAGTGTTCCGATGGGTAGTTCTTGAACAGAAGCGGTGTGACAAATTGCAAAATCAGTTTTGGTTTGACCGGAATACTCCCCGTGCGGAAGAACCCACCTGGTCAATCTGCCCGAGCCGCATCGTTTCCTCCCCGTTCTCGTTGGTCACGTGATTCCAGCCCCAGGCGGGGAAGAAGTCCCCCAGGAAGTGCACCTCCTTGTACCCGCCGTGGCTGAAGAGCACCCGGGTCTCCTCAATGGAGGCATCTGTACTGATGTACAGCACTTCCTCGGGGGGCAGGTACACCTTGAGCAGGTCCACGATCTGCACAAACACGGGGTCCAATGATTCAGGGAACAGTAAGCCGGGGGGACAGTAACTGGGACGAGTGGGACTCGAGAGGGTTAGGGTGGTTATGAGAAGTCAATGGCCAGCTTTAACGAAAGTGCGACACAGGCGCTGCCTTTAGGAGGTCCGCTGTCTGGAAGGGGCAGAGTCCTCTACATTGGGCAGTCTATTCTTCTATGATGGGGACTACTTTTCACCTGGACGGTTATCTTTCGACCAGAATCCCGGTCTCGAACAAGGATAACTATCAACGTACGCGTGTCGTCGCCTTGACCTAAAGGAAGTACAATTGTCCTGCATCCAAAGCGAAGCAACAGCTTATGAAATAGGTCCCACTTCTGAGCAGCAAACGCCCGGCCGATAATGCAGAGGAGCTGGATCACCGCCCGCTTTTATATCCGACATGGTAGCGAGCGCGCTGGCAGCGGGCAGGCCTCACCTCCTCCATCGACTTTTCGTACTTTGGGTGCAGCGTCAGGAACGTGTCGCCCCGACGTAGATGGAAGCAGTTGTACGTGTTACTCGGAGTCATCTGCACATGGCGCCCGGTCCTTTCAATGAGTGAACACTCCCTCCTGGAAAAGTATTTCACAACGCCACGAATGCAGAGTCTTCGAACCCAATTTCATTTTCATTTCAAAGAGGATATGTCGAGCGCTGCAACTTTTTAGTGTCCTTGCTTAATCGCAAAAGCTAAGCCGTGAGGGGCCGTTTACCCGTCGGAAAAGATTTTTGGGTTCTCCGGCCTCTAAGCTATCAAGGAAATCTGTTTACTGGCATGGTCTTCCGTGCTTCGGGGGTGAGAGAGCCCGGCAGTAAGAGCGCAAGAAGCGAAGCAGACTGCGCAGACACACTTCGATGAATCTCTCTGTGGCTGCAGTGCAGCGCCGGTTTGTTTTTACATACCTACGCCTCACATAAGAATCCTCCAATTTCCCATTCTTCAGGCTGGACGCCTAAAGTAATGACACCCTGCATCAAGGAAGCAGAGCGCTCACCTCTCTTAACGCATCGACTGTCTGATTCCGCAAAGCGGCCGTAACCGGATGCGGCGCCAATCCCCTGTAAACCCTCTGATCGAATGCGAGCTGCTTTGCCGCGTCTTTGAACTGTCCGAACCGGCGGAAGGCCGAATAGAAGACGAGGAGAGGGTCCGAATTGCTGCCGAACCACTCCGTGACCTCCTCTTCGGTCGCGCCGAAGTGGTACCTGCACGTTACGGAGTCCGCTTTCAGAGACTCGGTGTGCATGATATGTTTAATCAACTTACGTCAGCAGTCTGTCGTAGGCCCTAGGGCTTCATCAGATTCTCCGTAGCTGTCGCATCGTCGGTTTCGGCAGAGGAGCTCGGGTCTATCACATCCAGAGCGCTAGTAGGGTACTTCCGAGTTCCATCCAGACTTTGTGTGACGGCCGAGTTAATGTTTGAAGGGGCGTCAGCTTATTAGAACGACTTCGAGGCACGAATTAACCAGGCCTGCAACTTCAGAGCCTCCCACGTGGGGGTCAAACGACTCGCATGCGAGGGACAACGTCAAAGTCGACACGGCCTTTTGACGTGATCCGAGGGAAAGATACATGTGTGCTTTAGCGTCCCAATAGTGAACACATGGAATTGCCGAAAGGCGCAAAGAGAGGCTGGTGTCGTTCTGCGAAAGGTCGATATTAGAGAGCCTCACCGAGAGGCCTTGAAGTTTTTCAGTCGTCCCAACCATGGCGCATCCGGAGGCGGCTTCGGGTCGGTGCTGATGTCGATGTTTTGAATGGGGAGCTGCGCATGGAGCGGACGAAGAAACTTTCAGACGTCGACGAGTAAACCTTCAATATTTTTGTAGTCAATCCGCATTCAGCATGAGTGATTCGAGCTGAACCGGATCAACAATGGTGATGAGATGAGTAAGTGCTATACTGCTGCTTGGCCGGACGTTAAACCTCAAACCGAAGGTGATTTGCGGCGATGTTAGGTGCATCACGATTGAGTGAGAGCATAAACTGGGCGTTCCAGGACAGAGGGTCCGAGGCGCTCGGTGAGGAAGTAAGGCCTGGTTTCGAAGAGGAAAAGGAGACTACGAGCATTTGTAGGGATTGTCCGATGCGTTGCACAGGGGCCTGATTGCCTCTGCAGGCTAAAATCAACGCTCGATATGATCGGACGACATAGATCCTATGCATCGGCAGACTGCCTGATACGCAACTTGATAACATCCTCAATTGCTAGCAGTATTCTATTAGGGCAGGTAAAGGGACGTGATCCTTCGAAAGCACCCGTACTTCCAGTCACCTCGCAATCAGAATGACACTAAGCATACCACACTGCATTATGAGAGGCACTGCCCGCCTTCTCTCACCTTCTCCCAGTCCGGGAACAGCACCTCCAGCATGCTCCCGGGAAGCGTGTCCGGGAACTCCGCCTCAAACCCATCATAATCAAAGAAGTAGTCCAGCAGCACCGGCGTCGCTTGCTTATGCTCCCGGTAGAACCTCGGTAGGACAAGCGTGCGCCCCATATACTCGGCCATCGCAAGCGCCGTCCGCAGCTCCTGCCGCTGGTTGTTCAGCCCGTTGTGCTCCAACTCCTCAAAATAATACATGAACCCCCGGCCCCCGTTGCACGCGCCCCCCTCGGCTTTCAGCCCCCTCCGCCTGCGCCTCTGCTGTTTCCCCCCCTGCTCCGCCATCTGCTGTAGCTGCGCCCCCTGGCTTCGAAGACATGTCACCAGCGCTCTGTCGGCGGACCACAACCTCGCCTCCCGGAACCGGTACCTGACATTTCGGGGGGAGAACGACCCCCCCGAGACGTCAAACGCGCCTGCCAAAAAATCGCCCCCAGTGGGGGGTTCTGGCTGCACCTCCGCAAGGCCATCCCAGAACCGCCCTCGATTGATGGACTCCCATGTCAACCCCCCTCCAAGCGAAACTTTGCCCGGGAGCGGGTCGCTTCCCCCACCGTCTGCAAGCTTCAGCACAGCATTCAGCACCTCCTCTTCCTTGACCCCCGGGTACGAGGTCACCGCCTCCGCCATTGTCCTCAGAAACGCGAGCGTGTTTTTGGACGGCCGCAGAAAGGCCACCGACGTGCCCGCCCCTAGTTGATCCCCCTCTTGCAACCTCCTCCTGCTCCCTCCCCTACCTGACTCCTGCAACTTTCTCGTGCTTTTCAAGGGGCCCCCTGGTACAGCCACAGCTGCTGGCCTCTGCTGTATCAACTGCAAGCTTTGCCCCGCCCCAAGCGCATCCCAGGGCTTCCGCAGCCAGACCATCTCAAGCGAAGAGAAGACAACCGTGTACCCCAGATCAACAGCTTCTGTCAGCAGCTGATACTTGGCCTCGGTGCGTGGGACACTTCCGTTAAAGAACGGATACACATAGCCGTAACCAATTTCCTGCATGCGAGTTGTCAAAGTGAGACATGACTGGTACGAGGCCAGGGGAGTGGAAGAGTCTGCCGCACTGAAGCTGATTGGACCCTGATTTTTGATAAGCTCAAAGTCCCTACCAAATAAGCTCAACCAAAGTGTCTGATTTAGAAACATTCGGATGCTTGGCATGCCAAGCAAAGGCAAATGATCAAGTGAACCAACTTGCAAAGAGGCACTTATAATGCAACAACAGGCGCACGGCCTCCTTTCAAAATCAGCCCCCTGCCAAGTTACCCCAATGTCAGTAAGTCTCACCGCAGCTTTTGATGCTGTTGCAGAGTCAAGCGCCACCAGGAGCAGATTCTCAACGAACGCCGCATCTTTTGCAAAGTAGAAAAAGTTTGCCAAGAGGTCGTACTCTTCCACCAGGTAATCACTCTTTCCAGCCAACACGATTGCAACCTGTTGCAAAGGACGTTTGCAGCAGTCAGAAGTCACTTGAGCAGAAAAGTTGCTTGCTTGCGGTGACACAATCATGCAATGAGCTAGTACTTCAAAAAATTGCAGGCTACTGCTAGAAGAAGCATTGTAAATTGAAGATGACGGACGTCAGAAGTGAAAGCATCAATACCAAATCATAAAGCACAAGCTCAACGGTCTGCTCAGGCCTGGACCAAGACACCACAGAGGTTGCAACAGCACAAACTCCTCACCTCTTTATTCTGCGAGGCGGCACCTTCCAGAAAAACATTAAGCACTTGTAGCTGCTCACTGGTCAGCCAGTGTCGATGTGACATTTGTGCATCTTCCCTGCTGCAAAAGAAAGATAGCAAACTTGGGTCAAATGGGTCCAAAATCGAAGTGCGCAAAGGCGTTTCCAATAAACAATGGTGAGATTCATCTGGTTTGCGAAGCACTGCTCCCACTGCTTCTCAGAGTGAGAAGCTCCTTCACTAAACTGCACGTCAGGAGCTGTTGAGAAAAGAGCTATGAGCTTTTCTGCAGCCAGACTTGTGAGCTGGACGAAAATGCGCCCAGAAATTGGTCCAGATTGCAAGCTACAAGATTGCAGGGTGCATGCAGAACTCTCTCTGCTGACATGGGCCAATCACAATAACACTGCACAATTTTGCTCTCAAAGACAGCGCCTACCTGAGAGAAAGCCTGAAAGACTGCTGCAGGAAGAGACATGGCATCAGGGATCCCAGGAGGATGACAAGGAAAACCAGCCCTCGCCGGCGTGTCCCACAATCATCCCACCGCTTGGTGGCACCATGTCGTAACGGAGAAAATCTGGTCATCTTCCCCAAACAAACACAGATGCTAGACCAGGTAGTCTTGGTCTAAATAAACATCTGTAAACTCCCACTGGGGATGGGCGCAAGTCGCGCCAACTCATTGAAAGAACTTGATCTCATTAGACCAATCAAGGGTGTCACATTACAGATCTAGCACACCCCTTAGTGCTTTGCAGCATTACAAACTTAAAGGTATTCCCTTGGGCCCAACTTCTTATCATAAACTTAGTTGAGATTAGTGGCTGTTTACAACCGGTGCAGGAGCGGGTGCGGGCAAGTGTAGGATACAACAGACAAAACGCTTTAGAGGAACCCTTGTGGATGAAGCGGGGGATGAAGCACTGAATTCAGATCCAGTGTGCTCAGGAAGGAACGTATCCTGTACCAAATTTGCGCCTCATCACAGTATCATCTGAGTATGCTGTCACTGTTGACAATTGGCAACAGTGGGCGAACGAAGGCCTCACAAAATGCCGTCATAGCGCCCCAGAAAAGCTTGTCCCAGAACTCGCCCACTTCTAAGTTCTGATCTGAAATGAGTTGACCAGCATTCACGGGATCCTGGCCAGTAACGATGAATCCCGGCGGTCCAAACTGTCAGCATTAAATGTTGGACGGTGCGATGAGCTTGGAATCTTTGCTTATTCTGCCCGTCAAATGGAGTTCTTCACAATCGACGGTTCGAGTGTCGTCCCTGTAAAATTAGGGTTTGAGAACTTAGAAAGCTGTACACATAGGTACCTGCCTAAAAATTCAATGCTATAGGCTGTGGGTATAGCTAAAGAACTTGTGGGAGAGAGCTAGTAGCGCCTTTCTTGCCGTTCGCATTGGCATCGATTGGCATCTTTTCGGGTGTTCCGAAGCTCACAGGCGTTTGGATGATCGTCTTTCTATCTAGAACTGACTCTCGCTTCATGGGGTCTAGCTAATGACAGCAAGAGCTTGACTTATGGCCGGCACAGAACTCATTTGCATGGTGGCATCATTGCTCAGCTAAATTTTACCAAGTTGTAAGCACCAAAGCAGCAGCCTTGTACGGAAAATAAGTAGCTCTGCTGGAGCCCGCTAGCGTTCCTGTGTCATCTGCTTGTTCTGCAGCAGTGTGAAAAGGTTCTGGTAGCGCCAAGCATGTCTCGACAACCTGCTCTGAGGTAAGTAATGAAACGACATTGAGGAGGACCTTGATTTTCGTACCACTCAGTAATCCTTCGCAATTGGCAAAGTGCACTGCAGCTTTTCATCTTTCAATGCCAAGATTGACATGGCACTGTTGCCCTTGTCTTGTTGCATTGCTTTTCAACTGTGAGGACTTTGTCACACGCCCCTCTCAGCAGAATCAGAATGATGAAGGAACGAGAGAAATGATGGGCTGCATCAGGCATGGCAAAGGAAACGGTGTTGCATATGTTTCAGGATATCCTTGATGTTCCTGATTCATTGTAAAGTCTCTGGGGAGTTATGAATGGAGGCTCGTATTTTGGTGTGCGTCAATGTGCTTGCCTGGGATCAATCATCTAGAAAGTTGCTAGTGATAAGTTTTGCTGGCACTCATACATTTCTAGTGAAAGGAAAGGGACCCAATGAAAGTGTCAGGTATCTGTGGTCTTTCGTACTGATCCTCCTTGTACTGACTTTGGTCTTGAAAGATCTCAGGGCTGCCGACTCTCATGTTCAAAATGAGGCCTACCTGGCAAGGCTGGGGGAGGCGATGGCACAACTGGAGATGGCATGGATCTCTGAGAAGCCAACTGCTGTTGCCCCCTGCTTGGATACGCCATCGTCAACTCAAGACAGGGAGTCGAAATTGAGGCTCCTGAAGGGGAAGCTCAGACGGAGAAGCAGTGGGGGGGAGGCAGCCTCCGAGAGTGGGGCCGACAGCCAGGCTGATGACAGTACTGGATGCAAAGTCAGGGAAGATCCAGAACCCTCAAAGGCTCGGTTAAGAAGTCGGTCGGAAAACGTACAGGACGGATTACCCTCAAAAACCTGGTTAAGGAGTGGGTTAGAAAGTGGTACAGCCACTGGTAGGGAGCAGAATGGGAGCTCATCGGTTGTGGGGCAGCTTGCCAGGACGGACTCAGGGCCCAGACTAGTTGCCGAGACAAACAGGGCGCCTCGGAGAAGCGGCTCTGAGTTCGATCTTAACGGGAGGCGGGTTAGCGGGGGTGCTACAAAGTCGGAACAAGACCTGAAACCTGGATTGCAACCAGTGCCTCGTGACAGTTCTTCCCACTCAACTTCTCACTCTGGCAGAAACTCAGTTGTAAAGGGACCCGTCATTTCTAAGCAACCAGATTATCAGAGCTTCCCAGCGAAGAAAGGTGCGAGGAGCGGTGTTTCAGCAGGAGCTTTGGAACATGGTTTGGAAGGAACTCTAGCCGGCGACGAGCCGTCCACCAGTCATGCATCGCTCTGTCCCGGTCCCCATTCATCCTGTCCGGGTGTGTCGGATGACCAACGGTGGAACAAAGGCCCAATGGACGAGGCGGGAAGAGTAACGAAGCTCTCCGAGCTACCGGTGAGCAGACCGTTAGATAGTCACTCCCGTTCTCCAGCCAAGAAGCTCCAAACAAGTAATTTGATTGGCAGAAAGCATTCTAATGAGGCTAACAGGGCTCCCCTTGTCTTTCACATAATGAGGAAGCACTTTCTTTTGCCCGTTCGTCTGCCGTTCGATTAACGTTCTACTCAACCTGCGGGGGAAAATGCGTCAGTCTTCCTTGAACATCATTACAAAACATGCGAGTCAACAAGACGAGAACCCGTTAACCATGTTCCTTGATCACCATTGCAAGGATCATGGTGGATGCGCTTTTCCTCCCCGACCTCTTTGCCTGATCTACAGCCGAAGCCATGTCTACTTCGTTTTGCCTTCTCGAGCCCTCCTTTTCTGAGAACCCTCCCTTTCTGTCCATGTCGTATATGACACCACCTTCACGTAGCTTAGAAATTTGTTAAGAGAGAACCCTCTTGAATCTTTCTTTGATAGACGCTTCCACCCCAGCCATCGGCCCATCATTCTTCATACTTCATGTTTCACATCGGCCACTCTTTGGAATTCAATCTTCCACCCCATTCAATCGCAAACCTTCTTTTGCAGACCCCATTTGCAAACCTGTCTGCAAAGCCCAATCGCAAACCCTCTTTTTTTTACCCCGCAGATTCTGTGCATGAGCGTACTGGGCAACGAGGCCGTCGTCGGCTCCTCGGACCACGCTGTGTACACGGTGGATTTGGACACCGGACGAAAGAAACGGACGCTGTATGGCAAGACTGCCGGCCACACGGAGTGGGTCACCTGCGTCACGCACCTGCCGGATGGGCGTATCCTCAGGTGAGCGTCCGCGAAGAGCGGGTTCAAGCAAGACCAGCAAACTCCGAAATCCAGCCTGGGGACTGTATGAAACGAGTGACGATGTGGCGAGGTTCGGGGATTTTCGGGGCCCTTCTCGAATACCTTGGACCACGTGCAGATTGCCCAGGCTTTTGCACGTAAGAAACTCGCCCCGTCATCACTTTCAGCGTTGCTCAATTCCGAATTCAAATCCCCTGTCTCTCTTCGACCCCGCTCGTGAAGGTCCAGGTACGAACACTTTGCTCGAAGCCTGTGCGTGTTAAATGCAATGGGCGGTCTGCAGGTACAATGGCTTTGGGATTGGCTTACATTGCACGGACATAGTCCCATTCTCTCGACATTTCTAGATCAATCTCACCTTCCGAGGCTCTTAGCCGAAGCGATTGTTTTCGGCAACACGATGGCGTTGCTCGGTCAGATCAAAAAGAAGCCTTTGCAAACTCAACGGGGGTGGATATGGCGAGATTAACGGAGCTCTTCGAAGTGCAATCTTGGGATGTCAGCGCTTGCGAAGAACCGGAAAGTCTCTGGAGTTGCTGTCCATCGTCTCGGGGCACGACGCTTGCTGCTTCCGGGCAGGAACCAGAGGCAGAGGTGTAACAATGCAAGCACGCTGCGTCAAAGCCTTAAGTAGCGAAGTAATCCTCCTTTTCTGCAGTGGCGGCATGGACAACCGCCTTCTGCTCTGGTCGTCATCAAGCGTGACGCACTGCGAACTCCCTGGCCACACAGCGTCGATCTCAGCCGTTCAGTGCTCATCGGACGGCAGCCTCGCGGTCTCCTCTTCTTACGACAAGACGCTCCGGGTTTGGGCGCTGCCCGGAGCTGACGCTCGCGGCGTGGGGCGGGGCAAGGGTTCAGGGTTTAAGGGTACTGCCACGTGTCTCGTGGGACACGTGGCGCCCGTTTTGGACTTCGCGTGGACGGCCGGGAAGGTCGTCAGCGGGGCGCGGGACGGGTGCGTCATTTTGTGGGTGAGGTGCTGGAGATGCTCCGCTTATCTTCTTCGTTTCCTCCTTTCGTCTGATTCGTATCCTCGTCTTCAAATTTTCCCTTTACTGCTTCTGTTTTCTTGGAATGAGTTTTGTTCGAAGGGACGAGGAATAGCATCAGAAGTGGAGGGGATTTGTCGCTGCGCACAAAAGGTATATCAAGCCTTTCTGTCGGAATATCGCGTCCTTTGTTCGTTACGAAACAGATATTGGACATGGGTTTTCTGGGCTTTCAAATGCCTTTGAGATCACACCTGTCCGGGTAAAGGTCGTAAGCAACTGATACAAGCCGTCCCCAACTCAGGTGCGGAGCGTGTTAAACCTTGGGTTTACGCTTTCAATAACCGTTGTTGTTACCCTTCATGGCGCTTAACCTTCATGAAACCAATAGTTAACCCTGTTTCCTGACAGGACATCGGAGCAGCGGCTTCGTCCCGACAGCTGAAGCGCGCCCACGTGGGCCACGTGACGGCCCTCGTCTGGTCGGACGCCGGGGGCAGTCCGCAGTCCGAAGAGCGTACGAATCTCTTTTTGACCGGCGGCCAAGACGGCTTCCTTAGGGCGTGGGACGGCCGCACGGACCGGGCAGTCGCTGAGGTGCCGGTACACGTGGCAGCCAGCGGGACCGGTGAGAATTCGTTGCGCCTTTGCTAAGATCGATTGTCGCAGCCGTCCAAACTTTGGTGTATGAGTTACCGAGTTGCGGTGTTGAATTTGCAGTGCAAGGTACGGCTTTCTAACCACGTCGCTCGCTACATCGCTAGCGCCGAGAACTCAACACAACAGATAAGCAAAGATCAGTGGATTCAGTCCATGAACCGCTTCATGCAATCTGCAATTCCAAAACTTAATCTCATCTAACGAGTCATTCGGGCCATCTCAATTGGGAGCCAGGTTAGAGCTGGCAAGTGTTGCAGGACCAAGGGTTGTATGCCAAAGCAAACGTTCGTCGAGGAATGCCTTCGGAAGGAGAGTCATGTCTCGGCTTCCTTTGCGCCAGACGGTTGTCATTCTGCAACGTCGTCAGCGTTTCCGCCGCGGTCGGAATAAAAGCATGGAGAGGGAACGAGATAGATCCATCGAGGGACTGACGCTATTACGATCCTGTTCACAACGTGCGCTCGGGGGGTCATGGCAATTCATTCATTGATTGCGTCCATTCAGAACGACCCATTCAATCAGATTAGGGTTTTAACTTGTCAGTATCTCCTCCAGTAGATAAATGAACGAAGATTAAAGGCGGCCGTATCACGTGACGTGGCCGTCAGCCGCAGTCATATAGACCTCCTCAACTTTGACTTCACTGACGTCATTCCGACCTCAACCAGTTTTTCAGTCAGAAAGCCGTCATCTTCGCAAGCCGTTCCGCTGACCTCGTCCTCTCCCGCTCCTCAGGCGCCGTCAGCAGCATCCGCGTGGCTGCTGACGTCATCGTGACGGCCGGGGCGGACGGGATGGTGCGCGTGCTGGACCCCCGGGCGTCCTTCCGTGTGCGGAACTCCTTGACGGGCCCCGGGGGCTTCCTCTACTCGCTCCACGTGGCAGGCCGGACGGCGTTCAGGTACGCCGCCTGAACGTGTTTTGCAGAAAAGAAATCAAGAGTCCAGACGACTATTTTCGGCTCTGTTTCCGTTACAATTTTTTTAAAGTCCTGGTGCTGCTCGCAACGATTGCGTACCTGCTTGAGATTCTGAAGCATACAAGTCAAACAGCTTCCCTTTCATCAACAAGGAAGTCTTTCTCGAGTAACGGCTGCTGAACGGCGTTCCATCGGTCTGGTAAGTCTGGGTTGTTCAAGACAGTGTTGGTGACGGAACTATCAAGATTGATGCACAAACTTCTCAAAAAGCAATCTGCGCCCCTTTCATGGTGCCATTCTCCTCGTGCAGTTAGCTATGGCTGCTTTCGTACAGAATTCTCTGTCCTTACAAACTCGCCGTCGATATTCCTCCTGGCTGAGCTTGGACCTATCGTCTATTGCCATTTTCGCAGTGGCGGGGGCGACGGTTCAGTTTTGGTCCACGACATCCTGGATGGCCGGACACTTTACGGGCTGGGGGCGATCAACAACGGAGCAGTGCGGTGCATAGACACAGGTGACAGTAAGCTTGTTTGCGCGGGTGATGATGGCACCCTCATCACATACTGCTACTGACTGGGTGGGCTAGTTGTATTTTAGCGGCGGAAATAGGAACGAAAGCCCCTTGTAACATTTGTTGTACAGTAATGTTGACTGCTGGTTGCACCACCCCGCGACGTATTCGAACAACGAGTACCTGCAACTGGGATGCACTGACAGAAAACGCAACATGAAAAGCTCAGACTTTGTTCTGCCGTCAAGCTCTGACGACCGAAAGGAAGTCGCAATGAGATGCACCATGTAGGATAGAGGACAGACTGTTAGTATCATCCTGGATGCATGACCGTCCGACGGGTACCGTCTCTACGTGCCGCATCTACATTCTGACCACTAGCTACATTCATGCTCAGTCGGAGCTAGTGCGCAGCAGCACGCATGCCTATACAGATGCGCAAATCATGAGCAAGTACACTGCAAGTTGCGCCAACTTGCCGGGCTATAGGAACCGTCGTTGCTCTATAGTAGCTAGCCGTTCAGTGTGTGTGCATATATATGCGGATGTCATCGACAGCCGGTCGCCATGACGGCCGGCGCAGCATGGTCGATACATGAATTTGCAATAAGAATGCTGGCGCTGAGTCAAATGGATAAAACAAGCAATCCTTGAGCTTCCCCAGTGCAGTTGGCAGCGCCACATGTGAGCACATGCAAACCGAAGTACCATCTGAATACCACGAGATTGTACCGATCATAGTACCTACGCAAAGCCAGACACATGGACACGATGCAGGTTGCAACTTTTTGCCTATATGTTGAACCTTTGATTAACCTGGGCATGTAAAGTAGTTGAGCTTCCTGACATATGGACATGAAACGTGCACCCTAAGCACATTCTCCCTAAAGTGATTGACAAAGCCTATCAGAGCCTGCTACTAAAACCTCCTAAAAACATAAGCTTTTCAAAGGTGCTCTTCACAGCAGCCTGACTGGGCGTGCTGAATAAGCACGCACAACCTGACGATAAACCCCTACCTCCCCTCCCCCCAATATCCAGAGTCTCTTCTTATGATACAAGTAGCTCCGCTGAGCTGCCGCAGCAAGACACACGCAGAGTTTCTATCCCCGAGTGTCAGGACAATATGAACTTCTCCCGCCCAGTAATCTGCATCCGACATATCGGACAGATCTCGACCTGCACGAAGAGAAAGTGACGTCAGTTACAGGGTGCTGGATTGAATCTGCATGACTCTGCAAGGTCCGCACTGTGCACTTGAAAGCAGCAAGCGCATGAATCGCCGAAAGAAGCCAAAAGCAATCGCAACATGATTTGGGGAACTCGGCACTCCATTGCTGGACGATTGGACCGCGGGACTGTCAAAACCCCGCCAAAGCATTATTTGAAAATGTTTACGGCAGGCGGAAAGACTTGTGTAACACTACTTTAGGCCCTCCTTACCAGATCACTACAGGTGCCACAAAGGCAGGCATGCCGGCAGGGCTTCAGGAGAACCCGAATCTGCGAGGCAAGAGTCATAAGCTATCAGAATGAAGCCACACAATGCAATGTATCACTGTCCAGCAACAGCCAAGTTGTATTTTGCTCCTTTGTGTGCTTTAGAAGCGGAAGGTCTCCATTAGTCATGTCAAACTCAACACAAAAGAGCAAACATTCATGAGCCTCGGAATGCGTAGGAGGAGAAAGGTTGCGTCAACAGAACACTCTGGCCCAGACTGGTACATCGAGCAAAAGACTTTTTACTGCATGGACCAAACGGGCAAGGTATAAGGGAGCGGTCGCAGACATAGTTCCCACCTCCTGATCCAAACAGATCCTGCACACCCAAGCAGCTTTCCGCTCCTGCACGAACAGAAACTTGGCCATCAACAGCCGACAAAGAATGCACTGGGCGAAACAAAAGATTCTCAAGTGCAGGGTGCCTGGAAGACCTGTGTGTAGAGAGGGCTGCAGGGGCAGAGGAATTGGCGCCTCAATGACACAATTAGCATCTCCAGGGTTAAGTAGGGGACAGATTGACACTCCCGACTGTGCTGCTTACAGAAGCCGCCTGTCAAGTGCCACTGTACAAGTGGAGCACAGGAAAGTTCTGACGGCTGCTCACTTTCGTCTTTATACACGTGTTCATTGCTAGCTGCAGCAGGGTGGTCGTCTCCTCCAGCATTTCCACGCTCATCTCCCTCCCTTCTGTTGCCACGAACTTGGCAAGTGCTAATTGAAGCGGATGATCAATCTTCTGCAGCAAAAAGGTTTGAGTTTCACAATCGCTGACTCTGGCAACTGATGATGCCGGTCACTCCTGCCATCAAATCAAGAGGCTTGCATCCAATTGGTTCAACATCAGGGTCTAACATTAGGGTTTGCCCTTACGAGAAGACCCCATACACTGCTGCTGCCGGGTGGCCACATTATAGAATGCGATTGCGTCCCCTCCCTTTTAAGAAACAACATGCAAAATATGATCGCATTCTTAGCTGCAAAGTTTGAGCTAGTTCAAGCCTCTGCCCTTGCTATGAGAGGCTAAGTGGTGGCAGGATAGGACATCGTGCGCGTTTCCGTTTTCTTTAGAGCATCAACAAGCTGCACATACGTTTCAGCTTTCATTTTATCAATCGGGCTCACAGCATCAGTGAAAGTAAGCCACTAACCTCGGACTGAGCTTCCACCTTTGACTTGCTGTTTCCCATGCTAACGACCGGCTCTACTAGCCCGAAGACGAAACCCCCCAGTAGCCCCCCACAGTAGCCAATCCCGCTAAGTATTGCTCCCAGGCCCTGAGTAACAGGAGCCACCGCTTGTATCGCTATGGCTGCGAGGGGTGCGAGGGAGGGGCCGGAGACACTGTCCTCCGCAGGCAGCCCCTCCTGCCTGACCACCCCTACGTGCCTCAGCCCCTGTTCTGGAACGTTCTCCGTGGTGCTTGGTCTACGTCTTCCTTCTGGTGCAACGGTGCATCCGAGCCGCAACCTTATCCACCCTGCAAGAGACTGGGACGTACAAGAGCCGAGCCAGGCGAGGGTGACGAGGAGATCGCAGGCAAAGAGCCAGGGAAGAGTGGCTAGCTTCAAAATGAAGTTGCGACTGTTCAGCAGGGCAAGGGAAACTATCAGAACTTGCAGAGGGATGACTGGGAGGAGAAACAGGGCCGCTAAACCCAACAGGCCGGCTTCTGGCAGGAAGCGGAAACCTAACGAATCTAAGCGGAGGGAGAACGCCGCTGTCGGCATGGAGCCACACCCTCACTCGCCCATGCCGCCCAGACAAGCCCTGGAGATTGCAGCCAGCCAATTCTCCGTCCCCAGGTACTCCTAATACCAACTATGTAAAGCTGAAGATTCCGCCGCCAGCGTCAATGCATCATCGCGCAATGGCGCCTGTGTTTAACTTATAGAATCTGGGCAGGCGCTGCTCTTGCCGGTGCAGGCGCCTGTCTGTGCATGCTACACAAGGGGTGAGCGACCAGTTGTCGTACACGAGAACCCCCTCTGGGATCGAATCCATGGCCATGTTCCAGGCCCTGGTCGATCATACAACGATCACACATGCCGGAAAAACGATCACACTTCCGGCCGGCGATTTTCGCCAGTTCTGGCCATTCTGGCCGTCGACGGCGGCCAGAAAATTTCTGCCATACTTTTGTCGGTCGGCCACGGCCGGCGACGGTCGGTACTGCCGTCAATGTCGAGGAAGCCTACGTGGCAAACATGTTCCCCCGGGGCAAAACCTTGCCGTCGCGGCGTGTGTTTTACGGACATCATCATCAGGCTGAAAAGCATATGTGAATCTCATATAGGTGTTTATAAACACAAAACACAGAGTATACGGATATGGGACGGATATAAAAAAATGACCGGTGTTCAAACTTCAGATAAGATGAGTTGACATGATCACGGGGAACATGGGCATCATAGACCTGTCAGGACTTGGGTTATGAGTCTTGGATTCAATCTCCCGGGAATACAGACCTGTTAGGTGGTAATAAGCTGTGACACATATTCGGAAAGATAGATTTACCTTTGGGCATACCATAAGCACGGAGTCTTCATGCACTCTGGCAGGTTATATCAAGCAAAGTTGCTCGGTTCCTGGAAGACTTTCCTTGTTTGGCGGTCATCGGACGTCCCAGATTTGACCTTCGCCAAAACAGCTCGACGGCTGTACCGACCAGAAGTTGACGGTCGCTATGTGTGATCGACCCGACTGCAGCCGGCCAAATAGCCGTCGAAATCTGTCACCGGCCGGAAAAGTTCGCTTTCATGTGTGATCGCTGTATCATGAGGAGGTTCAGCTAGCACGAAGCTAGATCTCATTCCTGGAAATGTACGTTCTTAAAATACATATATCCCGTAAGTTTATCTCTTTATACGTGGACGTTTATGGTGGCCCCGGTTCCTTACAACGCTTCTTCCGGCTGCTATTCGTTAATCACAAGTAGCCTCGGAGCAGGCCCCCGGGCTTAGAAGAACGCTATAAGCTTGTGATCTGGAAACAGCCCACTACACCCCGAACGGTGCTAGCAAGCTGCAAACCACTTCGAAAGTTCAACATTTCAATTTCAGTCTCACAGACTGCCAAGGAGTTCAAGGAGAAGCAAGAAGTGGAGGCGCCTGGGAGGCCAAGTGCATTCTCAGCTGCGTGTTTTCTGTTGGAACATCTGCTTAAGATAATGTATCCGTACAGGAGCGATGGGTATGGCTATGGTTCTGCTGCGTCAAGCCGGAGCTATCAGCAGCAGGCACCCCGTGCGGCAAGCTCCATTGCCAGTCAGTCACTTGATGACGACCTTCCCATGTATGTCTTGAGGGAGGATACTCTGCAGTCCAGGTACGCTGTTCCAAGCGACAGGTTGCAGGCGCAGTATTATGCCGGGAGCGGAGCGGGGCACTATGACGAGAGCACTCTTCGCGCAGCGTCGCAGAGGTACTACGATGAAGGTAGGGGAATTTTCTGGCTTGTTTTAAGCTCGAGTAAACAGAAGGCCGATGCCCGGATGCGGAATGCATTGCAAGGTCGCTCCTTTTGTATGTTGAAGCCACGTGTGTTGTGGTTCAAAGAGGAAAGCATGTTTATCTGACAACAGTAGTCAACTTGCTACAACTCTTCTATATGGACATTTGCAGAGATTGTCAAGAGTGGTGCATCGAACATACCGTAAGGTAGCTATTGCACCAAAAAGCTACTTGCTGTGCTGCTACTTTCAACGTCGATAATGTCAATGTACCAGTATGTAAACTGAGATTCATCATGAGCAAATATTGAGGCTTCTGATAAGCTCTGTGACAAGCGTTGGGGCAAACGGTTTGCCTGTCAGACGAAAGCTCTTGAAAAATACTATCCTACTGTACAAAGACGTTGTATACTGGACTAATCAGTTGTCTCGTTCGTCCACCTACCTCTCTCGATGGCTTCATTGGTATCCATCCTATCCACTACGGCTGCTTCCATACGATATTACTGGTGACACCTACTACCCTACTACTGCTTTCCTTTTGTTGCTGCATCAAACTCTACTTATTACTACTACAAGTTGCTGTTCTCCACAATCTTACCGGCAATTTTGAATGCTGCTTATACCCTCGATGCATTTTTTGTTGCTTGATATCTTGTGATCCCCGCTATGCTCTGCTGCCTACTCTTTCTTCTGGACGCCAATCGTACTTCACTGTTGCTTCGTCCTGCTGCTTAATGGCTTTCTAACCCTCCCCAACTGACAAGCATCTCTTTTGACTTGCAGTGATCCAGGCTCCAAGCGCCTGCGCACAACGTACCCCGAGACCTATCAGGATCCACGGTCTGCTCGCTACCAGGCTCATGCTGCCCCTACAGGAGGGTACCCTCAGCGGCCAGGAGAGCAGAAGTGCTCATTCTATATGAGGACTGGCAAGTGCAGCTATGGATCTGACTGCAAGTTCGATCACCCGGCTTGGGTGCCTCCCGAAGGCATCCCAGGATGGAAAGAGGTAAGGACATTGGTTCTGCGGTTTGGCTTGTTCTCAGGTGGCTTATTTCAGGAAGGTTGGATGTCTCTTGCTTCTTGCTGCACTTGAAGGCTAGTTGTGTGGAGGTCAATTTAGTCTTTCCGCCCATGATAGACTGAATAGCTTCTATTAGCAGGTTTCCAGTTGACATAATCACGGGCTTGCCAATCCCAAAGGCTGCTCCTTTTACCGGGGGGACTTTTATGTCTGTGGTGTTGTTACCTACTGCTTCTCAAGAATTGCATCTTTGCTTACTGAAGTCTGGTGGAATTTGTCCAGGAGGAAGGCGAGTTTCCGCAGAGGCCCGGCCAGCCTCACTGCGCTGTAAGTGCGGCCGATCGTAGAGCTCTTCTTTTTGCATTCGTTTTCATCTCAGACTACTCTCCCTGAAAGCAACGTCCAACGTCAATGGTTCAAAGGCACTAGCCTGCCGTTGCTATCACATCATTGGATGGTTAACCTATTCCCATTTGTATACCTCATACTTTTGGATGCGCACTTCACGTGAATGCTTGTCTACCATGTTGCAACTGCTATGAAAGTTTTTGTCACCCACTGCAGTCATACCGGAAGTACTTAACCGTTCTCTTGACCATGCTTACATGCTCAAAAACTTTCTCTTCTGTGCAGTACTTCCTGAAGAATGGCACGTGCAAGTTTGGGTCTACATGCAAGTTCGACCACCCTGGGGCCAAGCCCTTTGCAGGGCGCTCTGTTGCAGCGGCCCCCGTGGAGCGGTTGGGGCTGCGCTCTGACGTGTTTGGCACCACTGCTCCGATGAACTCGAAGGGCCTGCCCCTGCGACCGGTGAGCGTTTCCGCAGGAGTCTTGTTGTGGACTGTACAGAGTTCATGCATTCCCGTCTGAAAGTATTCCAGATAGTGAAACTTCAAAACGACTCTCGATATGGGCTGTACGGAGTCCTTACATTCTTGTAAGAGTGTTTGCAAGAGTGTTTCAAAAGTTGAAGTTGAGCATTGTGGCGTCCTCATCAGAGGCAAGGAAGATATTAACCTGGACAAAGGCAGGCCCGAGCCTACTCAACCTGGTCCAAAAAATCTAAATGACGCAGACAAGCATCCGGCCCTTGTCCTTTGAACCTCTGAGCAATTCGCTGCTGCTTTCTTGTTTCAAGGGCAAATGATGATTTACATCTTTCAGGACATGTATTTCTGAGGAGCAACTTGTCACCAAGCGTCTAGCCGGTCTGCTGACCGGTGCTTCGTTACACCTGTCTCCAGTCGGAGCCCTTGTGCCAGTTCTTCAGGAAGACCGGAGACTGCAAGTACGGCGTGCTCTGCAAGTTCGATCACCCGGAGCCAGGTCAGCCGCCCGGCACAAGTCGCCCACTTTTCGCATGAGTTTTTCCTGTTTGCATACGACATCCCCAGTATCCCTGCCTGTGCTTGTCTGAAGGCTTCGCATACACGAGCTTCGGGTTGGTCGTGGATTCGCGTGCCAGGAAGTAAAATTCGTTCTCATGTGTCCGCTCTTGATCCTGCAGGAAGCTCAAAGAGGAAGCGGGCCTCAGACGATGTAAGTCTAGCTTTCTGTGTACATTTTTTTCGGTGACTGGTTGCGTTTCTGTAGTGCTCTTTGTTCGCCTCAGGCATACTTGCTTTTGAGGTAGGTACTAGGCTTGCTCTGACGAAATCATGAATCAGAAAGAGCAAGTTCGTGTGTTTCCCTTTCGTCCGTTTTGTCCGTTGATTCGGTGAGTACCAGTGGCAAGTGGTCAATGTAGACACTGGTAACCGATTGCTCTTTTTGCCCCTTCTAAGTATCGCCGCTATTCGGTCGGGTCAAATAAGCATGGTTGACCGACATTCCAGATTGTCTCTTGGCAGTTCGATCTTTCTCAAAGTTTCGGTTCCGGTTGCCTACAGGATCTTCAGGACGTGCCCCTCTATGCGGTTCTCCCTGGGTCCTCATACGCAGGCAACGCCGCCCCTCCGGCCCGGGCGGTGGCTCTGCCCCAGCGACCGGGTCAACCAGAGTGCGCTGTGAGTACTAAGATTCCATCATTGACATGGCTTCCGTGGCATGCCCTGGATCATGACACGGTTACTGGCGTACTCTATAAAGATGCTGTTTAGACGCTTCTCTTCTCAGGGTCCTTGGTGTGTAAGGAGCGGGGCTAACTTGGCATCACCTATTCCTCCTTCTGCCGTCTGCGCAATGCTCCTTCGAATTCGCTCCGCAGCTCTGCAACATTCATTAATTATGGGCCACGTCCACTCCGACTTCGCCACTCGCTGTTTCTGCGAGAGAAGTGGTTTGCCTGGCATCCCCATAGCGAGTTGTTATATCTTGGTGCTTCCTTTTCAGACAGCCCCTCCCTGCAGCTAGGCTGTGTCCTTCTTCCTTGAATTAGACTTATTCTGCTCTCATAGTGCAGAGACAGGGAACCCAAGATCGACAGCGATAAAGAGGTTCGGACACGAGGAAATGCATCCTTCTCCAGGACAAGCCGGAAGCACTTCGAGAGCAAGAGAGATTGGCTAACACGAAACCGTGAAAAGAGAGCTCTTTCTCGTCTATGCAGTACTACATACGGACCGGTACCTGTCAGTACGGCGCCACCTGCAAATACAACCATCCGCTTCCTCTGTCCAAGAGGACCGAACAAACCAAAGCGAAGCCTGCCAAGGCCAGCCCCCCAGCGGCAGGGTTGACGCCTGCAGGCCTGCCCAGGAGGCCCGTACGTACCGCGTCGAATTGTGTCTTTGTTTTCAGCCGTTAAGGTGCAAGTGTGCATGCGCACCGGTTCCAAGAATGAGAGATATGGCGTCTTATCGAGTCTGCCAGTCTTGCCCGTACCGCTCAAAGAGCGCCTATTGACAGCGATTGGCTCATTGCGTTCCCTTGCCCTGCTTGAAGATGTCGTCCAGCGAAAGGTCCTCCTTCGGTGTTGACTTGATGGCTGTACTGTCGATTGTATGCAACGCCTTTGTCCTTTTCATAAATCGGACGTCAGGTAAAGCTTTGCCTTCCGACAGTTCTCGATAGATTTACACCGAAAATTCTGACTTGAGAAATATTGGACCCTCTTTCTCTTCCTAAAAGCTGACATGACTGGCTTCCCGTGTGCAGGGCGCGACTCTGTGCGCGTACTACATGAAGACGGGCCTCTGCAAGTACGCCCCCGACTGCAAATTCGACCACCCGCCCCCCGGCGAGGCGGCCAAGATGGCCTACCGCGCAGCCGCAGCCGAGAAGGCGGCGCCACCCGCCGCGGGAAGCGCCGGGGGCGTCCCGAGCAAGGACCAAAAGGTGGAGGAGCAATCGGCTGCTCAAACCGTGGAAAATGTCGCAGTGGGGAACACGGACGGACAAGGGGAGGCGGTTAGAATCGAAGAAAAGGCTCCGGAGGAAGCAGAAAAGGAGGGCCTTGCGGAGCAGGAAGGCGGAGGGTTTGAGGGCGAAGCTTGGAGCCCCGAGGCGGGCGTTGAGACGGAGGCGGAGGAGGGTGCGGACGTCGTCGGAGGGGAGCATGTCTCGGAGGGTGCCGTCGAGGGGAACGCGGGAGCGGAGCAGGAGGCCGGTGCGGCTGAAGGTGAGACACCGGCTGAAGCAGCAGAACAGGGTCCGGTTGAAACGGCGCCGACCGAAGCAGCAGAACAGGGTCCAGTTGAAACGGCGCTGACTGAAGACGCGGAGAAAGAGGCAGTGCTTCCTAGTCAGGCGGAGGTTGAGCAAGCGATTGAGAACGAGGCGATGCAAGCTGATGAGGCGGAGGTTGCGCAAGCGGCGGTCCCTGCCGAGGGGCCAGGAACGGTCGAGCAAGAGGAGCAGGCAGGGGGGGAAAACGATGGAGACGAACTTGATTTCGTTGACGCTGAGGGGCTGGAAAACGAAGATGCGGAGGGGTACGAAGGAGGTTTGGAACATGAGTCCATGCTTGAAGGCGGCGTGGATCTGAACGCGGAACCTACTGACGAAGTTGAATAACGGGACTAGGTGCAATGAGTAATGGATCGAGAGGAGAAGGTGCTTATATCAGTTTCTTGGCCATCTGATATTCTTGATCTCTGCACAAGTAGGACTAGGTGATTCCAATGAACAACTTTTCAAAAGCACGGCGGACATGGAATGGATGGGGCAGCTCATTGCCTTTGAGGGGGCTATGAGGTCCATGTTGTGAACTGCGGATGCATGTTTTAAGAGTGGTACTTCGGTGGCAAACCACCAATCTATGTTATTTCGTTGGCAGCATTCCATTTGCTAGCTAGCTTAGCCGGCTCCATGCAGTTCGATATACGGGCTTCATAATTAGGGGTTGCCTTTGGAGTTCCAGCATCCGACTAGTAGCCCCCGGTCCTTGCCAGCAAGGAGCTTTTAAGGCGTCCCGATGGGATGCAACCGTCTCAGTATAGTGCAGACATGCTTACTATGTTGGGGCACTGAAGCTACATCACGTGCGCCTGATGGACATAGCTTGACAAAGGAAGCATTGCAATAACATGCATGACCACGGAGATGCTTGACGTCGGCCATACCTCACAGTCCGAGCTGTTCTATATACTCACCACGCATGGTTTCCCTGATGATGTATTGTGATACTTGCCAATTGTTTCAAAAGGTCACGCGCTTGATCAGATTAGTAGACCGGGTCTGAACAAACCTGTAGAAGAAAATCAATGGTAGTATTCGAGTTCCGTCTAACACGCACTATAAATGGCCAGCATTTGGGTCCTTTTGACACGCGCTAAATCGGGCTAGCTAGCATTCAGGTCCCTTGTGCCACTCGCAATGTCAAGCAAGCTTACAGTGTTGAACATCAAGATGTTTGTTAGACATTCGATGATGCACAACCAGTAGGATTACACCTTTCCTCTAAGCGAAGTCAATCATCTACGACCATTTCAATATAGTAGTCCAAGAAACAGAAGTACCCCGCCTCTTTTGCACCCCGCTCTTCCTCCTTGGTGATTGTGAGCCTGCAGCTTGAGCACACATAGGTTAAGAGGCATTCGCCTGAAAATAACCTTCTGAACACTGGAGTAAGCCGAATACGAATTGCGGCGGAAGCTCTTGAGAAAGCAGTGGACTCCCCAGGACTTCAGGAACAATCAGAAATAAAAGGGTACTACCTAGACGTTGTACGGTACGAAGAGCAATTTTGCACCAGCACAGATATTCATACAACTCAATAACTGTATGACGCGAACGCGCACACAAACTCATGCGAAACCTGCTATTCAAAAGGGAAGAATCTCTGCTTTTTCCCCACACCCCATGCTACGACAAGCACAATGCAGCTAAAATGGACCTGCTCGAGAACGAGCACACTTGCTGCTCACCTGACTGCAGACGCCTGTCGCAACAGATCAACATATTAAACAATGCTTCATGTTAAGCAATGTATTTGACCAATATATTACAATGTATGTAAAACAGTTTGTGAGCGCTTACTCTTGTCCAGTGTAGTGTTTGAGATACTCCTCGTAGTCTTCCTGGCCCGAGAATCTTGACCCTTTTGGTGGGTGCTTTGGAAAGAGCTCCCGCGTGACGATGATGGTGCGCTTTTCTATGGCCAGAAGAGACAAAGTGTTAACTCAGATCCTAATGTCCCCCGGGTGTCCCCCTTCCTGCAGGCGCTTATGAGAAGTAATGCAACCAAGGGAAAAACCTCTTACACCAATGGCCTGACAGAAAACAGTCCCGCCAACAAACCTGTCCCACCAGCATCCATGTGCTCCGCCGTGCCAGTACTAATACAAGTTTGATCAGAAGCCGAGCTTTAGAGAGAAAAACAGTGAGCTTTGATCAAACAACTTCGATAGAATGGAGAAGAGCTCAGGCCCCGCGCCGCTGGAAGCGCAATTGATAAGGCAGGCCCGGCCCCCTATAAAGCTGTCCGGTCACGGTCACTAGCGCGACGTCAGTGGCCGGGCGCGCAAGCGGCCGCCGCAGGCCGATACGGCGGAGGGTTTGCAGGGTTTGGGCCGCGGCGCGCAGCAGCCGCGCCGCGCCGCGCGGATCGGATATAGAGCTAGGAGCTACATGCAGCTAGCTAGTACGTAGTCACCTAGGACAGGTAGATCGCCACAATTGGGAGATCGGTCTTAGTAGGCTGCATGACACGATGTTTTTGTTGCACGGCCGGCGCGATTTGAACAAGCGTAATTTTAACAGCAAGCATAACACTCACAATGCGTTACATTGCAGACTGCCCCGGCCCGGCCTTCCAATGTTGAATATAAAGCCATATAAGCATATATCCAAAGGTTCGATTTTCCCAAGTGCTCTGCCTGGGTCCTGCAAGTGGTGCCATGGATGCTGCATGATTTACATTGAATCTCTGCGGATTGGCAGGCTCGATCACATTCTGAGGATTAACTTAAACTTTGGGCGGCAATTGTCTTGATCCCTGGATAAGTCTACTTCATGGAAGTCTCTATCCAAAATCGTGATCAATCTCGATCCCATTGGTCAAATCATTGTGACCATTGAATATATTACTTAGTTGGATTGAGAACACCGATTCCTATTGAAGCAGAGCTAGAGACGAGCATAGTGCGCAAAAAAGTAAATCACCCCGACGATTTCTAGTGAAGCGGAAATCGCTGTTCCCACTGTCTCCAATGATGCAAGTGAGCTATTCAGGCTCACATGTGTTCTTGTCCCTGCTTGATTATACGCAGTTAAGTTTGCCCGTTGCCAGGCTGTTGAAACTTGCATTGCAACGGCTGATTGCATGAACTTCGATACGACTGCCGTCCACAAAGTGCAGATCGACGTGCATAATCCCGCATGCGAAGGATACTTCATGCAGAGGCGTCAGGCGTTATTATTTTGAAACCTGCTCTCACAAGAGGATAACTCCTGACGGTAGACATTTCTTACGAGAACGCGAACAGTGCCTTGGCGGGCCAACAATTAGATTGACGACAAGGAGAAACAACAATCAGTGAGCCGTTCACTCCCCCCAGCAAAGTGGATTTGAGCCTGTTACTACAACAACGACCATGGTCCGCGTCCAGATGTTAGCCTCCACAATGCATTTCGCACCTACAGATTTCAACCTGTACAGAAGCTTGCACATACAAGAAATTTGAACAAGCCTAGCCGTTTTGGATCAGTAAGCAGTCATATCGCGGAACTGTTCCCAGTATGCAGTTCGACCCGGAGAAGACATACACTCTCAAAGGACCGGCGGTTTGGCTTTCGGCTTGACCTCCGCATCTTGTACCGAGCGGATGAAGACGGCGTCATGTGGGTGGCTGCAAAGAAACAACACGGGTTAACGAGGGCCATGAAAGATTCGCCTACAAAGCTTTGAAGAACTTGAGCAATGGCGATGGGCTGCAAGCAAATAATGGGGAGTCCTGAGTCTCTCTGTCTCGATGGCAGGCAACCTTTGAGTGCATCCCTGCTTTAAATCTACAACCAGAGGCGGCTAGCTTGGATTCTTTTCCGCTTTTGTAACCCACTATTCAGCTACTCAAAACCAAAGCGATACGTTTGAGAAGGACGGCCCATGCGCACTTAATCCTTCAGGAAATTTCCGTCCTATGCCGTCAAGAATGCGCTATTTCCGTCGTCGGCTCGACCTTTCTGTGTTTCTATCTTGCCGTGTCGCCTACTATCGAGCACGTCCACGGCTGGAGAAAAGACGTCTACGAAAAGACGCAGAAACTTCACAGAATACCTGCCACATGCTGGCGGGCCGAACCTCTCCTCGGCGATGTTTTGATTGCCCTGTGCGCGAATCCTCAGGCCGCTAGCCCAAGTAGCGCAGAGAAAGAGTTGGTAAGCCCACAAAAAGAGTCGGTAGCGCAGAGAAAGAATCGCAGGAGTCGACACTCACTCTTTGTTGCCGTCCTCGTAGTTGTAGCTGGCGGCCACGGCGAGCAGCCGGCCGTCGGGGCTGAAGGAGAGGGAGGAGACGCCCGTCGGGTACTGAGTGTACTGCACAGCGCAGAAAGGGAGCGGTTGAGAGAGAGGCACGAAAGCAAGCAACGCTGAGAGCGCGCATGAGTATCGAAGGAAATGGAGGAGACGCCCGTCGGGTATAGGGTGTACTGCACAACGCAGAAAGGGAGCGCTTGAGACAGAGGCACCAAAGCATGGAACGCTGAGAGCGCGCAAGAGTATGAATACTGGGTGTACTGCACAGCGCAGAGTCAAAATCTCAAAACCCTTCCAAAGTGACAAAATAAACAGGCCTCGGCCCCACAACTCAGGAAGGACGACATGGAATCAGCGGCGTTCTGAGACATACACAAGTGGGCAATTTCCGGACGTCCACTGGCTAAATCATCATGATCTAGTCCCGTAACATCCACGAGTGGACCACGCTGCCACTGCCGTGCACGCTTCCGAGCAACCAAGCTTCAATGCTGAACGGCAAATCTCTTTCTCGTACATGATCGTTTACTTTCGTCGGCTAAGGACGCCTTCTTCTTGTCCCTGTCCTCAACAAACCGCACAGTGTCGCCAAGATCAAAAGAGGAAGTCCACGCACTCTCCGGCCTTCTCTTTTCGCATCACACTTGGAAAGCACACGACGCCAAGCTTACGATGGACAACGGATACCCACAGTTGGACCCCTTTTGCTCTCGTCGCTTCTGCTGAAAGGGTGTGTCTCCTTTCCGTCAAGATAAGGACGTTGTTTAGCGGCAACGTTCGATCTGGAAAATCTCGCAGGTGGACTCATCAATTTCACTGATCAAAGGACCCTCGGAGTTGCACTTTGAGAAGCCTGACCGCACACCAGACCAAAACCTTCCCGATTCCCTCACCTGATATAGCCGCTTTTTGTTGTCTCCATCCCAAATGTTCACAAACCCGTCCGAACCCCCCGTCGCAAACGTGCCGTGCACCGGGTGATAGGCGATGGCGTTCACGGGGTATATGATATCCTTCCCGTCCTGCGTTTGCCGGTGGCATTTGAACGCGTACTTTTTGGACTGCCACGCCTCCGACGTATCGAAATATTCCATCGCGACCCGGCCTTCGATTGAGCTCAGGGCATACCCTGCACGAGAATGTCTGCGGTCAATGCTTTTCCTTTTACAACGGGAGTGCTTCGAATATCCTTCCTTTTCCTACGCTTCGGTCTGGAAAAAGTTATGTCTCCTCGCAGGCGTTGCTGATGTTTCAGGGCATGACCTGTCGGAGACATCAAGCAGAGAACGAAGAAGAGTAATGACACGAGGAAGGCGAGTTGGAAGCAGAGGAAGCTGGATCGCCGTGGGCCTGCCACTTACGTACGAGAACAGGAACTGTGCACCGCAGCATATCTGGTCGAGCTTTCAGTCGAACAGATAGATAGTCCAAAAGTCAGCTAAACTAATCTAGAAACGGATCACCGCACCCCGAAGCTCCAAGTTACAAAACAGCTCAGAAATGCATAAGATCTTTGGCCTTATAAACTGTGCTCGAATCATTGCTCGAATCACCATTGCATGATCCTTATTAGAGACGATCATGGCTTATTCCCGCTCCTAGCTCATTCCGCTATGAAAGAAATGCGGCACGGCAAGGCCGAGGCTGCCCTTCAGTCCAGCACACACACAACTCAAGAACAGCTCAGACGGTCAAGCTACTTGCGGCCGGAATGGCCAGAATCGGCATGAATCTGCAAGAAACCCGCAAAAGACGAATATGGTGGCCGGAGTTTCCGAAAGTACGGATATCCTGTTTCCGTAAAAACATTGTCATCGTAAGGCGGCTCCTAACCTGTTCCATTGGGGTAGCAGCGCACGCAGCGCGTCTGGTACTTGAGGCTGCTCTCGCGTGTCTGCTCCGGTTGGCCCATATTCCGCAGGTCGAACAGCACCACGTGGCGGCCCGCGCACGCAACCACCAATCGGTGCCCAACCAGCGACATCGAGTAGACCCGGTCAGGAACCTGGTTAGCAGAAACGAAAACAGGTGAGCAAGGTTCAAGTTCCACTAGCACATTGAGATATTGGGTTTACTATTGACACGGACCAAAGGAGAAGCATGCGGGCGTCCCGACCAGTATTGATAATAACGGGTTGAGGCTCTGGGTCAACTTCTGGGTAAGCTGACGACCTGATTGATGAATCAAAACGAACTGCGTTACAGAAACACTCCCGAGGGACACACGTACCAGCATTAGCGAAGGAAGTTGGAAGCTGTAGATTCTACTTCACCAGCCACATTTAAGCAATCATTCTGGCCGCCTCTAAAACTACTAAGGGTTTGGGGAAAAGTTCGGGCGGACAAAGTACAAGAGTCTCAGGTTTGAAGAAGGGTTCGGGGGCTCTCAGGTCTTAAGCCCACCAACCTCCGCTCTCTAGACTGTCGCAAATTCAGGCTACCTTAGAACACTTGTAAATGATCTGCAGTCTGTGTATTCGAAGGTTGACTGCATTCTGGAGAATGACTCACCTGGTATAGACCAACCGCTCTTTGGCCCCCAGGAGGCGCCCGGGGGTCCCACGTTCGGACGGTCTTGTCCCAGCTGCCGGACACGACTTGTCCGGTCGCTTGCGAGTACTCCACACATCGCACCGGGAGGTCGTGAGCCCCCAGGTTGTCTTCCACACCTCGGACAAAGTCAAACCTGAGGAGGAAGCAAAGAGGTGTTTCTGTTGATACTTGACAGCTGTCCTCTTACCCCAATTGTGAAGATGGTCAATGTCGGTTAAGAGAAACCCAACTTGGTCTGGTCTTTCGATTTTCACAGCACAAATTTCAAAACGGGATAAAAAGAATAACCATATGTCACGTCTGTAGTCCACCTTGTCGCACCAGGGGATGATCACTGATGCCATCAACCAAAGAGTCGCAATCAGGATGTTGTGCTGGCTGACGAGGAGAGACACTTCTGACTTAGGAAAAGGTCAGCCAGAGACGCTTTTACGGTAAGCACCCTTCTCAAATGTTCAACAGAATTGATTCCAGAAAAAGGCCAGCAGATTTCGAACGGTTGGCCTTAGTTGACGGGTGCGGTAAACCATGATGAAAACAAAACCCAAACACCCTCCAAGGAAGTCTACAGTCCTTGGGACCCAAAAAGACAACACCGGTCCGGGACAAGGTGAGAGCGCCGTCATAAGCTCTCCTTCACAATCGCTTCTGAGGTCAGGAGCTCACCGCTTGACTACTTTATCGAGACCTCCGCTAAAAGCGGCCCCCTCATCTTGGAAGGCGCAGTCTAGGACGGGGCCTCGATGGCGGTACTTCCCTTTGAGCACATTCAGGTCTGCATCATAGAGCCTGACGTACTGCAGAAAGAAGATCATATCATCACATGTTGTGCGAAACCACGATGAGTCCACTTCAAATGAGACAGAGGGTTTTTCTGCAGCTGGGGCAGGCGAACAGACGAGAGTAGCGCTCCTTCACAAGCTGTACTTCGGCTGCCTGGCTGACGCCCTGGTCTTGGGGGCTCCTGTAAACATACATCACCAGATTGCAACAGAATGTGAAGTGAACACTTGGTAAAAAAAGAAGGTTACCCAAGGTTAACTTACCAGACCCAGTGTCAGTCTGAAAACCGCAGCTTGCAACAGGCCACATTATCCAAAGTCAAGGTTAACTTACCAGACCCAGTGTCAGTCTGAAAACCGCAGCTTGCAACAGGCCACATTATCCAAAGTCAACGGGAAACAGGCCGAGCGCAAAATGCAAGCTGAGTGTCAGAAAGCTGCTGGGTGAAAGCGTGTAGCATCCGTCAAAGAACAAAGATGGGGTTGTTGGAGCGCCAGGTCATACGCTTCCACGATCTTCTAGAAGATAAATGAGCAAGGCTTGTTGACAGTCAACAACGGAATTTTAAATTTTTGGCCAGCTTGGGATTCGGACAATAGACCCTCTTCAGGGAACATCTGCACCAGGACAGCAGCAAAACAACTGAGCAGCTGTTGCGCCTCTTCAGCAACAACACCTCTCAAACGGGTCTCTGGATGAAGAGCTTACAGAGTCCCAGGACGAGACCAGCAGGCTGTTTGAGGTCGTTGAGAAAGAGACGTTGGAGATGCCGTCGGTAGGACCCCCTGGGAGCTCTCTACCGACCACCGGGCCCGCTTGCATCGCGGGAAAATATCAGACTGCCAAAACTGTTGTAACCAGTCCTCCGCAACTACAGACTAATCTCAGCTTGCAGATGCCCAACAGCCAATTGCTGGCCGGACGCTCCCTCTATTCCAGAGGCGTATTTCTCTATCCTAAACCGCGAAATCAATACAGATGCGACAAATTTTTCATATAAGGACTGCGAGTCGCCGTATATACCAATGGACTGCGATCGGAAGTACCTTCGGCAAGGTAAAGCAGAGAAACAAAACCTGACAAGGCAAACGATCAGGGCGATCCTGCAGAGGACTCCCAATGGCGCTCCCCTTGTCCCCAGGTGGCCTAGACCTACACAGAAGAGGTCCGGTTCTAACAAAGCCTGTCTTACAAGTACAGTGTACTTAATACAAGGCAAATTTTATGTATGAGCACACGGTGGAAATGGGTTAACCTGGGTATAGGCGGGTTAGTCCTGACGGTTTGAACCGGTTTCTTACCGAGACCTCATAACCGGCCAATACACCCAGGTCAAAGGTACACAACGCAACATGAACGGCTGCTTGACAACGGTAGCGATATTGGGGTTACAGCAACGCATTGGGAGGATTGGGTCAAAGTGCATGACACAATCCGCGAGCCCCTCCTATCGACTTTTCAAATGACGAGGCGCCAGTTGCCTTGCAGCCGTCAGATTAGCCCGATGAACCCTTCCGCCGCATGGCACGATCGACGGTCGAGACTGCCCGGTTCTCGCACCCTTCCATTGGGATATAGGTAGGTACTGGCAAGCAGATTTGAAGGCCGACCAGTGCTCTACCGTACCCTCTGTCGTTGCTGCTCGGCCACAAAATGCATGCCAAAATTCTGCGTACGGTAATTTGATCAGTGAACGGAAACGTCTCTTTCTCTCAGCTCGAATGCAGGCTGGAGCTTGGGTATGCAACATGTTGTCCCGGTTGTACCAATGGAGAAACGACATGGTATGTCTAGAATCGATCGGACTTATAGTTTTGTTGCGTATGCAGTAAATCCAGTATCTAAAGCTCCATAGCCGCAAGGAGCTCATGTCAAACATGCCACACGGCCTGAGGCCGTCGTTGTGTCTAGCTCCGGTTAAGCTTCCTGGTCCGTTGAGTATTGCCGCCATTTGTGTATCTTATTGAACAACTTGATGTTTGGAACGCTCGCCTGGAGTCTAGATTGGAACGCTCACTCTGTCATTGGGCTTCAAGAACCAATCAGGAACATCACGAGTTGATGCATCGAGCTTGCAAAGCCAGTTGCAGCTCCGGTATACGGATGTCACCTTGATACGGCCTGCTCAATCTGATGGCAAGAGAGGTCTTTGGCAAATATCGACGGCCCTGAGATCATCAGCGAGCCGGTACGGCTTCTTACCGACACCATTTTCTATGCTAGCATCAGCTCCTGCCCCTAGCAACTGTTCTACAACAGCCACATGGTTGCCTCGAGCTGCGTGATGGAGAGGCTGCAATAACGAAGTGAGTAAACAGTCAGGAACCAGCGTTAGTACCGTTTTGATGCACCACAGAACAGAATATATGAACTGATGCCCACAAGGTAATAGTCTTGATGTGCTCAACGGGGCTGCCACGCCGCCAGTGCGGTTGTTGCTTGCACTCGTGCCACCCCTTCGTTCAAATCGTTTGGCTTAACAAGAAGACTCTCGAGGGGTTTCCGAACCAACCGGTCCACTTTGATCAACTGCAGCTATACAAAACGAGCTCAGGAAAGCTTTGGCTTGTCAACCAGGAGAAGGAGACAAAGTCGAGTATCCAATTACATCAAGCTTTGTCCAAAGCTTCCTTCATGTCACTCTATGATTCTGCTTTGCTCGCTTTTCTCGTTTATGTCGGCTGAAACATATCACCAGCCTGGACAAGTCGGAGCTCGGTTTACAAAAACAGGAAAGAGTTCTAGAGAACAACAGCGAAAGACAAGTTGGTGCTCAACTTTGATGGACAGGACGCAAAGATAGGAAAAGCGTACCGTATCACCGTCGATGTCGGATGCTTTCAGCAATTCTTCTATGCATCCCTGTTGTTCAGCAGCGTTCAGGAGTAGTGTCACGCAATCCGTAAAGCCGCTAGCAGCAGCGTCGTGGAGAGGAACGGCACCGTCCTCATCTCGAGCCAGAACAGATGCCCCCTTCGACAGGAGAACCTTCAATCACCAATAGAGAGGCCAAATTAAGCTCAACGCCAACAAGGCTTGAATGAAAACAAAACGAGAACAGCACTTTGTGAGGAAGTTTGGCCGGTTCTCTCAACCTCAAGTATGGGGAGTGGAGAGTCAAGGTTTGTGGTCGCTGCAAAAAGAGATACTCAGGGCACCACTCAATGCTCAATGATATCGTGCAAAGAGGCAATCTGCACGGGGTCCCTAAGGGGCAATAATCAAAAGACAACTTTTGAAGGCAGGCTCCAAAAACTGCCAGAACCTTGACAAGGAAGGTGCGAACCCCTCGTAATGCTTCCAACTCTAAGGCCTGCTCCAAAGTCTTGGCTATCTACGAGTTATGCCTTCGCCGACCCAAACAGGACTATACACAGGCGGTGTAATTCGTAAAGACGGGCTTCTCAGCAACATTGTCCAGGCCTGTATCAGAGAGGTAAATCACGCACCTCTACACACTGGGCATGCCCATGCAGAGCAGCAAGATGAAGGGCAGTATCACCATCATCGGCACGACTGTTGATGCTCACTGTCAGACTTCCTGCCATTGAAGGGATCGGTTTTAAGATGCCCCCTAGGGACGCAAAGGCAAATGAGTGGCAACTCTCGTTCGAGTGCTGTGGGGCACACCAGATATCCTTCAACATGTCACGCATCATGTGCTGAGTTTAGCAGTAGAATCCTGATTGTGAATTGTCTCTTACAAAGTCTGAACGTCTGAAGCAACATTCTGAAACAAGCTTCTCAACCTATCTCACCCCAGCAGCATGTGCACGATCTACGATGGTGCATTTCAAACTGGTGTCTGAATACTGAACAGTGAGAAAACAACCAAATGCTGCAGATCCTGTCCAACAAAGCATCCTCAGCATTGGGTGCCAATTCCTCACTCATGGCCTCTTCGAGAGCCTCCACATTTCCAGACTCTGCTGCATCAGCGACCATCTGGAGGTCTTCTGGCACCTCCGCAGGTGCCTCCTCCACTGTCACCCAAGAAACCTCCGGCTCTTCATCTCCATTGAGGCCCGAGCGGCGCGGGGCATGCTCCGGAACGCCAGGCATGCTCAAGCTGTCAGATGCTCAGAGGCCAATCCTCAGGAGCTGTGCTGGCCCTAAGTCTGAGGCCCACGTCCAACGTATGAGAAGCAGAGCAAGCAAATAAGGCGCTGTTGCATCTGAACTTGGAAGACTTGAAGTTGAAGTTACTCCTTTGGCTTTGCTTCACCACCACACACCACCATGCAGCATCATGTTGCTTCAGACATGGTGACCCTCGCCCCGCCGGTTTAATACCTCTTGTTAGGGGCCCCGTTACATAAACTTATACCTCTTGTTAGGGGCTCCGAAAGGTTGGATTACCGGTACAGGCTACAGAAGTTTCGGAGCAAGCCTTGTTAAAGGCAATCCACCAGAGGCAAATTGCGGGCCTGAAAACCGGGTTTGCGTTGATTGGGTTGTGGGTTACTTTCTCGGGTCACAAATCGGGTTCAGCCTGCAGGCAACCTAGTAGTAGTAGTAGTAGTAGACGACGAGTGCATTGTGCAGCTTGATTCATGCAGCAACTTCAAGCTTTCGAACGTGCCAATTCCTTCCCTGAAGGCTTCAGGGCACTCTCTTTTGGTGGAGGCAATCAACCGCTGTCATGGTTTCTCTTGTTGACATCATCTACATCACCTTAATCGTTTGCAGCCATGATTCGCACTTGATGTATCGCTAGGTCTGCCAACCGTAGCACTTTTTGGGAGCGATTGTGGGCAATCAAACTGTGCGGTTTGAGCCCAGTCCAGATTGGGCAAGTTGGCGTAGCAGACCATCTGCAAAGTCATTGTTGAACCCAGGAGTCAGGCAGCTATGCAGCAAACCAAAGGGGCAGAGGAGAAGGGACCTGCAGAGCTGCCTAGGCCACAGAGCGGATCCGGAGCTACCACCGGTGCTAGCAAGACGCAAGAGCCATTCTTGGGCGTGAAGGTTCGCCGTAGGTCTAGTCTGAACAAGGTCTTCCAGGGAGACTATTTGGAACTGAATGGCAACGCAACTGTCCTGAAGTTGCTTTCAAAACATGGTAAGCTTTTGCTGCTATTTCGGCTCTTGTACTGTGAAGCCAAGCCAGATCTAGGGGCATTGTGGCGCAATCTGCAGTGCACCTGATTCCCGCCATTGGATCTCTGAGGCTATGATGGTCACACGGCACTTATTCCTTACTACATTCGTTCTGAGCAACTTTTTGATTCGTGCCGCTAGTGTTCCCAGGACACGTTGCAAGGAACATTTCTTTTTGCTGTGCAAAGCTCTGGACTGGAAATAGACAGAAAGCCAACCGCAAAACAGAACCTTGAGGCCAGGAGATGCACCTCAATGAGAAAATTCGCCCTGTCTGACGATCCAGCAAAACTCGTCTTTTTCAAGGCCCTTTAGGTTCAAGAGGGGTCACCTGCAGCGTGGCGAGGTGTCCAATTGAGCTGCACTTTCAGTCGGCAGGAATGTCCATTCTGGCACCTTACAATCGCTATCCTGTGATCACAGGCCACAAGCCCCTGTCAGTGCGTCCCCAATCAAATAAATTCCCCGTGTTCTCAAATCTTTCATTGTCATGCACACCAATCTTTCCGTTCCTCCCTGCAGGCGACAAGGCGGTGCTCTTCGCTGATACCGTCATCAAAGTCGACCGCAAATTTCGGATGCAGAAGCGCCTTATTTTGATTACGGATGTGGCACTGTACATCCTCGAGACGGACAGTTTCCGTGTGAAGAGGCGCATCAGCCTGGACACGCTGGAGTCCCTCCGCCTGAGCGAGCTGAATGACAACTTCTTTGCGGTCATCATCCCTGCGGAGTACGACTATCTGCTGGCAAGCACACGCAAGACGGAGATTGTGACTGTGCTGCTGGAGGCCACCAGGAAGCTGACGGGGCGCAACGTTTCTGTAAAATTTGGAAATAGGTGAGGGGCTGCCCCGATTAGAACCTCAATGTTTTGGCTTGTAGAGTAGCAACTTAGCTTGGCAGCTAACTCTGTCTCCCTGTGTGGACTTTCTGATTGTCAAACAAGCCTATTGTGGTCCAAGCATTTCCAGTATTGCTTCACGGCTTGGTAGCTTTTGACAACACTGTCCCTGTGCAGTTTTGAGTACAACATCGACTCAGAAACGGTGCGTCAAGTCGTCTTCAAGCAAGTGGATGGTGAGGGGCGTTCTGATTGGCTGACCATATTGGAGTTGCAACCAAAGGCCCAACTCTTCCCCCGGAATCCAAAGACTCTTCTCTCGGACGCCAACGACGATCCTTCTTTATGCCAGTCTTTTGTCAATCTTTGTTGCTAGCAGTAGTGCATGATTGCATGAGCAGTTGCTTCGAGATGGATGCGCAAGTTTGGCTTTGTCGGTGCAAAACATGCCGCCTATATGCCGTCAGGTGCTAACGGAATGTCCCGTAACAAATCTGGAACTTTCTCATGCAAGAAGCCTGGCAAGAACCATTAAGAGTAGATGGTTTGGCGCCAGAGTTCGCCTCTGAACCCGAAAACGATCCTTCTGCCCCGACTTCTCCAGGCAACGTGAGCACAAAGTTCTCTGACAGTCGGATCCAGCAAAGCTGACGGCTACCAGCAGCAACGGTGAGGCACATTGAAACCCCGCTCTCTTGGCCAGCCTTGAAAACTCGACTCCCGCATGTCCAGAAAGCTTGACCTGCGGAGCCGCATATCCTCTTGTTTGCACTTCGATGGCAACACAGACGAAGGGGTTCGAGACCTTGGTAGAACCAACACTCGTACTGTTTGAGCACACACACACACACAGGTTGCGTTCAAGTTCTGGTGAGGTTTGAACACAGTTGTCCTGCCTGCAGGTTCTCCACTCGCTTGCAAGCGGCGCGCGTTTTAAAGGAACCCCGAACCCCCTCCGATCGCTGCAAGCAAGCTGGCAAGCTGCGAAGTAAACGGTGTACGAGCACCTGTCCTTGGCGATGCTTTCGACACTGAGCAGGTATGTGGACTTTCCGTTGTCGAAGTTCGACGCACGGGACGTGTGTAAGACGTTCAAACACGCTCCCTCTTCGATAAGAAGATGCTTGAAGCCGGAAAGAAGTATCTCTGACGGTTCTGAAGTGCCGTTGACTGCCTCGCTGAAATTCTGCATTCTGTCTTGGAGAAAGATCGACGTTGGTAGGTTATACACTACTTGTCTGGTTGAAGATTGCATGTTCGCGAAGTATGTTTAGGGCAAAGATATCATGGCAGATCGAACGTATCACGGAGTTTGACTCTCCTGAAAGTGGCCATTGAAGAAGGAACGATGTGTCCAGTTTGGCGACATTGAAACGCTTGGAGGCACTCGCAATCAACTGTTCTGCTGAGAGACACTTTTGTGCATATCGCGGGTTGAGGTCGGCTGTTGGCTCTGCCCATTGCCTGCCCGTGGTGTTAGATTACATTACGTATTGAATGCAACCGGACGACTCTCGTCTACAGGTGCTGCCAGTTGGACATTGACGGGTATCTCAAAGCAGGTGACAGTTTCAGGCCAGGCTGATGCGAAATGTGTGGTTATAGGATAGTGTGACACCGCTTGATCGAGGCGGATGGTTGATCGGGGACTACATGTTGCTGCGTTCATTATGGAATATCCATTGGTTATCAGGGCGCATGAAAGGACAATTTCGACCATTCGAGTACCTGTCGAAAGCTTAATCACTTTGCCGACGAGCTCCTTCCAGCATGCTCACAGTCGGCCTGGCAACATTGGGCGTTGGCAATCTGCCAAACGTGTGTAAAAGAGGGGCGGTTGTACATTGCCAAGTTGAGCACCAAATTGTTGTCCAGGAACAAGCACACTGCGAGTCGTTCGGCCGCGCCGTTCACAAGCAATTGCGCAAGGCACACCATGCTGGCTGCGCAACATTGGCCGGATGCATATAGTCCAAAATAGACATGCATTCCTGGATTTATGATACGTGGAGGCCACAGCATGCCATCTTCGAGACGTACAGTGCTGCATTTAATTTCGCACACACATATGTGCACATGTAACATATTGAAATGACGTTTACCTGTTTTGATGAAGTACTCACATGGGTCATGTCATGATCATGATTGTAGATGCAGCCGCCGTGCTTCAAATAAATTTGAAGCTCATAGGTATGCAAATATACGCCTGGAGCTAGTATAGCGAGGTCATGCTCTTACTCATTACAAACTGGGTGTTCGATTCGACTCTTTTCCTTTACATACGGTATTGCTCGCAATCGGAATTGATCATTGTAGTAGTGTTCGCTATCATGCTGATGCCGGAGAAAGCTACTCTTGAGGAGACTTGACGGCTCAGGCTTTCGATCAGATCCTCATGCAAATGGATTGAACGAATCGATGAGAAGGGCCTCAATTGATGAGCAAGCGCGCCGAACCCTCTTTGAAAGACGTCTTCTGAAGAAGGGGATTTGTAAGGCACGATGACTGAGGGCCTTAAACTCTATCTTATGATTGCCTCCCATGGTGGGAATAACACTGTTGATCAAAAGCTGCCTAATCTCTTCTCAGCTAGAAGTACGAGCAAACCTTGTTGGCCAAGCAACACTTCGTTTGAAAAGCTAATGAATGCGAGCCAGAGGACAGGACTGATATCCACCCCACCGATGGGTGGTATCAATCTTCGTGTGGGCCCCAACACCGGCTCAGTGGGTGCATAAGCGATGACATAAGGGAACTTGGTGGCAGGAAGCTGGGGGTACCAGGACATAACTATCCGAATGATGAAAAGGAATGTGGAGATTGCAAAAACAGGGCCCAAGATGGTGATCAAAACCTTTGCGACGGATGGATCAAGATCTGCTAGTTGCCACAAACTGTTCAGAGGTCCTTCTGGCGCCGACACCCCCTCCACAGCGGCAATTGCGGGGTCAGACGACAGACCAAGGGAAGCCAGCGTGGCTGTTGCAACAGTGTACATTGGATTTGCCTGCCTAGGTCCACTGCTGGCATCCACCACTGGTGACCGTCCTGGAGATGCAAAGGTCCTGGATCAGAGAGTTGACCTGCTGCCAATCCAAGCAGAGAGTGGAGACAACCGCAATGTTGAAATTTCTACACACAAGGTGGTGAAGCAGCGAGTGCCAACTTGTTGAGAATGTTGCAAACATAGCAACAACCGCAGTGCTGGGCTGCTTAGACTATGAAACTGCTGCAACTGCTTAGATCAGCAGCAAATCATGTAAAACTGGCCGCGGAAGATAGGTTTCTTGCAGATATCCTGCAAGAATTCAACATGTTGTGAAGAACTTACATGCAAGCACACTGAATCTGCATTTGGGAAAAGCCCTGACTCACCGTCCTTCGCACCCGAAGCCCCAGTCAGTGTTCTGCAAGGAGGAACCTCATGTGAGCTAGAGCAGCTAAGCGGTACCCGTCTTGCTGCTCCATATCCAGGTTCACCAACTCGCGTGGCCTGCCTGCTGTGAGGAAAGTGCAGCGATGCTTGAAGACCTCCGAATGCAACACACGCCGCCATTGGTTGCCCGCTCAAGCGAGCGCTTCGAACTGATTGGGAACCTGCTGGGTACGGTACAACAGAGACAAACGGGTGCCTTGAGGTTGCACGTAAGCAGCACAGCCTCCCAGCAATGCTGCTGAATACCTGCCACGTACAGACGTCGCCTTTCTCTGGCCAGAGACCGGCTGAACGCTGGCACCAGAGAGAAAGGCCAGGGCTACCTGCTTAAATATATCCTGGATTTTACCCAAAGTAAAATTAGTGAGCGGCGACGGTCATTTGTCGCTTCCACCAAAAAATGTTCACTACCGTTGTCAAAGACGGGCCGGGCTTCCCGGCTTCTAAGCTTGCGTCTAGACTTTGAGCACTGCCGTGACCACAGACGTTACATACCCGTCAAGGTAACCGGCACCTTTTCAGTGCCGCAAGATGTGAAAATTCTTTACAAATCTAAATAAATGCGTTCGACTTCTGTAGGTATGTAAATCACGTCAAAAAGCAAGCATGCATGGCATGCTCCAGCGTCCAAACTTCCATTGGCATCACTTGTTGGCGCTGGCAAGTCTACTGAGCGCATTGCCCCAGAGTGGGCTTGAAGTTGTGTGGGTTCCAACAAAGGCGACCTTTACTTTGTTTGCTGCGATGTGAAGCTTGCAGCATTTGAGACAATGCCACATGAAGCCAGCATTGGATCTGACTGAAAGCTTGCAGCCCGAGGCTTCACGTTGACTTGTAGATGGATCCAGCAGCCCAACAATGGCGCGGCTGAGATACATCATGCTCCTACAGCGAGACGTTCCGAGGGCGGCGAAATTTTACAGCGAAGGATTGGGTCTAACAGTCAATGTGTGCTCAGACCGCTGGGCGGAGCTGCAGTCTGGGGACATGAAGCTAGCCTTGAAACAAGTGGACAGGTTTGCGCACAGCTCTCAAGCACTTTGCAAGCCGTCTTTGTGTTCCCTGCTCTGTCCTGAGTTTGTAGACTGCTCACGGCTGTGGAATACTGTAACTGAGCAGGTGAGGATAGGGTGGTGAGTCATTTATGAGGCCCATAACAAAGCCAGCGTGGGCCAGATGACAGAGTAGTGCATCATGCCCCCTTTTGTTATCCTGCGCAAGCAGGTCTATGTTGAGCTGCCATTTCATGAGGCATGTCCAGATCAGGCATGTCCCTGCAATGTTGTGATCGAGGGGATGAAAAGTGCACCACCTCTCCATCAGAACTTGAAAGCTAATCAAGGCTTCAATTGGCATCGAATGTGTAAGAATCTGATGATGTAAGGCGAATGCAAACATCTAGCATCATTGTTTGATTGATGAAGTACACTGAGTGGAGCCGCCTAAGGTTCCAAAAGTCTGATGACGATCCAGAGAGGCTTTTCTTGCGCTAAACTTCCGAGCGGTTTCTGTTGCACTTATGTGTTCCGTTCTTTCCCAATACTAGGACTTGAAGAAATGTCCTTGTCATATTATTACCCTTCTTTCATCACAGCGAGGCCCATTGCACCACTGGCTACAGCCCCTTCCTCCACTTTGACGTCGATGATCTGGATGGAACTGTTCAGCGGTTGCTGTCCCTTGGAGCATTCCTGGACGGGCCCATAAAGTATCCAACACATGGAAAGGTCAGTCATATCTTGCAGTTGCAGACGGCGGCCTGGTCAAAGGTCCCTTTCATATGCTCTGCCTTAAGAGGAACAGAGTTGCTTCGAAGTCCTAATGAGGACATGGTAGGCACGGAGATGGTAGGCGCGTGAATGTATTGAATCTGCCAGTCAAAGTAAGGTTCTTTTCCAACCTGCGAGACTAAGGTATGGTGTCCGAGTCTGCAGGTCCGGGCCAGGTTGTGGGGAGGTTTGTTGAATGTTTCAGACTTTCATACCCTCAGTAGTTTGGAGCCTTTGTGCAATCATCAAACATATGGAAAACATATGAAAGTGGTTCCCGATGCGCTTGTGACCCTCACAACTTTTGAGGCATGGTTTTGCGAGGTTTGAAACACGGTTAGATAGATGTCGACACTGTTGCAGGATGGCTTGCTCGAAATTATTGATTATCCTTTACTCCAAGGGGCCCTTCTGAAATAGCCCTTCTTGAAGTAGTCCATGTCAGGTCGAATGTCGGATCGACCCCCGTGTCACGTTTGCAATGTGGAAGGGAGTTTTTGAAGATCAAGGTTCGAGGCTTCTCGTTTTCTGACTTCGTCTTGTGACTTTTGTTTTGGATGCTTCTTTCAATATTGATTCTAATGTTGAAGGCGAACGATTTTGTATCTCAAAGCCTTGTCAGGCAAAGTGGCCCTCTCTCGACGGATTGCGGCTCATCAGATACAAGGCGTGGTTCTTTTCGTGATGAAGCTATTCGTGCATGAGGCCTGGACACTTTTCCATTGCAAAGCTCTTTGATCTGCGTCAGAATTGAGTGACCAAAAGTTCTCGACTTGTTCCTAGAATTTCATGGGTCGCCTGACTAAAGTTGCTCGAGTCTTCTCCTCCTAGCCTTCGGCGACTTGTGTTCCCGATCTTTGAGTCCGGACTAGGGATACTGCTTCCACTTTCCAACCGGATTTACAATTGTTTGCCGACCCGGAGCTTGAGAGTACCTGAGAGTGATCGAAAGGACATATTCTCAAGCTCCAATCCCTTCGGACTTGCAGGTAGCTGCCATGCGGGGCCCGGACGGCCACATGCTTGGACTACACGAGCCGGCTTTGAGCTCGTAGACCTCTGTCGGAAAGGTTGCGCCCTGAGTAGGCAGCTTAGAGAATAGGTCGCCAGACTGCCCTCCAAAGACTCTGGGAACCGTTGCTCCTCTGTTTCTGTTGCACCGACATGATCGACGAACTGCCTGTACGATCATGACAATGGCGGCAGAAAGCTAGCTCCTCAAACCATTGACTTTGCACGAATTGGAAGGATCGATCAGGCCATGCACATGTGCCTTCACATTATTACCAGCGGCTATTTAGAAGGCCTCAGCCAGACCCCAAATGATCATGGGCCGCCGCGCCTCCTGACAGCTGCTGGATTCTGGTGAGTGATTGCGTTGCACTGAGACCACGGGCGTTTCACCGTCGGGCAGGCCGGGGCCGCAATTGACCTCCAATCACGCGCGCCGCGCATGGATACTCTTAGTACCAGATACATGATGAATCACGTATAAGTTAGCTGGCAGCGCGTCAACAACGGCAAGCTGGCATGTACAACCTAGTATACGTACTAAGTTTCAATTGTGTGCCACTGAGTAGATGCAGATATGGAGCATGCTTTAAAGCGATATAGGGGGTTCAAGTTGCCGTATATAATTGAATTCAAAAGTCAATCTGAGAGACGACCATCATTCAACTGTCAAATTTGCACAGCAATGCACTGAGTACAGTTGGCAATCTGAACTCGATGTGCAGCCCGGATGACTCAGTGACGATTGTAAGAATCCACCCTGGGATCAAACTATTACCGTTTCCTCGCATAATAGACAAGAAATCCAGCACCTGCACATGCGGACCGCCGCGCAGCAAAAAGGTGATAACCAATCAACTCAACTTCCGAATCCATGGCTATAGAAAAACGTTGTGACTTCTGACAAAACGCCAATCTCCCTGTCGATCCTCTTGAGAAACGACGGATTAGCCTGGTTACCATGAAGCCCACAGACCTTATGAATAGTCTGTATGTCTCGTTGTCAAAGGAAATTGCATGAGAACCTTTTCATAGCCCGAAAAAATTTCAGAGAGCTTAGAAACATTTAGTAAGGCCTGAAACGTTTTCCGCTGATGTACACATCAAAATACAGGGTAAGATAATTCCATGACACTACTACAGAGTTACATATCTAGACTCTACTGGTGTACCTGCCTTGCCATGTTCTCGGTCAATCTCTTACTACTACTGTACCCTTTGTAGGTTATGCAACTGCTGCTCATGTCCCCCAACTTGAAGGTGCCCCTCGAGCCCCCCTACCCGGTTCACCTCGCCCCCAAAGCCTCCCATCGCGGCCACAAAAGACCCCGGCCCAGGCCGCAGCGGCATGTCCTCGTCCCGCTCCTCCCTTACCCTCTTCCCTCGGCCTTCTGGTACATGCTCGTGCTCCCGACACCGCCTCTTCGACCCCACCTGCAGCGACTCTGGCACGTTCATGCACCCCCTGACGGTACACCGCTTGGTTGTGAAGTCCTCCATCCCTTGCAGCACGTGCTTCTCGCACCTGGCCGCCCGTATTGAGCTCTGGTTGGGGAACACGTACTTGCCCCGCTTGTCGCACCCCGGCTCACTGCACCAGCTATGCGCCACATCCCGCATCCCTGGCTCCGCGTGCTCCTTACAGCGGAGGGCTTTGTTCGTGCCTGGCCAGCCGTACGTGGGGCGCTTGGCGCAGGGCTCCCTCTCCCCAGCCCCGCAAAGCTTGCTCACGGTGTTGACCATGTCCGGGTCAGCGTGAACCTTGCAGGCGACCTGCATCAAGGCAGAAGTGCCGCTGTCTTTGCATGACTGGATTGGACTCCAAGCAGCATTTCCAACGTGTGGCAAGCCCAGATTATCTGCAATTTCAGGCCAGGGCTGGAAGCCTTGCACTCGTCCACTTCCAACCTTTCTCTGCTACTCCTTTAAGATGTGACCATGAAAGGCATACTCGTTGTGCAGTCGCTGAAGGATGGAGTCCCGTCATTCGTCTGGAACAGTATCCTTGCACAACAGGTTTTGAGATGCCCTGCCAGTAAATGGATGGAATATTGCGGCCGCCTGAGCAAGGACTGCCAAAATCAGATTTTGAATTGCAAACTAGGCCAGTGCTCAGCTTAGCTTTTCTTGTCACCTCAAGCAGAATTTTTAGTCTTACCGCACTCTTCCCATGCCAGCCAAAGGTCGGCTGCTTAGGGCATGCCCGACCTTGTCCACACCTTCTCTTTGCCACGTATTTGTCCATTCCATCCTCCTGATGATCCTCGCACACAATTGGCTTCAAGATGGCCCAGCCATATTCGCACTCCTTCAGACACTCTTCCGACGCTGTGCAATTCCAAACTCGCTTGTTGGCAGGCCGTGCAGCAGCCAGAGACTCTAGGCTTCCTACAGGAAGAGTAACTCTTGGCTTGCTACCGGCAGGGGGGGCTCCCCTGGCCTCCTTCAGTGCATCAATTGCCTGTGTCAAGATATTTGCAACGGTATTTTCGGGAGTTTTGTGTTTTGCATTCCTCTCAATTTCCATACCCAGCTGGGCTAAGAGGGACCCCATGACTTCTACGAGACTCCCCTTCAAGGCCGTTGAAGGAGCAAAGACTAGAATGCTCTGCCAAAGCCTATCCAAAGACTCCTACAAAGAAACACCGAACAAATGTGCAAAATTCCTTGTCAACCGAGGACTTTTCAGAAAACGCGATCTCAAAATACGTACATCTTGTATATCGCTCTTTGCAACTTTACAACTTCCCCACACTTCACGTTCAAGCTCCTCCACTTTCCTATTAAATGGTGCTAGGCCGCTCACTTCCCCCCACTGGCAAGGTGCTTCTCTGCATCCTACAGGCAGGCTACAGGCGCTTTTCTGTATCTCTTGCCGCTGGAGCTGGCTGGCGCCACAGTTTGAAATTTCGTCAAAGAGCGCTGACGTCAAAGAATACAAAACCCTAAAAGAAAGTTATTCGCCATGAACGAACGAATTTGAGGGCAGCAGATTTGCCTGCCAGCATTTCTGCAAAAGCTTTGCAGTTTGTGGTGCCCATCACCATCCAGGCGCCCGTGTCCCGCTCAGGAAATGGCAGATCTTGTCCTCTCCTTGCTGCGTCAGAGCTCGATAAGGGGCTGTTTACAACAAGGACTTGGGTTAGGGACTGCATTGTTGTGTGGTAGACACGTTGGGCTTTCTGCGACTTCGGCAGTCATTGCAATCTCCTTGCAGCAGAGGCGGCCATACAGTTTCTTTCAGCTTGATAAGGTGACGGCAGTCCTCCAGATCCCAGCGCAAACTCTTCCTTGGCACTTACGTGTGCTCTCTGGTATGCTGATGGTGCAAAAGTTCAGAGTTTTCATCACAATCAAGCTAGTGTTCTGCACAGAAAGGTAGTAGGGAGAAACTGGACCAACAGCATTGTGCGCTTTGTGTCGCTGCCCCAAATAATTCTGCCACTATCCATCGATCCGCTTCGCTGTTCCCTCCATAATTCGATGTTTCGGTGGTGGTGTCACTAGAATGCCAATCTGGATTGCTCTTTTTGAACACTTAAAGCAGAACCGCTTAACTTTTGTACGCACCTAGTGGTGCAGGTATTCAACTTCAAAAGGTTGCAGGAGGAACGATTGCGGTTGCAAGGTACCCTTCTTACCCTCTGCTACGCATCATAAGATGCCGGTACATCCTTTGAGTCACTTTGCCTTTGCCCTGAGCTCAAGCTTGTTGAGATCTTTCGGATCATGGTGCTCATTGGGACAACGAGCCCCCTTATCTTGGCCCTTTAAATCGCTTGCTTTGGTTTGCAGATGAGATAGAGAGAGGTTACTTTGAGGACTTCAAGGATCTGAAAAAGAATCAGGGCAAGGTGAGTGTACATCGAAATTTTGATACTAGTATCCTACGCCAAGAAGGAAAGGGGACAAACACTGCTGCTTATGCCCGAATGAGGCTAAGTCGTTCAGTATAAATGTATGTTGCTATTGATCCATCTGAGATGGTGAGAAACTATGTCCAGGCAGCTTGCTCTTTATAAGCACGATGCGTTCTGGTTGTCTTTACAACTACTGCTGTGGTGCAGTTTATTATCATAATCCACTTTCTGATTGCTGGATGGATTATGTCTCTGGGATGCAGGTTCTCTTTAAACACTGTTTTCGGTTGCCGCCGCTATCGCTGCCACTTGAAATCCATTCAATAGAGCCTTGGAAAGGGTTGCTCAGAGGTGGTCAATGCGTCTTCCTTCAGCTGAATCCTGGTTCCCTCTATCTTTCCATACAGTTGGGCCCCGCCAGCAAAGGACTCTTGCCGATTGCAGGCAGTGCCACCTTTCCCGAGCTGCTCTGCAGAGCAGAGGATGGCTCCCAAATCAGGATTCAAGACGTGTTTGGAAACAAGAACGTCACCCTGGCTTGTGTGGCTTTCCGCCAAAACGCTCAGGTGAGAATCTTTGATTGCATATTCTGAGAGGCGGGACATAGAACCGGAAGTTGATGGACACAGATGCCTTGATGGAAATTCACGGGGCGTATGAAGGCAGATCGGACGCGGTGATGCATAGACGGTCGGCCTTGACTGCGGATTTTATCTGTGTACTGCGTACTCAGAAGGGAGCATGTTATACCTGGATGTTAAGAGTCCCTCCCGGCTTTGATTGTTTGTTTCGCAGCAATGCAGCCCCTGAAATTGTCGGCGTGCTCTGGGGTTTCAGTCGAAGTCTCTCTCTTGCAGCCAATGGTCGACACCTGGAACCTGGCTTTTCAAGAGGAGCTTCGAAAGGAGCCAGCTACGCAACTAGTGGAAGTACGTGATGGGGCCGCACGTCAAGCAGTTGCCCTGCTCTCTGCTGTGCAATGACTGTTAATGTTCCTGATGTTCCTGACTTTCAAATAGTAGGAAATCTTGTAGTTTGGCACAGACTTGGCAACATCGGTAAGCGACTTGGCGGCGTAATCTCGTCTGCACCCCATCAGTCGGCTCCTTGCCTTCAGGATAAAACGAGCAGAAAATCTGCATCGGTCGTGTACTGTCAAGAGTCGTGACGGCTTCCCGAAATCGCTTTGATCCTGCTGCACTGCCTGTTTTCAATGAGCCCCCAGAGTCAGCTAGTGGTTTGGAATTCCAATTGGGGTTTGAATAGGCAAATGCTTGACTGTGAATGACTCTTTTTCTTCTGCCGCAGCTTTCCGTCGTCGAGTCCATCTTCCTGCGTCCATTTCAGAACTACCTCGTCAAATCCATGAGCGCCATCCGAAGACGGTCAAACCCCATGAAAGCGCCCCCAATCAAAACCGTTGAGCCTGCTTCGCTCTCAAAACCTATTCCCAGCACTCAGCAAGCCCCTCCGTCATCCCAATCAGAGCCACTCACGGCCTCTTCAGAAAGCTCGCCAGTCTCAAGTTCCGCAGAAACCACGCCCTCGCCGCAAAAGCAAGTGCTACTGTACCATTTCGCCGAGACCTGGGCCATGCGAAAAGCGCTCAACATGCCCAACCGGCTGACGGGATATGCCCTGCTCGTAGACAGGCACGGGCAGGTTCGATGGCGGGCGACCGGTTATGCCACTACGGATGAGATCAAGTCTTTGCAGCGGGCTACCCGGCTCTTGGTGTCAGAGTCCGCACAGGCAGCTGCGCTTGCTAAAGAGGGGAGGGGGAGAAGCAAGGCGACGGCGAATCAAGAACTCGAGGGTGCCTTCGAGAATGAAGGTGAGGGGCGCGGGTCCCATGGACGTTGTCAATAATCTGTCTGCCAGTTCGTTGACTCGAATTTGCTTATTGGACAATCGAATCACTTCTCGCAGTGAACGGCCAACAACCACGATATCCACTCAACAATTTTGCTTCCCGATAATTGTCTCGCTGCGGGTTTGGACTGGTCGCGGCTCACCTGGTACTGCGCCCCGCCCCCCCCCTGCGCGCCTGCTCCTCGTACGCCTGCTGCTGCTGCCGCTGCCAAAGATTTGGTTTCTTCTACAAAAGTCGATTGCGAGCTTCGAAAGCCACACAGCTTTGACATTGCGCCTCACGAAAGAGGGCCGTCGTTGTCACCATTAAGAAAAAATTGTTCGATGCACTTGGCAGCGTCTCCCCAGTCAATACAATACGAGGGACGGAGACTTGCATCTAATACTTACGCCTAGAGAATGATAAATGTCGTCAGGCTTCGATCGTAATCTAACTTCGTCCTCGACTCGCGCATAGTGAAGCTCACCCTATAATCTCAGGGGTACTGTGGACAGTTCTTCGACTTTCAGCAAACCTTGCGTTACCTCTTGTTCGCAGGCTCCCAATGAACCGATCATCTGCGGCACACTTTTCGAGAACAGCAGCCGGGCCCTCGGGTTATCTCTGAAAACGACAACTCGCATCGAAATGATGGAAGCAAAGGTGGGCACACATATCCTCCAAGCAAGACATTACAGTCCTAAGCTGTCCTCCAAGGTGCGGAAGGTGCTTTTGCATACGGTGGTGCTTTGCGAAAAATGTTGCAAGGCGTCTAGTCTCTCGGAAAGTGACGGGGTGCTCCTGACGTCACGTAAATTCAGTACATCAAAAAGCATCCGTTTGGATCTTCCAACGTTTCGAGGGATGTCTTCTCTGCTCTTGCTTGCTTTTTCAGGGTGACCGTCAGCTGCTGATAATGCGATGATGACGAATTGAGTGGATAGCGGAACAGAAATCACTGACGAAACCTGCCTTACTCAATCCTTTATGCTGCAGCCCGAACGTCCTAGATACACATCTGCAACTTCAAGGTGACCTATTTTCGCAATATCTAGAAGCGACTAGTTGGTGACGATCTGGCCGGAAGTTCCTGTACAAGCACCGTTACATTTATTGAAGCTGAGTGATGCCGTAACTTGGTTGCTGATCTTGCAAAAGTCATCACACTTGTTAGTGCAACGTACAATTGATACGGACCTATGCATCGAGTGTCTACATGTGACCCGTTGCAGGCCCGTGATTGTTGATAACAACTCAATGAAGAAACCGGACGCAAATTGGAGTTGGAGTTTTTAAGGACAAACGGTGGAGCGTCTTTTGGAATCAAGCTAGCTGTCTATGTCGATGCAATCACTGAGGACGTCGGGTCAGCTTGCTGGCAGTACGTGCGTATTTAAATACGTGATGTGCATGCCGATCATGGCTCAGTCAAGTCGAATACATTTTCTTTACATATGGGCAATGACTGCTAGGCATGCATGGACTGGGCTGAGGCCTTACAGTTGCAGGGCCACACATGTACTAAAGAGAAAGTATGCATTGGGCCCTAGCTCTGGCCATGCAGCTCCAGAATATGGTGCACATAGGATCAAGCTGCGGCCAATGAGCTTCTTGCTGCATACAATAGGTAATTGCGACACGGGCTTCAAAAAGATGCGCGACGGTCCGGTTGTATATATGTGGTCAATGTAAAGAATTGTAAGTCAGTATGGTGCCGCAGTGCCATCCAGATTAGCTCGTACATAACGGGCCTTGGGGTGCGCAGCAAGTTTGTTCCCAATGTTGCCAGGCCAAGAGCCTTAAGCTATACAAGTCAAGCATTGTGTCCAGTGCTGTCGGTCGTTTTATCTCCTTGACAGCACTCTCTTTAGTTGCTCCACCCCCTGAGAATGGTTTGTTCGCCGGACTATCTCGTACCTTTCGTAGATCTCTTTGAAAATTTTTTCCTGCTTTTCTGCAAGTTCCTTTTCCTTCTTGGCGTTCATCTGCAAACAGTGGTAAGCAAGTAATCATTCTAACATACTATTGGTTTCAGATCCATCGCCCATAGGTTGGCACTGAGGGCGGGCCCAAGCATCTGTGTATTACCACCTTCAAGCTCTGCAACAGCCCTTTTGAAGTGTTCCAATCGCTGAACCCAACTTACATTCTAATCATGTCATTATGCACATCGAATGATGCTGATACTTTTCCGATTTGTTCTCACCGTTTGTATACGAAAAAGACAAGTACGTGCCCCAAGCTGGCTGCTGAAAGTTTCTTCTAATCATGAGTGAAAGTTGCCGCGTGCATTACCGACCTTTTTGAGCACAGCGCGCTCCGCCTGCTGCCGCCGGTGCAGCTGCCTCCACTTCATTGCAAACTCCAGCTCAAGAGCGTCTGAGGACCTCCCCAAAAGCTTCACAGGAAGAGGTGCCGGTTCCTGCACGGTATCTTCCTCCAGGGGCAACTGCGACTCGTCAGCGATGCACGCCATGATTGGCCGCGGCATCCCCCCGACCATGTACAGCTTCTCAGTCGTTTCCTGGATTACTTTCCTGGCCTGCTCCTCAGTCCCAAACCGAACCAAGGCTGTTCCTATGCACTCTGGATTGCGGCTTGAATCCAGGTAGTTTCTGGCAATGTAGACGCTCTCTACTTTCCCAAACTGAGCAAAAGCACTGTAAAGAACTTCTTCCGTTCCTACTGTTGGTGGCACGTCCTGGACGGACACCGTTCGCCTTGCTTTCTGTCGCCTACCGGACCTTGGGGACAGAGGGGGTGGTGGAGCTACATCCTGTGGAAGGGGAGGAGTTTCCGCAGGCGGGGGTGGAGGCTCTTCAGGAGGGGGCATTAGGGGACCTTGGCCTTCCGTGGGAAACAATTGCGGTATTGAGGAATAGTAGCCGCCATAGCTGGTGGACGCAGAACCGTCCATTGGACAACAGTCAGACAATGCCACTTTGCTTCAGGCGAGATTGAGAGGAACTGTTGAAAGGATCTCAGAACTTGAAGGGCGCTACGGACGAGGGAGGGCCAGGGCTAGGATAAAACATTCGCTCACTCTCATGTTGTCGCTTGGCATGAGTGTCAGGCCGAAGCTCAAAATGCCGCACCCGGTCCCTAGCTTTCTTCTTGTTGAAAACCTGACGAAGTGGCGACCACAAATTAAATACGTCAGTAAGAAACCGGCACAATGCCGTGCGCACCGGAGCAGCGCATCCTGTGCAACTGCATATTCAGAGACGGCAGCAACCGTCGTCGGATTGGACGGGCAGGTCGCCAGGTTGGAAAGTCCTTAGGCTTCAGGCTTTACGCTGCGCAGCATCCTGGGCCCGGAGGTTGGGAACTCCCTTTCAACTTTCACACATGTCCATTCATTTGAAGCACTTGGTGCTCATCAAGCGCAACAGAAGAGCAGGATTCTACAGCTATGCCAAGCTATTCCAAGCTGCAACTTCTTCAGTGTTATTCCTGCATCCAGCAGAGCGCTCACTGCACTACTGCCAGAGCGACCTTCCAGAGGGTTCCTGAATGTTTGCTCTAATGCGGCGTTTCGTCCATGCTGGAAGCCTTTCAAGGGCTTCAATTTGGGAAGTGCTGCAAGCATGGGCTGCCAGAGCAGCTGAAAAGCTTGAAGCAACTTCCAAGCTATGGGCGGCAGATGATCTACGGCCCTGCAACTCTGAGATCAGTTGGGGGAACAGTCTCCAAGCTGTGTCTTATTGTCCTGGACACGATAGCGCGAACACTTCAGAAGTAGCCTTGGATTTGCAGGTTTCGTCTTGCGCCGACAGAGTATCAAAGCAATGGGCAGTAGGACTTGCAGCAAGACTATTAAGCAGGACTTCTTGTCTTTTTGCACCACCACCTTTGGTGGCTTTCAGCCAGCTGATTGAGCCTCGCTCAGACTATGATTATGGCAGCTTGTACCATAGACCATATACGACTGCGCAGCACACATCCATGGGGTCACCAGATCTCAGATCGTCTGAGCATCAGAAGCACCATGATGGGATAAGAGAGGAAGAAGCAACGACAGTGAGCTGCCCTTGATCTTGATTTTTCTACGGTATGATTGTGTGTCGGATCCACATCTCAAATATCTTCAGTTGAAGTTCAAGTTGGTGTAGCAAAGGCTCACTCTTCCTGATTCCATGTCATCTCCACTTTGCAGCACGTCTACGGATGAGAATTGTCAAAGCTCCTCTGTTCTTGACCCACTTAGCAAGGCCAATATAACCTCTTGCAAATAACGTGCAGTGCTCACACTACCGCAGCGCTTGAGAGCGAAGCCCTAAAACGTCATTTCTTTAAAGCAGGTGACAACTAAGGTCTGCAGCGATTGCCAGAGGGAGAAAAGCCTGCGGAACTTTACCAGATTGATCAGCAGCCCAGACGGACACCACTTCTTGTGCAGGTCAGCATTTCTGAGGCTTGCTAGCAGTGTATCACCACCGAATAAGTCGGATCGGAATCAATTGGATAGTTTTCGACTTCGTCAAATGTGCTTGTTCGGTTAAGGTAGACTAATGAATGTGTCAAAGCAAGGAAGAAAAGCAGGGAAGGTTGAGGCTACAGATCTTAGGCTGCCTGCGGTCCAGAAGCAGGCCTAAGTCATTGCATCCATTCAAAGCTTACTTACAAGACTGCCAGTACGAGGTTGTTCTCCAACACTTCCAGATGACAAGTCTTGATGCCATTATTGTACAGAATTCCTAGCAACCGGTTTTTGATCTACAGGGCCTGCAATGCCGAGTGGATTGCTAGGTGTAAGGGTCAGACCTACAAGCACCTAGGGCTGTCAAGGATGGAGTCCTTGGAGAGGAGCAAAACCTGCAACAGGTGCTTGGAAAGGAAAGAGGCACGCGACTTTTGTTTTGACAGACGCAGCCGGGATGGTTTGAATGCATTGTGCCGTGCGTGCGACGCTGACAAGTGGGCGAGGTATAGAGGCACTGCTATTCGGAGGCTTTTAGAAAGTCAACGATGTATTCTGTGCGGCCAAGAGAAACCATCTCTTGAGTATCATCCCAGTTCAAGTCACTCCTCGGGGAGGGACCCTATCTGTAAGTTGTGTCACAAAGAAAGGCAACGCACTCGACGCAAAGCTCAGACACTCGGAGTGCCGCATCCTGTAGTTCAGGCCAAGATCTGTGCAAGATGCAATTCACAAAAGAATACAGCCGAGTTTTATAGGCACAAAGGTATGGCGGACGGTTTGGATCATTGGTGTCGGATGTGTCGTCGACAAAAGCTTGAGAACCTAAAGGAAGACGACATGGTTGCATGAGAATCAATCGGAGAATCTGAAAGAGGCTAGCATTGAATAACTGTGCTAGCCCCCGCGCAGATCGGATCTTATGCGAACTGACACTTACGGTCGGCCCGAGGATTGAATGTTCGACAGTGACGTGCCCCCAAGGCAACTGAATCATGGTGACCGCCATCGACATGCTATCAAATAGCTGAAACCAATGATACTTGTTGAGTTATTGTAAGGCCTGTACGTACTACATGTGCGGCGCATGCATATGCATCAATGATGCATGAGTCTGCCAGTGGCACAGATTTTTTACCCAGGCGCATGCGCATGCATGTTCGACTACACTGAACATGGCATGTACATATACTACCTAGTACGTATATATTCATCCCTATAGGCTAGCTAGATCGACCTAGATGAGTCCCGGGCTGAGCACCTATTGATAGCTATATACTTGCATATATGCACATAAGGATACATATTGCACCCGTAAAGGCTTAATTAAAACTTTTATTATTCATGGATAATTAGCGGTAATTCTATCCCCTATTTTTTCGCGGGAGGTCTCACTCAAGCCCGCATAAATCGCCGCAAATTACGGATAACGTGGTAATGGTATGTCAAGACTGAATGGTAACGGTGAAGTTGCACGTTCTTCACATACTAACATAGCTCAGTCTCCTTAAGTACTAACACACTGCGCGCATTTTTATCAAATTTTTAAAAAATAATGAGTGCATACCGTGGTATGTCGCACTAAATGTTATAAACAAATTCTCTTTAAGTGTTAACTAAATTGTTTTTTATATATTAGTTGGAATCATCGCGAAACAATACCGTATTCTGTTTCACTCCTCAACTATATAGACTGAGATAGCCTTAAGTAGTTTTCGTTTTGTCTCTCGCAAATTCCATGCAAATATCGTGAGACCTCCCGCGAAAATATAGGGGATAGAATTACCGCTAATTATCCATGAATAATAAAAGTTTTAATTAAGCCTTTACGGGTGCAATATTGTTTTTCGTCACGAAATAACCGTGCCCACCCATCCACCCTTTGCAAAATTCAATTTTTTTTTGAACTAGATCGGAAACGCTGAACCCGTGTGTGGTAATGGTCTTCACTCCCACATCCATTACCGACCCGCGCAGATCCCCGCTAAACTTTTTAGAAATCTTCAATCTAGTTCTTGAGAAATTCGGGGAGACCCTTCCCAAGTGGGGAGCACGGGGAGGGCATTTTTTCAAATTTATATAATCATTCACCCCCTTCCAAAATATTTTTTATAAATATGCCCTCCCCGCCCTCCCCGCTCCCCACTTCTCCCTCCCCACTTCTACAAAAAAAAAAAAAAAAATACATTAAATACTAACACTGAAACTACTGTCTAAATTTAAAAAAAATAATTAAATCTTAAAACTGGACGCGGTTGGATTACTCTTTTTTTTCTCTCATTAAATATAAAAATGACAGATCTGAAGAATATTATGCGCCAAATCGTTGTACTTGTGTACAAAGAACAAACTCAGAAGCTCACGGTACAAGAATACGGTATACTCAACAAACATTATGAGAATCTCATCACATATGTGATCGATGATAAGAATGTGATTGACACACTTGAAGGTCGAGTCATTTTAAATGGTCCAGATCTATCAGAATATAACATCAAATATGAAATCTATCTGACACCCGAAATAATCTATCCAAACGCCCTTCTAAACCTCAGAGTCTTTTATGAACGAGATACATGGGATCCTGTTCCATTTTCTATGGACGTTAATCGAAAAATAACAATGTCTGATCCACATAATATTCAGGTAAGGCTGGATTGTCTAGACTGGTAAAGCGTCGACGAGCACGCTAACAAGTAAAGCCGTTGTTAATCTAAGTAAAATCAGGTTGCCTGAATCCTGTCCCCCGTCGCGTAAAACCCGCAGTTTGTGCCCCGCCTCCTGATGGTCCTGCTCCGTGTCCTGCTTCGCCTCCTGGGGCTGCTGCTTCCTGAGCCCCTGCTGCTTCTCCTGCTTCCTGAGCCCCTGTTGCTTTTTCTGCTGCCTCTCTTTCATCAGGTTGACGTGATCTGCGAACTCCCCTGAAACCCCAACTTTCCCATCTCTTCGCAGGAATGACTGGACGTTCCATGTAGGACTGAATCAGTGGGAAGTCGACCTTACTAGCCATTATAAAAGCCCACACCAAGTCTACTGCAGAGTATATGATTGCAAATGTGATTGCCGCTACAACATACGGGGAAACTTGGTTCACTGCATTGGGAATCTCTATTTTCAGCCAAATGCAAGTGGAACTGTCTGCAGTAAAGAAGTATAGTGGAATGTATGACTTCCAACCTGTTGACATCCAGACTACACTTTCGCAAAATTCCCTTCGAACACCTTCCAGAGCATAAATTATCCAGCCCTTCGTCCATTCCACAGTCTTGCTGACTACGTAGATGAACAAACTGTGCAGCCAAAACTGACACCAAGTGATGATCCGCTCAAAAAGCTTCATCCGCACCACACCCGATCTAGAGAGATTCCACCGTGCGCGATCGCCCATTGCTTGTGTAGGCTGTGCCATGGCTTCTCTTCTCTTTGTCTCCTGCTCCTATTTTGTCGAATGAAGGAGAAGTGAAAGTTGGAGAAGGTCGTTCTTACAAATCTTTACTGGCGTGCCATCGCCTCAACATAATTTGTTCAATCAGACTCGATGTCAAGAAGCCTCCATCTGGCATTTCAGTCTGTTGACTTTTGTATCAGTCAGTTGACTTTTGTATCAGTCAGTTGACCGCTGCAAACCGCGTGCAACCTCCAAAAGCGGAGTCTACGCCAGCCCACACAACCTCCAAAAGCGGAATGCACGTGCAACGTCCAGCTAGTAAGATCAAACAGAGGCTGCAAGTCCACTGCAAAACCGCTGTCAATTATGGCTACATAAAGAAGCTCATTCCACTTCCTGCTCATTCCACATTCAGCATCCTTCTTTTCGTTTCTTGCCATGGCTTCCTTTTCTTCCTCTGGAGATCCAACCTGGAGGGTCTCTGCCGGACAGGTCGACAGAGACGGGCTCGAGGAGTCTCTTTTTGGGTTCGTGCTAACGAGGTTTCCTGAGAAGATGGTCAGAGACACAAGCGTATCGAAATTGGACTACATGAAGTTCTTGTCTTACTGGTACGTGTATGAGGAGCATGAGAATCACTATCTGATCCAACAGATAAGTGAGGGAGTGTTCAGGTTTGATTCTGTGGTGGAGTTAGACCGATCAGGATGCTACAGGGAGCTCAGTAAGTCGGCAGGCGAACTCCACTCATTGGGTGAATCAACGCTGGAAGTGTACCGGTCTAATTATGATTTTGGTGCTCTTTACATCAAGACCATAATGTTTGATTTTGTTCCCACTGGTGAGGATTACAAGAAGGCACACGAGAGGGATGCTGAGAGGGATGCTGAGAGGGATGCTGAGAAGGAGGAGAAAAAGGAGGGAAAGAACGTGAAGGAGACCGCCAAGAGAGCCAAAAAATAAGGTGAGCGTTTGGCTTCGATATATTTTTATCTCATCAGATAGAAAATGCTAGGTTTGGTAGAATTTGTAAAACTTAAATTTGCTGACGTTGAAAGAGATCTTACTCCAGTCGAGCAGAAAAGACTTTGGGAACTATGTGAGCAGCTGTTGATATCCTTTGATGAACTCTGTGATTCCGAAAGCTTTGTGGGTGTCAAAGTAAACAACTTAAACATGGCATTTCATAGACCAGAAGAGGACTGCTTGTTTTACAGCAGTGACAAGCACCGTCTTGTGTGCACAATGTTCAGAGATCGTATCGATAGCACGCATCAATTTATGATTCGAATGGACGAAAGTTCCAAGGAAGTTATTTCTTTTAACCTGACAGACGTTAGCAAGTTTTAATTTAAAGTTCAACGATCTCCAGGCTCAACTGCGCAATCTTTTTTATGCACTTGTCAACCTGCTCACGCAAATCTTTGATCTGTTGCAGTTTGGCGTTCTTCTCGGCTTCCTTTGCTTCCAACTGGGCGGGTGTAGTTGCGATATTATAGAATCCTTGTATGTCCGCAGAATTTCCCATTTGATAGGCTAGCTCTTCGCGGGCTTTGATGCTAGGATTGGTAGCTAGATGCTGTGATTTTTAGATGGCGAATTGCATTGCAGCCGATCGAAGACTTTAGGACTCTTTTAAAGGTATTTGTGACACACTTAGAGAAGGTACCACTGGTGTAGGGATCTTGATTTGTGTTCTGGAATAGCCACTTCCGCTTGTGTTCCATCATGCTTGTTTTAATGATTTCAAATAGAACCCCTGTCAGCTTCACCTCGTACTTATCATACGTCTTTGCTGTTTTGTAGTTTCCTATGCACATGTCTACGTACTTGTTGCGTGTATTCACAAACATCTTGTTCGGCTCCTCAGAGTTGTTGAAATCTGCCTGGCTTTTCAAGACCTCCATCTGACAATAGTTTTCAAGTCTTCGTGGCGGAATCAGTGTGTACATGGCAACTAGCAAATGATCCCTGCTCGCATATTCGTCCTTGCGTAATCGCTTTTCACATTCTAGGACGTCTTTCCATTGAATCGGTTTGCCGTTCAACATGACAGATGCCACACGTGGTGCGTTGTCTTTTGCAACCTCTTGTGCTGCGCCAGCAGCCTTCATCATCGCATCAAACCATTTCTGTTGAACTGCATCTGTTACCTGCAACGTAGTGTGCTTAATTAGCGAGACGAACGCTACCAAGTATCCGGTGCGTGAATTCATGTTTGGATAGCGGTTCACAATATACTCAATCACCTTATCCGGTTGATTCACCAACTTTTGCATGATTTCTCATTGAGACAACGACTAATAAAATTTGTCTTGCGCACGTAGTCAGCCTGCGTGTCCGTTGCAAGGTTTACGTTTGCATCGATCTGTCTCGACGTGTCTGCAATAGTGACAGTTTTTTCTTTGCCCCTCCCTTTGGCTGCTCTCCTAGGTTTAGGTGCAGGCTTGGGTACAGGTGGTGGTGCTGGTGCTGGTGCGGGTGGTGGTGGTGCTAGTGCGGCTGCTTTGCTTCGTGTGCTTCTAGATCCCGCCGCAGCACTCGAAGGTTCTGGTTCATCATCGAGACTGATAACTTTACCAGCATTTCTTGATGTGCGTGTTCTTGGCATCTTTCGTCTTTACTATATGGAAGATATATAAACTTCTGGTTCAATTCCCGCACAAATTATCTCATTAAAACTAAATGGAACAGACGAAGGATATTTCTATTGACGAATACAAGGCTATGCACGCTTTGTGTTGCAAGTTCTACTATAAGAATATTCCTGAGGAGAAGAAAGAGATCATGCGCGAAAGGCAGCGAACTCGGAATCGCGAAAAATACCATAATGACCCAGACTATAGAGCGAGGGTCAAAAATTACATGCACAATTACTGCGCTAAAAAGAAGGCAGCAGCATCCGCATCAGAACCAGACGTTTGAAGTGCTCGCGTCAAAAACTTTTAATTTTGTGACAAAAGAAAACCATTTAAAGAAATAACACCTAATATAAATAGTAAGAATGGACATCGAGATGTTGACCGCTACAATAAAAGCATTTGCGCTGACCCAAATTGCTGAACACATGGAGAAGGTCGGACAGAATCTGACCGCATCGAAACAAACCAAGAAGTACAAAGAAGACACAGAGTATGCAGAAAAAGTTCGGACTGCCGCTCGCGAGCGTTTTCACAAACTCAGCAAAGAAGAGCGTGACTAGATCAATAAGCGAAGCAATGAACGCTATAAGACAGACCCCGAATACCGTGAGAAAAAGAAACAAAAGGCAAAGGAAAGATCAGCGAAGGTTCGTGAGGAACGCAGGGCGGCAAAGGCAGCCGCTTCCCAAAAGTAATTTACATTCCCTTTTTTGAACAAAATGCAAACTACTTAAAGACAATTCATTTTTTATGTTCACATATGAATCCCCCGGGCACTATTTTGTCTCCCGGGCAAGTGTATGCACAACTTTTGAAAGAGAATCTCTTCTTGAAGACTGGCGCAAAGTCGTTCCGTTACTTCTATTACGCTGGGGGGAACAAAGAAGGTCGGTTCGACTATTTCATGAAACGGTTTGGCAGTTCCTCTGATCAGCCCGACTTTGTGGAGGAGTGTGAATGCACTCACTGGATCAAAGAGAACTGCTACGTGGAATATATGCCCGACGACGTGCGATGCAAACCGCCCAAACTGTTTGTGGTCGGGAACTGCTGCATCCGAAAATTTCTGCCTCGTGACAACCAGGGTAAGACCTGTTCAGACTGCCGTATGCCTCACAAGAATCGTAAAGACAACTACTGTACCCCCTGCCGCGAAAAGCGCGACGGTCGCCGCTGTAACGAGTGTGGCAAGAAACAGAGGAAGAGCGAGGTAGGCTACTGTCCCGACTGCCGGGCAGCTTTCGGCCGTCGGATGTTCGAGAATCGGATGAAGGAGATTGCGCAGATTGCCCGCCGTCCGATGGACATTAATGACTACATGCGGAAAATCGACCGCGATACGAACCCCGACGAAATTGACGTCCGTCCGAAATATGTGCCAGAAGCGTCGAATTGTATTTGGCCAATGGGCAAGTACAAAGGTAGGTTTGTACATGAGATTGAGGAGAATTATGCCACATGGGCTGTCCAAACCATCCGTCCGCAAACTCCAATCGTCGGACTCTCCCTGGGCTATCTGAAAGCCAAGTTTGCACTTTAACCACAAAACATCATTTTTCTTATTTCATTTTCAGTCAAAATGAAAACTACTTAAAGAAATGTCGCCAGGTATATAAAATGGCAACAAAACTTCTGAACTTCCTCGCACCCCGCAAAGTAGCAAAAGGATCTGAATATACACACACTGGTTGTGCTGGTGACTTCAAAGGGATTTACTATATCAAGACCGAGCACTATGATGAGTTCATGGCACTGTATAACGCGGCTCTCAAGAAGAAAGTGCATCTGACATTGACTGAAAAGCACAAGGGTCAGTCCCCGATCTTCATCGATTTTGATCTCAAGCAGGACTCGGCTACCCGTATTTACACTGCCGACCACATCAAGGCACTGTATGACGCCGTCACCAAGGAAGCCTCTAATTACGTCAAATTTGACGAGGAAGCCTTGGAGTGTTTCGTACTCGAGAAGCCTGCCCCGAGGAAGGATAAAAATCACCCATATAAAGACGGTTTCCACCTGCACTTTCCCGACCTGGTCACCTGCCAGTCTGTCCAGAAAATTATCCGTACAAACCTGTTAGAATCTGGCACGATTTCCGACATTTTTGCTGACGCCACGTTCCGCAACAGTTTTGAGGAAATGTACGATGCAGCGGTTATCGACAAGAACCCGCTGCTATTATACGGTAGTACTAAAGATGGTACAGGTCCTGCGTACACGTGCACGTACAAGTTGTGGGGTCAGGACGGCAAAAGCGAAGACTGTGAAGACGAACTACCTGATCTAACTGACCGCCTCTCCATTCGCAACAAAGATGTCGCCCTGCCTGTACTTGAAGAGAAAAAGGCGGAGGTTGCCGAATATGCCGCGCGTGCAAGTGCCAAGGCTGAAGCTGCCAAGGTTGTTTGTGAAACTAAGCCCAAGTGTAACATGGTACTTCTTGGCGAGGTACAACAGCTTGTGGCTATGCTTTCTCCCTCACGTGCGGACAACCGCTCTGACTGGCTTGCACTCGGTTCAAGCTTGAAGAGCGGCGACGAAAGTTTGTTGCCAGTCTGGGATACATTCAGCCAACTCTCATCGAAGTACAAGTCTGGCGAATGTGAAAAGTTGTGGTACGACTTTAAACCGGGCAACACCATTCGCAGTCTGCACTATTGGGCTAAGTTGGACAGTCCCGACGAGTACAAGAAGTACAACGAGACCAGCCTACAAACCGCTCCGATGACGTCACTATCTGGCAGTCATTATGATGTAGCCCAGGTTGTGTACTCAATGTACAAGTTTGACTACGTCAGTACAAAAGACCAGAAAAACAACACTACTTGGTACAAATTCAGCGGGCATCGTTGGGAAGAGTGCGTCGGTGGGGTTGACCTCCGCAACAAACTCAGTACGGATGTGTACAAAGCGTACATTACGATGTCAAA